ATAAGCGGACGTACAAAACAGCCGCTGCACCATGGATCGTTCACCGTAGCTCCAAAGTAGTTGTAGTCAATGGCCAACAAGCAACAGCAGCGGCGGTGGGACCCAGCATGGCGTTCGCACTCGTGCCCAAACTGAACGGTGTGGAAATATACACCGTTTATAATTTCAGAAACGGGTTATCAATGGCAAGCCAGACATGGACGAATGGAGCAAAACAGACCGAACGGCCGACTAAAATGACATTCCATCGACGGACAGGCAAACATAGACACAAATAAAGACAATTTGTAATAGGAGGACATCGTAAGGAGGCGTAGCGGCAGAAAGCACACCCACCCAAACGACAGGCAGTCCGCTATATTGTCATAATATACCAGACAAGACTAGCTAAATACACACCAAGTGCGCATCATGAATATGCCGACATTCAACATCGTAAACATTAGACCCATAGATAGATACTGGATACCTGCTTAAGGGCAGAGACGGGCGAAGGACCCCTGCTGCTACACGTTCGTCTGTTTCTCTGTTTCGCGTTCATAGGCCAGTCCAGCCTATTTGCAGCCATTGCTAAAGTTGTAGTGCCGTCGACCGACCAGCTACTGTCACTGCCGATATGATAAGTCCGTAATATTTAGATGAATGTACGTCTGGAGTAGAGCTACGACTGAAACAGCTGTATGGCCTGTCGGCAGCGGCAGCGGGCATGAACGACACGTCAGTAAGTAACCCTAATAGACGGGAATCTCTATTAAATAGCAGCAAATTAGTTTAAGAGCAATAATTGGTGTTCAGCTGACGCTCCGGCTCCCGTTGCATTGATCAGATTCTGTTACCTATACAGTAGACGGCAGTGAAACGAAAGCGGTTCGCTGGGCTACCTTTAATGATGATGGCGATCAGGAACGATGACCGCTTGTGGAAAGATGACGTCTGCGCTATTGCGCAACAAGAACCTGCGCGCCACGAACTGCTGCGGCCGTCACGGACAGCAAGTGTACCATTGTCTAATGGTTGAGTTCGTCTCAACTGCCATCGACTAACATGAACATTATTATTGAAATCTTACAATAATCATTATTACGATATATATTCGCGACGGAAAACTGAATACTATTGCCCTTCATAGTGCGATTCGCGAAAATGGACACAACCCAAAATCTCCGACCCGTTCACTGCCATTTGCATCGCCGTATATCGATATGTTATTGCACTATAATGTATTGACTTAATATAAATCGTCTGCGGATACTAGCGTAGTACTAGCTGTGTTAGCTCTACCGAGTCGATTGGTGTGTGTACACGCCTGTTCCCGTATGTTGCCGGCTCCGAACACCCAAAGGCAGGCATGCTTGGCGAGGCCATGCAGCTATTCAGGCCTATAGGACAGAATGCGTATGGCGAGTGAGATGTCTGGAGGAGGGCGTGAGGAAGGGTAACACAGTAGCAGCAGCAGCAGCAGGCCATATAATGCCTTCGTTCGCTACCATCCGTTAAAGCCGCCATTGCTGCCGCTGCTGCTATGGCAGCAGCATACACCCCGTGCAAGCAACGTGGGCGACCGACCGACCGACCGACCGACCGACTCATCAGGACGGCCACCGCAGTAGTTGCAAAAATAGAACGACGTCACTTAGACACACAATCACATGCACACATACACGCTACTTCAATACTGACACTGCTGCTGCTGCTGCTTCAAATAGAACACCATTCCAGCCACTCCATCGCACTGTGCTTATCTGCTCATCCCATTCACGTTGAGTAAGATCCCTTACTTCTCCTTATCTATCTCTTTCAATCTTCCTGAAGATGAGGAGGCGAGACTTTGCGACAGTGCAGTGTCGTCATGTGGTCGCGTCCCCGTGTCATGCACCCACACTAGCTGCTGATTGGCTTCTCATGTCTCGACCATATACATAAACTAGTCGCGTACGGCACGTACACAAACACGCACTCACGTGCCCAGCCCAGTTGGCTCTGATATGCAGGCAAGCGAACTCGTCTAATTACAGATAACAGAGGGACACAAACACAAACGGTACGAACAAGTGTCAAAAGGAACGATCTATTGGGGACGACAGCAGCAGCGGGTGAAAAACTTTATAAAAACTTTGTCTTTATAAAAAGACAACATAGGCGGCTGACGTTTTCGAAGGTGGCTAGCTGAGCATCCCCCACACGAGCAATGTATAGATGTTTATTTTTCGCTGAAGTATGAGGGTATGTTTCACTATTTGACGGCGCTAGGCATTTAGTCTAATTAGCGTAGTCATACAATAGAAGTCTGGCCAACGATGTGACTATCATCCTCTCTGGCAGCGGCCGATTCGTCTAAGTTCAGCAATTCGAATGCAAAAAGAACTACTACGATTTCACTTACCTAGAGCGCTGATCTGCAAATCCATATTGACGAACGCTGCCAGCAGCGATCAGACCACTGCAACAAAGACGACAATCGAGCAGCAGTTGGCCGCGAAGATTCGTCATCGACTCGTCTTATTATGCAATAAGTCACCGGTGGTACTACGTACAGCTTTAGTATAGAGGCACTATCTCTGATACGCTTGCAATAGTAAATAAATACAGAAGCAAGATGCAACCGCTTGAAATTAGTCACAGTAAGGCCCTGGACATTCAGTGATCGTCGATTTTTTCTATTCGCAACTCGCCTCGCAGTACCTTTCCAATGGATTTGACACCTTGGTGCAAGCTTTGTCTATTTTTTTTTTTTTCCCATTTTTGTTTAGTGGTTGCCAGAAGTAGTTGAACCATATGGCGGGCCGTGCTATTTTCCACTGCCTGCTTTCATACAGCCGTTTCGAGTTCGATGCATCTATCGGGCCGGCAGTTGGTCTGGGCCCCACTGGTGGCCGATGTCGACGAATTTCAAGGGCTCGAACCGACAAACGGAGACTGATATCGTATTAACAACGGCGGCAGCGACAAATCACTAAATCGCCATCAGTGGCAGTAAAACACACAACAATCCGGTGCTGATGCTGACGATGACGCATATAACAGTCGTCGCTGGAGCCGCACGCGGCGGTTCGCAAATCAAGAATCGCCGCAGGAGGACACAGCGAAATATCAGTGAATAAAATTGCGCATAGACAGCAACAGCAAGTACCGTCAAGCGGCAGCAGTGGCAGCAATGCTAGTGCTCGTGGTAGATCGAAAGGCAGCGGAGAACGCAAGCCATCCGAACTGTTGTGTATTATCACACAAAATATACGCACACTGGGCGCCTACAGCGGTTACCGGCCACTGGTCGCCACTGGATAGCATTTTTCCGTCGTCGCCGGCAACGCGCCAACTGACCAGAAAACATACGCATGGACCAACAGATAGAAAAGCAAAGGCGAATACAAGAGCATCGCTGCAACTAACAGCAAAAGAGACCGCTGCTGTTACTGATACAGCAGCAGCAGCAGCAGCAGCAGCAGCAGCAGCAGCAGCAAAAGTTTACGCCAAAGGTGACGGACCTGAACTCCCGTCGTTAAACCCGGAGGGGTACTGCCGCCGCCGCCGCCGTTATTGATGTTGCAGTGGCATTTGCTATTTGATGGCTTTGATTGGCCATGGTTCTTAGTTAGCTAGGTTGATGACTATCCGCTCGTTTCGCGCTTGTTGCTGCTGCTGCTGCTGCTGCTAATGATGATTGTTTTGTTATTGTTGTTTAGGGGCTTCTGGCCGGTACAGCAGACGCAGCGACCGGCTACATGCTAGCGATAGATAGACAAAAAACGATTTAGTGGCAGGTAGACAAACAGAGAGACAGCAGCCACATTAAGTATCGTATCACTACCGTGTTCAGTTCGACTAGCAGCAGGATCAACCAAACTGTTGCTGTTTGCGGCCGAACTAATCGGTAGCGTGCTACTGTATCATCTCTCTCGACGCGGCGTCACCGGCAGCAGCGGTAGCAACGCTTATGGTCACACTGTTGTTCAAGACTGTGTATTATCGTGCGAATAACTAGCAGACCAGCAGTAGCAGCAGCGTACGCTGCTGCCGTTGTTCACAGCCATTAGCTACTGTTAGCATAGTACGGAGCAGTGTGTCGTCGAGCTAAACGTTATGAGCAAATGCGCCTGTTTTAAGTATTCGATCGTCGATTATTAGCCGCAAACAACGTATTGCATCAGCATTCGCAGTTCGTTGTCATGTAACTTCTACGTATCATTCGAAGACGGTTAGTTTCGCAGGAAAACAAATGAAGAGGCAACGGTACAAGTCACGCCGGTTCATATGAGGAATGGCTGGCTCCGGATGGCAACAACGAAATTTTGCAACGAGGTACGGATACAAAAAAGACCATGATGGTAGCAGTTCGATTTTGTCTCGAACTAGTTCAACCACTAATGTCACCATCGGACGACAAAGGCAGTTCCACGAGCATCCTAATCAAGCGCGTTCTGGTCGAACCGCTAGCAGTGGCCGCCTGCACAATAACAGATACCCAAGGACCCCTCCAGAAAATCTCCCTAGTCACTTACCGCTTTGTTGAATCTATTACCATTTCTTCTCAACGCTCTGAAAGAAATGCTCGATCCCGTTTTTCAGCACGCCACACTAACCGATACGTTTCTGATCACCATACACTACCCATTTACCCAGATCAAATAACAACAATAGCAATACGTTTTCTTTTCATGCTTTGTTCTGCCCGAAGTACGTGTGAGAACCCACGTCTGTACTCGCCGTGTAAGTCACCTATAAAAGGACCTATGCAGACACAGGAAAAGGCTACTCTGCACTGTCCACAAACCTGTACGCACAGATACAAGTACGCCCGGTGTGCATTTACTTACATATTTGCCTCAGTGTACGTAGTTCTCCGGATAGATCAGTTGAAAACAGCAAGAGCAATAACAACAGCGACGCCGACAACAACAGATAAACAAACCACCTCAAAACCAATACGGATACGTATAGAAGTAGTGATAGCAATAGCAGTAGTTCATTATCACCACGAACCTATTCTATATAACGCTTACCTTATCCATTCAGCGTAATTACTATACGTCTGACCGGCAGCTGCTGTTCTTGATGTTTTCAAGGCTCGTCTGCCTTCGTAGTGTCACATTTAAAAAGCGGGCAGTGCGATGTTGCCGCGATGTTTGTAACACTAGCAATAACAATAGTACATAGTATTACTATCCTTTGAATGTTTTCTATTTTGTTCACGCTGCACTGGTACAACTCTATATATGTTCCCGTTTATTTACTGTGTTTGCTGGCCGCTGCGGCAGCCGTAGCAACCACGTAGTCGTAGCCAGCACATCTAGCGTTCACTGCGATACGAACACACGTGAACGGCCCCGCTCAATACGCTCGCTCTGACGAGACACGTTGCTCACACGCTGCCAGCGGTCATCACTCTTTACCGTTGTCGCTCTGCGGCGTGGCTGTGCTCAACGGACGGACCTGCTGAAGTTGCTAACGGCAGCGCCTGCTAGCTGGATGTCCCAGCAGCAGTAATGATCGTATTCGACGTTCACTGAATGGTGGTACTCCACCTCGAACATACTTTCATTCCGAACCGCCTCTCGCGTTCTCTTCCTGTTTCACACGGGACGATCGAACGGCGAGAGCACAACGTGGGGACCACGCTGTTGTTATTGTTGCTGCTGCTGTCGTTGCCCTGTCGTGGTTATTGTTATTATTATGATGATGATATGATGATCAGCGACGACATCGATAACGCAGCAACGTATAGTTGGCGTGGACGGCCCCCCTGTTGTCGCTCGTACGAATCCACGAATCCGTCGTGGTCGAGCGAATAGTAAACGACAGAATGGTGCAACACACGTAGCTTCTATACCATAGCAAGTCACTCGTCGTCAGCCAGTCATCTATAAGGGTATCCTTCTCGTCTGGGTAGGTATTTAGACACACTTCGGGTGGGTCTTGCCCTCTCGTGCACGCCTTCCACTCGAATCCACGTTGTCTAGAGGCTGCACAACACGCAACACCGTCACAACGATCACTTGAACTCCGTAGTTAGGCCGACTGGCGGCGGCGGCGGTAGCGCCCCGTTGGTCGTTGTATCCTTGTTGTTGTTGCTTTTCCGCTGCAGGTTGTATCGGCTAATAGACGTGAACCGTCCGTCTGTCGTCGGATGATTCAGCTGCAGTCGTTCCCGTAGCCTTTGCTTGACTCTCCTCACAAACAACACAAGCACAGGGCCGACGACTGGTAAATGACTACATGGGTGGCTCCTTGGCTGGCATGCGTCGTACCTTCCAGCGTCGGCAGCGGACCTGCTAGTGCAGCCATTGCCGACGCACAAAACACGTACAGACTGACGAACAAATTTATGGAGTGGCTCGTTATTGAGTTCTGTTCAGTGAACACTGCTGCCGCTATCGCTCACACGTCTAGCAGAAGCAGGAGGGAAGCGCCACACGCTGGAAGCGATCACTTCTGCTATTGTCTGTCTATGGCTTACTTAGCCCGGCCGAACCCACACCGCCGCACGTATAAACGTGCGGTTAATCAACAACGACGCCAGCAGCGAGAATAACATCGATAACAACAATACTACCACACTACGTTTTAGCGTTACCGCCGCTACTGTTGCTGCTACGATTGTTGTTATTGTTGCTGTTCGCGAATGTTTTTTCGAATACGACAGTTGCGAACGTGCTAAAATGTACGCCGTTACAGCTGCTGCTGCTGCTGTAGTCGCCGGGGCACGCTTATTTCTACTAGTCTTGTTGTTGTGGTTATTCAGCGATAACGTTCAACGTGGGTGTTGCTACTGCCAGCTTTCCGAACGCTGCTGGAGCAGTATCATCTTTCGACGGCCCAATGTCGCTTGCAGGCTAAGGTTGCTTACTCCATTGTCGGCTTGGTAGCGACGGTGTGACCACAATCGGCGTGCGAACGAACTTACTAACGACGACGACGACTCTGGCTCGTTCGCCCGTCCCTATCAGCCAACTAATAGTATAATAACCCGCCCAAAAGCAGCAACCGCTGGCGCGCCAGGAGTAGAAGTTGTTTTTGTAGTAAACGGGCCGAGTAGCAGCTAGCGACGCACTCTCATGCAGACAAACAGGCTGACACTGGGCGACACAGACACGACCTCACGCACAGGCCACTACTCCGCTTAACTCTATTCAACTCTCACCTGACCACCTTATCAGCAGCAACAGCAGCAGCAGCAGCAGCGGAATCACTCCAACTAATTCTTCTCAACGACAAACCGACTTCGACTCTTGGCGCTCGTCGCTGTTCGTCGGTCGGTTGGTCGATCGGTCGGTCGGTCGGTCGGTCGTTCGTTCGTTCGTTCGTGTCGTCAGCAGCCGCGGGCAGAGATCGCGGCGCGGAGAGCAGCGGGAGAGAGCAGCGACAGGACAGCACAGCACTTCGCACACGATTGCTCACTCACTCACTCGCTCGCTTACTCACACAGACACTCGTTCGGCCGATTGTTCGTTTTCTTGCGACTACTACAACTGTCCGCTTGCCACAGCAACAGCAACACGACCACTACCACCAGTGCGACCGCGACGTCTAAGCCCTACTTGAATGGTAGAAAAACCCTGCGCCTCAACAGCAGCGCTAGTGGCAGCGCATACTCTTTGGATGGCGAGCGCCGTCGTGCCGTTTCGTTGCCGAAGGAAGCCGTCGTCACAGCCGCAGCCAGCGAAGAGCGGCTGCCAGCGCTGGCTGAGTCTCTGTGTATGTGCGTGCGTGCGTATGTGCAAGTAAGCAAACTCTCTCCCCATGCGTGTGTACCTATGTCGCTCAATATCTGAGTGCCGCTGACGGCCAGCGCTCACTCGCTGGGTGGCTTTTTCTAGTGCCGCGGTCCGCTGGATGCCACCACCATCCGTAGCGAAGCGCCATAAGAAGTCCTTCTCACGTTTATCAGCTTAGACTACCTGTGACGGTATGGCGCTCACTTTACGGCTCTCCATCTCTTTCTCTCTCTCGATATCCCGTATGAAACACGTAGTAGAAAGCGATACGAGGCTTGTTTGCTATATCGTCGGATGGATGTCTGGGTTCGGAATGTGTGTAAAACCTGTGTCCCTAACATCACTGGCGCCTCAGGGAGAAGGGGAGAGCGGTCGACCCAGCCGCGGCAGCACTAGCACCACCACGGCCACGACTTACACATCCAGTGAGACATACCCACGTACAGATACAATTACAGAGCCAGATAGAGAAACGGCGAGAGAGGCTTACACTGCCCCAACCGAAAAAACATGATCACTAGCGCCGCTGCCACCGTCGTAGTCCTGGTCGTCGTCGCTCTCGCTGAACAACAACACATCCACGCAGCAGCAGAAGCAGCGCAAGCACCCGCTGCACACGATATGTAATCCGCTGAGCAGCGCCTAGTTGAATCGATTGCAGCTTGACGAGAATAACTGTTCAACAGCGCACGCACAGCTCACCAGCAGCAGAAGCCGTCGAGGCATGCTTACAGGGACAGACCGATTGACAGACAGACAGACAGACGGAGAGAGAGGTACACAGCATGCTGCGCCCGGCCAGCGAGGAGGATGGCGGGAAAGATACCCAGTCAATCGTCCGCCGGACACACAGCAAAGGGCTGCTATCCAGAGACATAAACAAGCGAAATGTGCTCTCTCTGTTGGCTGCTATGACAATGATGATGGTGATGATGATGATTATGCCGCTGGCGGCTGATTGGCTTGCTCTAGCGCTCTAGGCTCTAGCGCGCCTGCAGCTGACATCAGGGGGCCCAGCTTCACGCCAGGGACAGCCATGCTGTTATGTTATGCTATACATGGGCACACGGCATGTTGTTGACTATTATCCGCGCCGCTGGCCAGCTGACTTTAATGATGACGCGCCAACAAAAATGTTCGTTGCGCAACAAGCGGGCGATCGAATCGAAGCGGAAGATCGAAATCCGCCAGCGTTTACGATTGTGTAATGTTGCTCTGTTGTTGCGTAAAACAAAATGGTATAAAAAAGAAAATACGTAAGGAAATGCTCTTCACGTGGGACATTGAATGCTAATGTAATATTTAAGAGCTGGACGGAATTTTAAGCCCGTCCTGACACGCTAAATGTTTTGCTAAAATATAAATTGACAAGTGCCTAGTCTGATAAAACTAGAAGATTCGATTGACGTTATATATCTTCATATCTCTATTTCCTGTTTGGCCCACCTATTTCCATCGGCTAAACAATCCGGCACAATACTCAGCCTAATAGATGGTATTATCTAATAATAAAACCATCATTATGCACTTACTAGGCGAGCTTGTCACTTGTTAAATAGAACTACAGCTTTTCTTCCAAGCAACGCTTCTCTGCTTGCATCTATCTCATTACATATATATATATATATATATATATATATATATATATATATAGCAACCTCACAAGAAACTCGTATAGTATAATCTCTTTTGTACTTTCTGTTTTTTTTCTAGAAGTAATATTCTCCATCTGGCTGTGTGTATTTCAACAAAAAAGTTTACCTACCCAGCTGATATATTGGCCCAAAATGCTCCTGCTTCATTCTTCTTTTTCTATTGTCTGTAAGGGCAGCCACTACCAGCCGGAGCTAGTATCCAGAGTACTGTCGTCGTCGCTGATGTTTTTTACTATGAGAAATATAGTTAAACACACGACTACACGCGCACACTCCGGAAGACATAGAAAGAGATACCCTTAATCCACAGAGACGCACATCCATTTTCATACACAACTGTTTCTCTTGTACCAGATACAGCGTCATTAGTATCTCTCTGCGTAGAGCTTGCGTGGTGCGGGTATTGTTGCCCCCCAAATGGTCTCCATCTGCTTGTATGCCGCCTTTTCTTTAACTAGTGCGCGGAAACAGTAGCGGCGAGAGATGGCGTTGGTAGTGAACGTGAATGATACAAGATAATGTACACATGCTCGCTTTAACATAAACAGAACTAGTCGAGTTGAAAGCTGAATAGAGTGAGCTGATATGGGCTAATTTGGGCGATTAGTGGACGGACAGCGACCTGATGCGAGAGTGAATAAAAACGCGAAGTAAGGCACGGAGGAGAACAACGAAGTACGCCAACCCTTCCAGGCCTGCCTACGTAGATCAGGATACGCCGAGTGTGTGTGAAGAGCACTCGGTGGTCAAGGGTGCCACTTACCTCTTTTATCTTAGTATTCCAGTCGGCTTTTCGGGTTCCATGGGGGTAGATTTGGGCTACTTTTGAAGGATGATCATTACAGCATGGACCTATACCTCATAGCTATAGGATGCTCATATCACACGTAAAATATTTTCTAGTTAGAGACGAGCGATCTGAATAGAAAAACGGCAACGAGAGTGAAGGATCCATTCAACGGTATCTAATACTCGCCTATCAGCAAACAAAATATTGGAAAAGCCTGAAAAAGAATGAACGTTCATTGCCTACTTATCGATGTAACATATAGGTTATCAAAACGGTATTAGGCATTCTTAAGCCAAAATTGAAGCAAATTATTTTCTATATTAAAAAATAATTACTAAAAGCTACTACACTGTATATATAACAGATTACAACCCTATCACTGGGCAACTTCAATGGTTTCTGGGTGAGAAATCAGGATAAGTGATTTTTTCGTCTCTATGCGAAAACTAAATTAATACAAATAAAGGAGTTCAGCAGTGATCAAAACAGATGATGGCCTTATCACTGGGCAAGTGCGTCAAAATTTCCCACCCAAGTTTTTCCCGGTAGCTAAAAATGTACATGGTTTGACATCGTTACGATGGTAGATGACGTCTTTTCTCTTCACTAGTTCCAAATAACCTTTTTGGTGGCTTGGTGTAGCCTTATTAGTTGTTGACAAAAGAAGTCTGACTCTATTGTTTTACCAGGCTACATCAGCTTATAATGCATGATTCACCAAACACATAGTATCGAGTCCTTTGGCATCGGCTTAGGCTTTAGCAGAAATTCTGAAGCACCTGCACGTTATTGTCGCATGTGATCCACTTTTGATTACTCGAGATTAACCACTTTGAAAATGGCTTGCGTTACGTTGCGTTTTTGTAGAGTCACAATCAATTCGACTGTTTTGCGTCGCACCGAAAGAGTGAACTTTTAATTACTATTAATTAAATTATTAAAAACTATTTGGTGATATATGTTTAGCAATAGATGTGATGGCTGCTCATATGTCGGCCTAGCTCAACTTTCGCCATAATTTGCGCGACTTCTTTCGCAGTCGATCGATCACTACGAAGAGTACCTTTGATCACATTGAGGTTTGCAGGACAAATATGACAGGACCCTCTTTGAGCTGTTTATTCCAAAAGTGTATCTTGACCAGCACAATCTATTTCATGTATTGTAGCCTTTATTGTGCTAAAATTGGAAAGTTTTGTAGAAATTTTCAAGGTGCTTTTTAGAACATCTAATCTTGCCAAATTTCAGCTTTGATACCAAGGCTCAGCCGACACAACGTATAATACCTGAGATGTATAACTTCAAAGCCATCTAGTTAGAAAAACATTAACGCTCTTTCGACAACCTAATATACCGTCGCGTTTTCTGTTTTTTTTTTTGATCTTTAATGTGCTGGATGATAAGAAAAAACTTGCGTAAACGGGTAATTCTAGTAAACTGGAGGCTAATACAGAGGTAACTGGAGGTCATTAGCGTGGTGCGTTCTATGGTGCGATTTACTACCTGTATAAGGCGGTGTCCGATGCTGTTTAAGACAGCAACATCCATTACCAGGTCATAGATTTATCTTTGGAATATCTGTTTGTTGCCATGTAGGGTAGACAAAACAAAATGGAAATAATTTTTTTTATAGCATAAGATTTATTTGGGTGCGCTATGTGTGCATCTCTCGTATCATCATGAATTCTTTAGTAAAACATAGTGCTATAGTTGCTTTGCGTCAGAGCTGTGTTGGTAGACATAATCAGTGTTTATAGTAAATTAACATGGCATAATGATGAACATATATAAACACAGTAACTTATCATATTGATAACTCTTGAATTTAGTAACCGTGCAAAACTGGGACCGTCGTCAACAGTTTGATTGATTATACGGCGAGGTAGATACAATAAAATTCCAAAAGGCTAAAGAGCCGATAAGTATAGATAAATCTGCAGTTTGTAATTTACAGAAATTGACCTGGTGGCTTGGTCGCTCTCTGATTGAATGAGACGACGGATTACCACCTCTAGTTCTGCCAATGACTCCGCCACATGCTGCACAATTTGTGCGAATAAAAAAATTACAGACCCAATTGTAAATAAAAAAATTTACAGACCCCAATGACATGGACTTGGTCTTTTGCTATCTCAATTACCGCCTTTGGCAGGGCCTCGGGGCATACTTCGCATCTACAAAGGTTCCTATTGACAACAACGAAATCGTACTCAGCTGCAACGCAAATTAGGTAGTGTTGATCTTATACATGGAGACCGAAATTGGTACAATACTAGCTCTTTTTAGCCTTCTGTACGGGTGACTATCATGGCAAATGTACCAGTTTTAGATGTGACTCGTGTTAAAAATTTAATCAAAATTTTAATCGATTTTGGGAGGACAAATTTGTTAATATCGGAGTTAAAACGCGACGATATTGAGTACATATTAGACTTAGGAACAGATGTCTTAAACAAGGATGAGTCCCTCATCTGTCTACAGGGGCCAGTAATGATCTGTGGAGGTCTCTTTGGTAAGTAGCCAGAACTGTGGGACACTATGCAAGTCTGTGATAACAGTTTGTAAGTGATTTAGTTAGTGGCAGTGGGAATCATGTGACGAAGGCTTAATTATTTGACTGCGGGCTCCAAAAAGGCCATGCCTTTTTACGGCAGGGTCGTACTTGCGGCCTGTCATAAATCTGCTACACTTATAGAATTCGAATGGATTCACTGTGGTTCACCGGTATACTGAATGGAGAGTGAGCATTCGATAATTAAATAATAATAATAAAAGACAATGATACGAACGTTCAAGTTTGGACGGAGCTGTGTGGAAAGGCAGTATTCCAAGTAAAAATTTAAATGCCCACTTGTGTCGGATTATACAGGACATCGAATTGGGGTCCTAGAATGGCTGTACACTGCATAGTCAGCTTTAGCCTCCATGAAATTTAGAAAACGTCCCTTAAATATTCGACTAGTTCTACTTATCCAGTTAATCGGCAGGCCTTTCAGAAGAATTGTTCGAAAGGGCTTTAATCTTGGCACAAGACGCAAAAACACTAAATTATGAACAAAAATATAGCAGCATTATGCCATTAGGTGACTGCGCGCAACCTGAAATGGGAAACTGACGGAAGATATGACGAGAAAAAGCCCGATCATGCCGAACTCTACTTAAGTCTTGAAGGCGGAGTTCAGTTTGACGATCCTCGAACAAAACCCCTTTGTGTCTGCTTGTTTTTTAAACATTCGGTACTAAAGTATCTACTGACAGCTCTTGCACCGAAAGTTACTTTCGTATCATCTGAAGCAAAAGTAGTTTCTAGTCGAATTGTAGGATTTCAAACGCCATACTGGGATATAGTGCGCGTAGTTACGGAACTAATTAAATCAACTTCTTCGGCTTTACAGGAGATCTACGAAATTTTTTAAATCTTCTCGATACGGCAGGTATGCCACCAAAGACAACATACGTCGTTTTGGGTGATATTGTAAACAAGGGTAAAAATTCAATTGAGGTTGTTTGCCTGCTATATTGCTTTAAAGTGCTATATCCAAATAAACATTTTATACTTCGAGGTGAACAAGAATCTACGGATCGTGTAAGAAAAGGAGGATTTAAAACAGAGGTTAAATATCGATTCGACGGAGACCTATACAAAAAGTTAGTGATGCTATGTTCTATTCACTATGTAAATTCGTGCGGTCGTATGATTGTCTGTGATGAAATGGACGTAATTAAGAGTTCATACCTCGTATCGTCTATGGAAATGGTGGATTGTGAAATGAAGTCAAATGAAGAATTACCGTGAATATTCGTTCTAAATTTGCCTCATATTTCATAGGAACTAGTCCCATCTCCAAATTATATCATCAATCGATATCAATAAGAGCGGGTCACACGAATCAGCTCGTTTAGGTCTTGGTAGTCTTAGGGACTTGACTGTTAACCATGGTATTAATTTAGGCAACAAAAGAACAACTATAGTTCTACTATTTTGATTCCAAAGTAGTAGAACTATAGTTGTTCTTTTATGTTTATGTTACTGTCTTCGATCTTATCCTGTAGACCTCGTAACAATATTTGTGATCTCATTGTTATGTGTCTCAAAGGTGTTGCTACAAGCACTGATCTGTACTATACGCAAACGCTCGTTTGACATATAGGCAAAGCGAGCTACGAAGCAAGAAGCGGGAATTTTGCAAACAGTATGGTTATCTACTGAACGCGATTTTTTGACACACGCATCACGTTTAGCCACACGATACCGACACCATTATGCGATTTACTCTATTGAAAAATGGGGAATTATCCCTGAAGTTTAAGTTAAACTACTTTGAAATCTGCACTGAAGCGCGTGTTTGTATAGATAAATGCAGAGTCTGAGATCCCACTTGTACTTATATATATTATACGACTATATGAGTACGCTTTCTAATCCACAAAAGGAACACTCCATTGGTGTTGCTTTTGCTGTGATGGGAGACCAAATAGAACTAAAAATAGGCTCACTTACAGTTGGAAAAGAAGATTTGCGGTTGGGTAAAGAACCTGGTTTTCAGCTGGTCGAAGAAAGAATACAGTTGAGCCAGCTACAGGGCTAGGCATACAATAGAAGTCGTATGTATATTAACGATTTATTTCAAAAGGTAAAGCAGTTGTCTTCATAAATGACAATAAATAGTCCAGTCTCATGTTATTACTGGCCTATTGCCGTGATTGGCCTAAGCAGATTTTCACTGACAACGTTTATTAATTATTGCGAGACAATCGAAATCAAGCCTCTAGCCACTTTAACATATAACGTCTTATTTTTCACGTGCGTGTCGCGTACTTTAAACACTAAAACTCTGGCAAGACAAGATAATTGCTACCGAAAAACGTCCCGCCAAACAAACTATTGGGCAAACTGTAGGACAAGATTGTTTTTTAGGAATTATATGGGAGAGAACATGGCAAGCGACGAAACATTGGCAAGCACACATGAACGAAACCTTGTACACATGATACAATACGAGACAATCTTTTATACGGCGTTTAGTAAGTTCCCTCTGAAATAAATATTCCCCCATTTGCTTGCAACTCAACGGTGCGCATTTGATGCCATTAACAGGTTTGTAACGTCGTTTTCGTATCTGCCCTTGGCTGCTGTCATTGCTGATAAGGTGCTCGCTTGCCATGGAGGCATTAATAGCAAAGTTCGCACAATCGATAGCATCCGAAGCCTCGAACGTCCGTTAAAGTCACTGAACGGAGCGGCAGCAGGGGTTGTTCTTGGGGTGCCTATCAATAAGGTGGGCGCATCTTACGTCGAAGATGAAGTTCACGAATATGATGCTGGCGCGGTATGAACACGAATTAGAATATAAATGTATGGAAGTAAACACTTCGTTTAAAAAAACGATATTTCATATCCTATGAGAAACATGGAATAGTAATAATAGAATCAGTTGCATGGAGTCGTACGTGACCGTTGTCGGTCTACGTTTGTTTGTATAGCAGAACGTTATGCTACAGCTTTAAGAATATATGGGGAGGTTGCTTGTATTATGCATTACGTGTATGTTGCGCAATAATCACAGAAACTCAACTAGAATCGAGCGTGATCGTCAGCGTCGTCTCCAAAACGTGGCAGGAGTAATTAGCGAATGAGCATAAAATATCCATGTATAGATCACACAGATAAAGAAAACATCGGGCAAATCAGCCTTCGACGTTTTTGCGTTCGACATTGCTTTTAAGTATTGGCTCAGACGGCTGGCTCCAAGCATGAAACGCTTAGCAAGTGCGCTTAATAAGCATCCCTAAATTTGGTAAACCACTGCACCGTACAAATAGGCCCTCTTCTACCAAAGCAGGCAGCCACAGCCAAATTTCAAATCAAGTTATCGTACTTTGTTGAGTAACCTAGCATTCGTTCTCCGGTAGGTATTTAATTTAGTCTTAATTTAAGGACTGTTGTTGTTGTTGTTGTTGATATTTTGATCACATGCTTTTAATTGACTGAAAAAATCCGATTTACAACGGCATTACTAATCTTGAATATGGTCTTGAGCTCCCTAAGCGACGGACCTAGGGAGATCTCTAAGCGGGGTTCCAGATCTATTTTAAGACATTAGTGAGCAATTGATTCAGCAGTAGCTGGCAAGCGTCAGTGTGACTCCGTGCGTCTGAAGTTATTCTAAAAAACTGTAAATAATGAAGACATACAAACTTTTCATTGTGTTTCGCAAGCAGTTATCCAACGAAACCTACGCTTTGAATCCACAGCAGCGATGTCACCCTTTGCTATGAGTGATTTGTTTTTGTTAGTTAGACGAATTAATCCTGTTCAAGCTACGTGCATCAACTGTGCTTTGTTCATCCGTAGGTGTTTCAGTTCTTGGAAGCCAATAAATTAAATCTAATATGTCGAACGCAGTGGGCACCTGCGGGCTATAAATATATGGACAACCGTACCGTTCTAAATGTCATTTCAACTCGAAATTTCTGTGGTAAAAACAATCCTGCCGCAATGGTGAAAATTGACAAGTTCGGCCAGTTGGATATAATCCTTTGCGGCGATGATATTGAACCTGAAAAAACAACGCATGTGCCGAAAGGAAGAAGGACAGAATGATAGAACGAAAAGAAGCGTCTCAAAGGTCACGATGTAGAAACAAATCTTGACTCTTTTCTGTAACAAGTATTTCCCGCATAAGCATGCATTGAAGCAAGCTTGGAACCCAGATTATAATTGTAAGTGCTATTGGCTAATAAAAATGCATAAACGCCATTTGATACGTGGAATTTGTCAAGCTTTTTGTAATCTTGTTGGCTTGCAGGTACGTTTCTATGACAAAATATTGATGGCTGGCAAGGATTGGCAGAAGATTAATTCCACTGCTTCTTTCTCTTGCAGTTATGAACATTTTTACTAGTTCCTCCTCCGTCAACGCTGATCATATAGGAGAGAATAGGATACGGTGTTCTAATTTACAGTTCGAATCGAAACATTTTTCTGTCAATTTAATATTAAAGAACACATGCATCTTCAACATAGTACGCACGCATGCACTTCTTTCTAATTACCCCGATTCCGACAAGTTAATTCCTAAGTTTTTTTGTTTTTGTATATATATATATAAATTAACTTCAGTAAAGTTTCTTTTCTAAGGGAACTACATCTACAGCTCATTCGTTTTTATGAAAAATATCGGTTTCTACCTGTCCGTTTCCGTTCGCCCACAGATTCAGGCTTTTGGAACAAAATTGGATCTTGATGTGCTGCGTCGTGAATCGACGGATACCTTCTGGATCCAAGTGCATAAGCGAGTCAACCGTGCGCAGTGTCTTCTCTATCCGAAATTTTTTCCAGAAAACCAGTCCCATGGCAATAATGAGAATCGGCAGAAACGGAAAGTGTAACGTCATACAGCGGTACACAGTTTCAATACACCGATAGAGATCCGTCTACGTCGAAATGTGGAGGCAAAACAAAGAAACGTTTCCAGAATTGAGCTGTAAAATGATTCACGTTGTGCATATCACTCGTTTCAATACAAACTGCGTGTGTATATCGAACAAGCTAACGCAACAATGAGAAAATAGGCGCAGTATTTGGTGCTTTAAGGAGCATTCTACGAGGTACTATTGAGGTGCAAACGTCCTAACGCCTCGAAAACATTCGTAAACAATAGTGCTCCCTATATTGGTTGAATGGCCAGAGATGACAGCAAATCACACCGCGTGCTCTTGTATTCGACCTACGGTAAGGAGAAACATCAGAGACGATAGAAAATATTCGGAGGCAACTAAGCCACAGCAACACAAGGCAAATATGTCGAATCGACTTGGAATAGAGTACGTTCGTTTGGACGATTCGGCCTTTGCTGTACCGATGCACGTAAAGCGTAAATTTCCTCGAAGATTCTTTTGCAGCTGGTATAAAATACTCAAACCAAAGAATATCAATGTTTCTAAATTATATATCCGCAAAACAATCAGCGCGCGCCTTGATGATAGCGATATATTAATGAACTGAGTACGGCCGCACAAAACGCCTAAGTAGGTGATGGATGTCTTTAGGTACATTCTTGTCCAAAAATAAACTCTTGCCGTGCAGCAAGATGCCCTGCGTGCTGTGATTCGTCCCTTACTGCAGTAGAACATTTGGAAAGAGAAATCGCTATAGAGAGCAAGACGCCTCGCACATTCTAGAGTCGTCTCAATTACGAATGGGAATAGTAAATCAATAGGCAAAAGTTTTTCGCTGCGCTTCATGATATCCCGCGAATGAGGTAGGCCGCGGCGCGGAAGAGATGGATCGAGAGGGTCTCCGGTCCTGATCTGATAGTTGGCATGAAAATTAATGCAGCGTTACACTTGCAAATACAAAATGTACAGATTTTGCATTATGTTAGAACATAGTACTGAGTGGAGTAGATATGCACTCTACGTTTCCATATCTATTTGTGAACTATGAAAGCTTAGCTCAAGCATGCTTTATTCTAATAGCTAATTGCCTCAAGTGCACAGGAAAAATAGACGCTTATTATAGAAGACAGGAAGACATTGACGAGAATTACTTTTAAAAATGTCACAGATACGGATAGGGAATGGTGCACCGTGTCCAACATTTAACACTTGAGGATAATCTCGTCGAACGGTGGGCTCGATGCAATGTGACGGTTTAAAAAGTTGAAACGAAACTGTCTTTGCAACCGAAAATGCTGTGTAGTCCAGGGGAGAATACAGGGAGAAAAAAGATTTTAGGAGTGAACTATCGTCCCCACGTTAACTAATGACAAGCTGCTAGACAGATAACAGAACTTGGCCTTGGATTGCGCCCAGTCAGCCGAACTGCTCAGCGTCTGTAAATCGTTCCTGATTCGTTATTAGAACAACGTATTATGCAGGACATGCACAGAGACAAAAACAAGCAGAACCAGTATCTTACCACGATACCAATCAGCTCAATGATAAGTAGAAAAAACTAAGTTAAACCAGCAATACGGACTGTCAGTGAAACGTAACTAATACTCAAGTTATAATGGATTCAAGAAAAGTGCACATATGCAAATAGAACATAAACTTCCTTAGACTATTCGTTGGCCTGTTGGCCGGCCGGGCGCCGCTGCACCCTCATTACAAGTTTTGTCACAAGGGCACTAAGTCTCACTGACGTCTTTATGGTCCCGTGCGAAAAATAATTTCACTCGAACACTCGTTTCGCCCAACTGTTCATAATGGAGACGAGTCTTATAATGTATGCAGTAGAAGCATTAAATGGTCGTCAATTCTAAACCAAATCTAAAGCTGTTGTAAGTTGAATTGAAGGAACAGTAACTGCTCTGCGATCGTCCGCAGCTAACGTAGTTCTACTTCTATGTAGAAAAATTCATATTAAGCCTGGTAGCTAGCTACTCGTCACGCGCTCGCTATCAAATAACAATACTTCAGTGTTTTGAAGCAATGTTTTTTTATTTTATATATAACGATATGCTCATACCTAGCTCATTCATTCCTGCACTTTCTCTCGCTTCATTTCGTCCCCCTTGCTTACTACATACATGATACGGCAGGCGGACGACGCACATAAAACCAATTTACTCACCGCACGGCCTTGCAGGCAAAATGGCACTATCCCCCGATCGCGCCAAGCGCCGCAAAAATAGACCGACGAAGATTTACCGATAATTAATCGCTCCGCGTACATTAGTAACTATTAACATAACCTATATAGCACGAATAGACGCAAGCTGTTTGTGATGTTTGCAGGCCAGGGGCAAAACCCTAGATATTTTTAGTAGTTATCATACCGTATATAAGCAACTGAATTTTATAGTTTTCACATATTCCCTCACTATACGCTCAATTGTCATCTCGATGTTATCGACTTCAATATTATATATGTATATATATATATATATATACGGCATTTTTCTTTATTAACACAGACTAAAACCCGAAACGAATCACAGTTTCCTAAAAATAAGTGGTCAGAAATGACAGCATATAAGATACACATCTTAGTTGATTTTTGCCGATGGTTGTGCCTATTATTCATCACAGCGAATTGTTTGTCCCTTTCTGTGTGCATGCATACACGCGTGTATCTGTCTGTTTCATGTGTGAGTACGAGTCCTAGATTTTGCTTGCGACCACAATGAAAAAACCGCGCCAATCAAACTATACGAAATATAAGTAAAGTATATGTGGCGACTTCTCAACAAACGGTCTCACACAAAGGCAGGATTATCGCAATTTAATGAATGTAGAGAATTCACAAAGGACAACTTCTGGCATCGCAGCCTTACAACGCTACCGGGGTGACTTCATGTCAGCTCACGCCAATTGCACATGGTCACCGAATGCTTTTACATACGCCAGTGTTCACCAACGGTGCGTTTATAAAGCTTACAGTTCTGCAATGCAAGAGGTAGGTAGCTAGCTAGCTAGCTGTGTCCCAATAAGATCTGTATGTATGTATTCAACGTTTTTTCCACTTGTTGATAATTGTTCTTTGGCCCTGCATAATAGAAAAACCGAAAATTGGTGCACCTGTTTTGCTACATCCGTGTGGCGTAGTGTTGCTAATTGCACCGTTTTTCTACGCGCGGTATCGTCATAACTTTCAGTAACTGTTATTAATTACTGCTCTTTTTTTTTTGCTCTTACTAACAATTTGTCGCACTTCGATGTGTTCTTATATATTATCATGTACTTATATTTACATACCGATATACTACAACCTGTTTACAACAACAACACAGGCATGAATCTATGTGGATGATATAAGTTTACATGTATGCGTGTAATTACTTGCTGTTATTTATTGACCTGTTTTTTTCCCATATACTAGTAGTTACCTAAATATCGATGTTGATTTGCAATCGCCATCATTATCACGTAGCAGTGTTTAGTTTATCTCATTGTATCGGCTGCGTTAATTAGTTTAGTTGTTTGTGTTTTGTTGTCGCTAGCTTCGCGTTGCCGTCGCTATTGCTATGGGCAAACGCTAACAAGGTTCGCTGGGCAATCAGTTTTTGTTACCTTTTGAGTAGTGTTTACTTTTTTTATTAGTTTTCACTATCGTCGTCATTACATTTATACGTATATATATATATATATATATATATACGTATAAATATTTTTTTGCTTGGTCCGGTTTCAGGTTATATATCTTTTTCTCTGTCTACGTGCATACGTGTATCTGTTCGTTTCAAGTGTCATACGTACGAGTCATAGATTTTGCTTGTGACCACAACTAAAAAGAGAAAACTGCGCCAATCAACCGACTTGAAATATAAGCAAACTATATGTGACGATTTCTCAACCAACGGGCTCACACAAAAGCAGGATGTTTGTAAACAATTTATCATGTAAGTTTATACATCATCCACATCAATTCATGTCTATGTTTAGGACAACAATTTTTTTTGTAGCTGGGTTGTAGTATATCGATATATAAATATTCAAGCTAACATATAAGTTACATGATAGTATACAAGAACATAAGAAGAAGTGGAAGTTACGACGATGGCGCGCATGGAAAAACGTTAAATGCGACGCTACACGGATGTAGCACTATATGTGCAAATGTTCGCTTCTGTGCTATGAAAAGTCAAAGGTTGTTAGGAGAGATGCCAACGACTACTGGAAAAATGCTACATCCTGCATGAATTAGACCTCTTGAGCGCACCCTTTGGCGAACGTTAGCATTTGCACGAACACTCATTAACCATGTGTAAATGGCGTGAGCTCATCTCGGTATCGTCGTGTGGCTGCAGTGGCAGAAAAGGCCCTTTACGACCACGTAAATAAGATCAGCTCTCTTAAATTCGCTAAATCCTGTTTTTGCTTAAGGCCGTTCGTTGAGAAGTTGTTACATATGGTTCTCTCGACCTACACCAAAGGCAAATCTACACATGATCAGTAAACACGTTGGGCCAGCCCAACCACTGGCAGGGCCCGGTACAATCACATACATCCTCGGTTTTCCTGAACCCCTTCTCATTGCTCTATATTTCGTTGACTTTTATTAACCTCATCTCACCGTCTCAACTCTACAAGTCCAGCTATTGCTGTACACTACGCTATGTATCGTTTCCACATTGAAATATCCTATAATAAGATATATTTATATGTATATACAACATCCGCGCTCGTTTCGATAGCCGCAGCAGCACTCGACGACTAAATCCGACGTCTGAATCACACGCGCTTTGTTTGCCTTATCTTCTCTGGTTCCTTATTATTATTATTATTATTATTACTGTTGAAATCACTGCACTGTCTTTTTCTCTTCACTGTATACTCATTGCTAAAAATAGTAATCACCCGTCTGCGGTCTGCGCATCAATATAATACATCGTTTGCTTTAGTATCGATTTCATACGCACGCGCTGCGCCCATTTCTTATTTCTAAGATGCACTAGATCTTTGTTACATATTCAATAATCTTGTTTGCGTTTCGTTTTCCTATGTTCTATTTGACATTACCAGTTTAGTACAATGGCTTTTGTTTGTCGTACATTCGCTACTGGTCATTCTACGTTAGTTACGTGTATATTTCGTAGGACTGGCTAATGTGCAACTATATTACTTAAACGGTTGGACTGGTGCAGTATGCCACCAAAATTACGAACTTGGATAGGGTATTCGCAGAGCGACGGGAAAAAATCGAGGCGATTTTAACTCGCGTTCCTTGTTACTGTGGAAGGTCGTCGTCGTCGTCGTCGTCGTCGTCTGTATGTGATTACTTGGTGAAATGCATTTATCTCAAATACTTTAACACCGCGTTCTTTTGAATATTTGTTGTTGTGGTTGTTGTCGGTATATTGTTATGTGTGTTGCACAGACGGATGGTTGGAGCTCTTCGAGTAACAACTGCGCTACAGTTTTTACCTTGATTGTACCTGACCATGTCTTCTCTAATATCAGCACATTAACTGCGATGTGTTTCGTTCAGCATGGGTGATGTCGATTCATCAGGTGCCGGTAGAGCTAGTTGTTGTCAAGAGATCGTTGTCGTTTAATCGCTTCCGACGGGCTTAGGACCTACGCAGGAGCGCGCTACTGAATCAAACAGTCTGAAATAGTGTTTGAAGCATCATATTGGGGAAAGGAGAAAAACACACGAGATTATTGCCTCACGTTACCGGTCCGCTGGAGCGAAGTTCTGCGAAGTCTTCAAGACTCCTACAACTAAAATGTACACTGTATCATCACTAACCGGTGATAGATAACAAAGTCATGCATATTATATAGATCTTCTAACAACGTAATGTAGGGCAAGACAGGCAAAATGGAACACTTACTTCTCGATCTCAGGAGCACAACGGATGAATTCGTACTTCCAGAAGTTCAATTGTGTGTTCTTGAGCAGCTCCACGAAGGTGACCAAAAGTCCCCATGGATGAGGTCGGTTAACGATTAGCCTCTCCAGCAGTACGCGGGTGATTTGCTCCCGAACTACATTGGCCATTGCTGGTGTCATGGTTTGACGCGACACGATGCCGGCTTCACCCTCCTCTTCAGCATTCACTGATTGGATGTCTTGTAGTCCTGCGAATAGTGCGAGAGTCAGCGCGCTGAAATACGCCGTATGCGCATTCGGGAAGCGCAACTGATTGGCAATGGCATTCAGTACCAAGTACCTCCCTTCGTTATCCATCTTCGCCATGAGCTGCTCAAACAGTTCGGCGTGCGGAGTCCGAGCGACGCACTGCCACGTCAGTGGGATGGAGTTTCCTTGACCAGCTTGAGGACCACCGAGCGGTTTCTGGCCAGCTGGAGTGCGGCCACCAGCTTCGGTAAAATGGTACGGCTGCTGTTGAGTCTGCGGCTGCATCATGGCAATCGCTTGTGAACCTACGTACAAAACAAGCGCATTGACGAGTGGAATATTGTATCGCGACCCAGCCTCGTTCGGGCCACTGCTTCCCTGAGCGTTGCTCTGTACGAGAAGCGCGTCGATCAACTCGGCTACAATGCCGGCCGGCTGGCGCGTTTTAAGGAACGCATCGAGGTCTTTGCGTAGAGGCAATGACTGGATCATGGTTGTATAATTTGGTAGAATTCTTGGCAAATGCATACACTCCGGGATGGTCTCAACGCGCAGGAGCGGCGTGAATGGATCAGGAAGGCGCATATGCCGCGGGAAAGCCGAAAGGATAAGGTTGCGCATCTGCACACAGTTGGCCGGGATCAGATCACACAGGCCGTGATGGTAATCAACAAGGAATTCCGGGAAGTCGTGTAACAGAACGAGCAACACTCGGATTGTGCCCTTGTACAGCAAATGCACCGGAGGCGTTAGCTCCATGTTACGAAGGAACGGTGAAAGAAACTTGAATAGATCTTGAAGTAGCTGGGCAAACATTCCTTAATCAAAGGCAATAGACAAAACGCAATATAAATTAATGTAAAACTCTTTTACAAAAAGGCGCGTCTCGTAGGAATCATTGACTGTAGTAACTGTTAAGCGCAACTACGAATAATTAGTGATCCATTACTCAAAAAAAAGAACGCGACGTAAACCAATAATCAATCTAGCTTGCATCGTTTCGCGCTGGCAGTCTTTCAATCGATGACTTTCGAGAACAATCATACGAACTCTATTCGTACGACGGAATACCTGCCATGATACGACTGTAAAATTTGATGAGTCCTTAGATCATGAAAGTGAACTTACCCCAGGCCTTCTGTTGAGGAGTAATGGCCAGCATCCTGGCGAGGAACATACGATGGGAAATCAGCTCCAGCCAAGCGAAAGCGAATCCAGGCACCTACATACATACACCAAATCAAGACACGTGGATATATCATTGCTCCGGCCAAACTAGGCCAAAGAAATTTTTCTTAATCTATCGTCGTTCGATATGCATCTATATCTGTTATTTTCTGACATTTTCATTTATTTTTTATATTTTTTAATTTTCGACATGCGCTTAGTCGCATTTCATTTTTGCTTATTACAGACTCACCTTAGAAGGGTGGAGCATATGCAGGGTGTTGCAGAAGGCCATTAATGTTTGAAACGAGAACACCTCCAAAATAGGTTCCGGGGCTGTCAGTTCGAGGAACAGCATCAAGAACATTCGGTGGTAGGCAAGTTGCCGGAATTCACTGGCTCGCGTCTCATGATCATGGACAAGGACACCTGCAATGATACCTAGAACCTTGTTCAGTAGGTTCACCTTCGTGATTGGGTTGGACTGGTCGCCGCTATGCTTAACAAGCATGGCAATCAGACGCACGTAGGCGTCTAGTGTCAGGAAGCACTTGTTCCGGGCGACATTGACGCACTGGTGAGCGGCGAGTGCTGGTGAATTATGAGTGGCCGAAATGGCACTACTGCCACTCAGGCCATCACCGCCAGCTGGCTGAGATGGAGATAGAGCGGCCTGCTGGTTAACCTGTTGGACAGCCTTCGTCGTCTGGCGATACGTATGCTCGACACACATTTCGGTGGAAAGACGGAAAAACTTGGTGATGAGGTCATCCGTCTTAAGAATGCCCTGCATGTTCATCTGTTGAACGAACAACTGGAAGTTCTTCGTCGAGTCCTTACCGTGCGACGAACTATACATCGACACCCAATCCTGTAACAAGCACTCGGTCTTGGTCTGAAGATCAGGCGGATCGTTCTCTGGATTCCGCGCCTCGCTCATCCCCGAATGCATCATAGCCATTGGCGGGCTGTTATATTCGAGCTGATTGCCCTGGCCACCGGGACCCCCTGCGAACGGTCGCTGGCCCAACATAAGCTCAGGACCACCACCACCAAATTCTTCTCCTAAGGCTGCAACGATGGACACAAAGCAAAAGGAATTCGACGTAGATAGATTTACGTTATGTGATAAAACGGTCGACGCTACGAAAATTATTATCGACAACCAATGCCTCGTTTTCTAAATTAAAGATTTAACCGAAATCTCAAGAAAGCAAAAGACTGCTTTGTTGAGAATTCTCCTTTAAATGTTTCTTTGCCGATCTGTCTGGTGATAGTGTTATCGTACTCACGGTTGGGGTTTAGCGGTTGTTGCTGCTGCTGCTGTTGACGCTGCTGTTGTTGGTGCTGCGTCAAAGGCGCTTGTTGCTGCTGTGGAGGCTGCTGCGGTGGTTGCTGTTGCTGCGGGTTCGTTTGCGGCGGAAGTGGCGGAGGTAGACGCCGATGATGGTAAATTGCCTCAAGCGTATGTGGCATATCTGCTTCTGGCAGAACACCACTCTCTCGGTAACTATTGACAACGCGCACTAGGTCTTTTGCGAACGCCAGAGCAGCAAACGACACAGACTGATCAAGTAAGCTTGCCAGCTGTACATCGAAGAGCGGTACGAAAAGCAGGTTAGACCTGAAATAATGCCACAAAACATATCACCAAGAGTTACAAAAAAATGTGGTAGTTGTTGGTCATTGAATTTAGAAGCGAAAACAACGGAAAATAGCATATTTGCTTTAAACAGGTTGTTACAGATGAACATCATTTAACTGCACAGGTATATAACACCACTAAGCAATATTAATGGATGCATTATTTAAGTGAGCAGCGTTTACTGTATTGGTTTTTACCATTTTGATAGGGATTATGATTTGCATATATTCAAGACTGATCTCGTTGAAATTTTTCAAGTTAGCTGAAGTCCGTCTGCCATACAATATAAGAGCAATAAACGGCACACGCAAAAGTGACTCCCTATCACCGCACAAGAATATGTGAAGGTTAGCTACAAACCTGAGTAGAGCGTCGAACACCGCTAGATTGTATCTGGCCTCTTCGTTTGGGTGCTCAAGGAGAACTTTTGCAACGATACTCGGCAGCTTCATGTTGAATCCAAGCAACGAGCGATCGGCCAGAACCTTTAGGACGAGAACGTGTGTCTCGCGGTATTTGTTAGACCAGTCAGATGGATGCGGATGACCATGCCCACCCTCCAAGTGCGACAAGGTTGGGTGGTTCAGTATAAATAGGCCTTCCAGAAGACTTTCCATTGTTTTGTGAACTACCATGTAGCCAGCCGAAAGTTCGTAGTTCGACTGGCGATACACCTGCAAGGCTTCCTGCACGACGTGCACATTCATCGCAAGCTGACTGGCCGCCGGCATCGCTTGTGGTATAGTGTTTGACATGTGCGTCGTGATATAGCTTACCAACATCTCCAGTTCAAGGAACATCTTTTCGACGAGACCACCTCCACTGGCATTGTCCTCGATTTGCGGGACGCGAGGTGGCATCATCATTGGCTGCGGCTGTGCCTGGGCTTGCGGCATCTTTTGGGCTGGTTGACCAGATTGGTTAGCAAACTGCCCTGCGAAATAGGCTTCTGCCGATCGGGCATCATGCTGACCGGCTCCTGCGAATTGTCCTACTCCAGGGCGTTCCCCAGGTCCCGGTGAGCTTGCGAAGCCTGGCACGTTTCGAGCAAACTCTTCATAGACAGCCATTTGCGGAGCTGGTGTACCACCTAACTTCAATCGTAGAATTTCCGGCATGCGCTCCTGATAACTGAGTGCATTGTGGTCACAGTAGACTTTGCCCTCTTTACGTGCGACTTTCCGGGCCTCGTACTCGGCAGAGAACTTTTTGTCGGCTTCGTTAACGGCCTTCTCGATAGCCGTCTTTTGAATAAAGCAAGTCGCGAGTTCAACATTTTCGTTAGCAATGGCGTTTGCCGCCTGGTCGATGTGTTGTTCCTTCGAGTTAAACGGCATCTGGCCCTGTGAAGCAATCATATTCAAAGCATCACGCAGGAGCTTCTTAGCGTTGTTCGTAATCGTTATAAACAACGGCTCTTTGCATGTGACAATGACCATGGCCGCGGTAACGGCGCGCACCATATTGTGCAGCGAAAGGCGCATCTTGTTCTCATCAGGCTCCAAAGCGAAATCCTTCTTAACAATATTTTCACAAGTGACGAGTGCGATCTTTAAACACCGTTCAACGACAGGTTTCATCCACTCCTGGATGCTCTGTTCGACTGAATTACGAACATGCAATTTCAGATTAGGATGCGTCTGAAACAACGGGATATTGGGCGGTATCGAGATCAATGAAGGAAGCATGTCTGAAATGAGAAAAAAAAAATGTGCAATATATTTATATAGTATTAGCATGCATACTTCTACTTCATGGATGGTGTAAGAACGAACTTGTTAATCTATATATCTGACACAACAGAAAAACATTCATTGATCGAAATCGTTCACACTAAGTATGGTCACTACATGTCAGCTAGTCTTAAGCTCGGAAGTGTGCTTTAGATTATTAGCCTACTTTGCAAACTTGTTATTGAAATATATATATCTCAATATATAAGTCTCGTCTTGTGAGCTTCGAATGTATATAAAGTGTTTATTTAAGGATAACTGTAAAAAATGTATCGTCTTTAAATGCGATTTAAAAAAAAGGATAGTGAGACACATCGTTACAATTTGTCTTACTAATCGTAATCAACCACAACTCACTTGGCGTAACCGCATTAAACTCCCGAAGTGAATACTGCGGCGTAGGCGGTTGTTGTTGTTGTTGCATCAGCTGTGCTTGAGTCAGGTTGTTAGAAACTTGTTGGCCTTGCGACATGATAGCAGCCTGACCGGCCTGGGTGTTTTGTGGGGCCACACCAGGTACTCCTACGCCCATCTGCTGTTGCTGCTGCTGCTGCTGCTGCTGCTGTTGTTGCTGCTGATGTTGCTGTTGCAAAAATTCTTCAGGCGGACCGGATTGGCCATGCATCATGCCACTGCCGGGCACCATACTCGTATTGGCGCCGCCGCCGGTACCCGCGTTTTGCATATTGAACTGCTGCATCATCGGGATGATTTCATTCACCTTGGGAGCGGGTTGGCCAGCCACATGCGGGTGGGGCGGTCCGCTAGTAACCTGCGGCGGAGCTGACATTTGTGGCGCGGACACACTGACATTCGGTGGATTCTGTGAGATTGGCGGTGGGCCTAGAAGCGGTGAATCCAGCAAGGCGAGCTTACCGTGATCTTTAAGGACGTGGAAACAACCACGGCGTATAGCATCCTCTTTTACCTGCTGAACGTCCAAGCACAAAGCCTTGCACAGAACTTCAACTTCAAATTTGAGATTCAGTTTCAGGCCCTGTTCGCTGTGTAATTCGACAAGGGCGTAGACCAAACCCATCGTGAACGGACTAGGTGGCCGAAAAATCTTTGACTTAACTGCAGACTCAAGGATCTTAGCAATAAATGGCACAACATATAAAAGATCTTGAAGACCTTTGTGGTAGGCTTCGATCAGTAGCGCCTTGAGATCGATGTCGAGTGTGAGAATAGGTCGGTTTCGGGCGATCGTCAACAAACCTAGCCAGTGACCAAGGCTCTTCAAAAGAGCGCGATCAGTAAAGTCCGATACATCCTTATCACTGCGAAGTAGAACTCGAATATTGCGGTAGGTTTCACTCAACGTAAGAGCCGATAGCGTCTGAGAATTGATTGTATCAAGGAAATTGACGTACAGCGAATGGAAATTAGCTTCGATCGAAGCTCGTTTAACAACCATGTATCGGGCGAACCACGGGAATAACTCCTCGCTTACCAGTTCCCTAAACTCCTCAGATTTCTGCTGTACATTAGCCTGTAGGAATTAAAAAATATATATATATAATTAAAAGAGATCGCAGATCTATTTCCTAGATAATCAACCAGCAAAATTCATGTTTTTTGCGTAGCCGATGATAGGCATTCCTATGAATAATTTTTCCATCATTTTCTATCGAGCTAATATGAACAACAATTGACTCTTACTTACCTGATTCATAGAAATTGCATTTATGACTCAACTTAAATGAGAGTCCTGAAGGATAACCTAATAATGTGCAATGACAAAAATGAAACATCAAATATGGGGCGATACGAACCTGCGACAGGTTGTTGATGATAAATCCGATCTTGTCAGCTGTATGTTCGCTTGGTTCGATGATTTTCTCGACTTTGTCTGAGGCACCCAGCAACGTATCGATATTCGTCGCGGCAGCAATGGAGGGCTTTCCGCCGGTGGCCAGAACAGTGCTCTTTTTAACGCCCTGCTGAGGATTCGAATGCGCGAGTTTGCCATTGTTTAGTAGAGGCATCACTCCTTTAGGCTTGCCAGGTGGTTCTTGTCCTTTCATTCCGCACTCCACCCATAACTGCAAATGCTCCGGAAACATGCTGAACGTTGGGCACGAGTGTAGAAGTTGGCAAAATGAGGGGTTTGCCCTTATCTTCGTTTTGAAGCAGTCTAGAGCAACGATACCAAAGTAGAACATCTTCATGTTCTGTGGCTTTTTGATCGCGTCAACGACGAACTTGTGCGCCATCGTTAGGGTTTGATAACGCACGAGCTCGTAGTCAATTATGCCACCGAACAACTGAGCCGTGATCGTCAACTCTTTGTCAGGGTACGACGGAAAGAAACGATACTCTTCGAAAAGATTCCTGATCATGCACTGGAACACCTCACGTTCATTTGGCTTGTTTGAATTGCTGAATCTGCAGTTCAGCAATACGAATAAATAGAGTCGGCGTTGAGTATGAGCACTTCATGAATGACCGTATGATAATAATAACGATCTTGGCAACTGAAGATAAGACAGCGCTTCTGACAACGAGCGAAAATACTCTATGATTTCCATAGTATGCAAAAAACACTGTTAATTGGGAAAAGTCGCAGTTTAATAGACCCATATATTTATATGGAATCCGAATCTCATGTCTATGACCTTCTCGTCATTCTAAATATAGGATATATTAATTAAATAGCAAAAACCGGTTTAATGAATGGCATACCTTTTAAGCATGTCTAAAAACTCCTTGATCGTTTCTGTCTTGATCTGAGGTTGGTTGTAGATCTTCTGAAAGTACGAGTTCGCCTCATCTTCAGTTTCCTTTGAGACGTGTACTCTTGTCAAGTCGCCACTTTGTAGGAATTCCTCAGTAGTCGGCGGCGCAGCTGCCGTAAGAGCGGCAGCTCCACCCATAGGTCCGCCCATGAGCGTCATTGGCCCGGCGTGAGTCTGAGGTCCGCCAGGACCAAACACCTGTCCGGGTGTTTGGTTCGACCTGTTCGGCCCCGTCGAGTAATGCGGCTGCATTGCCGTTGGCGGATTGCGGAAACCCAGCATATCGCTCTGCGGTTGCGCAGGCGGGGGCGGCAAATGCGGTGGCTGTCCAAGGTTCACCGGATGATGCTGCGGGTGTGGATGGTGGAAATTGCCAGGCGGTACCTGCCCTGTAGACATATGAGCTGGAGGTGGTGGATGAGGTGGCTGTGGACCTCCTCCCGGACGGCGTTTGCCGCCGATCACATTGAAATTCTCCATCATGTTTTGAACCTGATCGAAGACTTCGGCCAGCCGCATCTTAAGTTTTTCATCTTTGATTAGAGGACCCTGTAATATGCACATGCGTGCAAGGGAAGGTTGGTATGTATCTTCGCAACCTAATAGTGAAAAAAACGATACTTCAAGATGTAGCATCATTAAACCGAAACACGATACTAATGGATCACGACGGCACATAAAGGCAAAAAAATATCTATACGTATATACTGTAGTATCTGAATATATATATATATATATATATATATATATATATATATATATATATATATATATATATATCCAGATACTACAGTACACATTGCTGCTTACCTGTGACAACATTGTGGCTAGCATTGTATGGACACACTCTTGTGTGATAAGGTGAGCCCCCGTCTCGCCAGGTTTTCCGACCAAATAGGGCACCTGCAAAATGTTTGTCGAAATCATGATTTATCCGTAAACTTAGTTTAGTTAAAGAAGTTGCGTTTCGTGGTTTTCATGCTATAAATTCTTGTAAAGAATTTTTTTTTACCAAATAACTTGGTGAATGTATAAGCCCTTGCGTCTGTCATGTGCGTGTATACCAGATGTAAAAGTTTTCGACTATTAATTTAAACTATAGGCTAAGGTCTATAGGATAGATGAGTTTTACAAGTATGCCTGCTTTTGATAATAATAACTGAAAACTATTGAAATATCCCTAAAAAATGCATATGATCAATATATTACACCATGTCAACTTCTTTAAATTATTTAGGAAAATAAAATGAAAATTTAACTTTCTAACATTTGATTCAGAATATATCACGTTTATATTTTCGCACGTCCCATACCTTCTCCGCTTCTAACTAACGGCATTTTTCTTATATTGTATATACAGTATCATAGGTTATGTTCGTACTGCTATGTTTCGTTAGCTTAACATGTACTCAGGAAAACCGAACTTCAAGATGGATAACTATGTATATAAAAATGTGATATGAACAGCAACAGAGCACGGGAAAGGCACTGCGAAACAGACCATCATGTCATTTGTACCTTCCGTTGTAGGAACGACACACAGGCCGGCATGAACGTTTCAATATTCGCGCTCAGATTGTCCGCCATCCACTTGTCAAGTTTAAGATATTCGCGACGGGACGCCAGGCAAGCAAGATCAATGGCGAAGGTAATCGTGTTTTGAATGCCTGTGGATTGCGACAATCACGTAACAAACAAAATCATATATATGTCTATAGGATACTTGTTTCCTCCTGGATCATTTAAAGGCAATGTAGACGAGAAATACGAAAGAATTTAAAACAGGAACACAAGCTATCCAATAAAAGTACATTATTCTTAAGGGAACGTAGTAGATGTACTTCTTAGAACCGTTAAATTGCTGTTTTCTTGCATCAGTTAAGTCAAGCTTTTAAAAACAATAACTCGGACATCGGGGTATTAGATAGGCTCCTCAAATTTTTAAGGTGGTAGGTATTATAGCTAAAAGAAATATCCCAAAAAAGACACTATGAATACGAAGAACTTGTGAATGATTTGTTCTGCAAATTAAAGTTACCATGAGCCATAAAACGAACAGTTATAACCCACTACCTTTGACGTAAATCATAACCGTGTTGAATATGAAAATGATGAATGCAGTTTCCATTGATTTGTTTTGCAAAACAATACGATTTTAAATATTTAAAAAATAAATAAGGTTTTTTTTTATTATTAAGTCTGAGTCAACTTACCTACTTGGCCGACGGCATCAAGTGTGCGTGCCGATGCAAGAAGACTTTGCAGACACTTAATCTCCTGAGCAAGCTCAAGGATACGTGTTAATCGGCTCGATTCACCGTCTCCTGACGTGTAGTACTCGACCATTGCTTCCTGAAAATCAAGTAATGGAAAAACCTTTAATCTATATATTTAACCAGCTTTTTTTTTTATTCCATCCCGTCGCATTAACAATAACACAATTATTCTCTATGTCAACAACTTTCTTGGAAAGAAATCTTTCTCGCTATACACTGGAAAATGGTTGTTTATACACATCGTACGCTTATCTAAGTTGATTACTAGATTTGATGAAAATAAAGACAACGATGAATATATCCGTTAGCAGTTATGATACAAACTTTAACGATCTTGTGCATTTCCTGTTGCATCGGCTGTGCGGCTGAGCCGCTCCACGCGAAGTGCAGGATAGTCTGCGCATTATGGGCTCCTCCACCTAGGTAGTGTTGCATCAAATCCTTGAGTAGGATGCGCCGACCAGGGGTCATTGGTGATTTGACCTGCAGCAACGCTATCGTGATTGTGTCGTGGGACGATTCCTTTGCTGCTTTATATAGATTTTGAACTTCATTGTGCAACTCGGGACGATCGCACAACGTCATCAGGGTGTCATGCACTTCCATGACCTAATATAAGTGGAAAAACGAGAAAGAGGCGGGAACATGGACGAAGGTGAAATTGCGTAATGACTTGTAATCATGACTCACTATATCTTATTAAGTAGAGCCTATCTATTTTGCGTTACATCCTGCTAAGTTAGAATTCTACCAATATATTAAGGTTGTAGAACTCATTTCCAAATAATCAATTTCTAGGTTTCCAGTAGTTGTGAACACATTTGAAACAAATAACAATGAGTCTTACCTCATCATTTATGTACCAACAGTATCTTCTACAACAGACAGCTTGATATTGACATGAATTAGCAAAATATCGAATGGAAAGTAAATTTTACCTTCCAATTGACAAAAAGCGGGTTGGAGTCCTCGTCGTGGCCTGGGCCAGTACCGCCGCCGCCGCTAGGCTTCTCCTGCGCGACCACGGGCTCGGGCTTCGTGCATGGTAGGCACTCGGTAAGCTTGACGATATCCGGACACGTTAACATTTGTTTAAGGAGGAAGAACTGTCCTTCACAGTTCTGCCACTTGCTGTACATACCAACAATGAAAATCGAGTGAGTGAAACGACGCAAGGTATGTAAAATACATGTAGTTATATTATAAAATAGAACAGAGGAGCAACTATTATATCTTAAGACGACCGGACTGATCGATCGAAACGACATCACGTTGCTATACGTCAAAATACATTGGCAAGTAATAAAATTTATGCTCACCTTTGGCATGAGTTTAAACACACTACAGTAATACTCTAATACAATGAACTAAACACCAAACAAAGATTTTGGTATTTGAAGTTGATGCTTTCGTGCCACATTACTTCCAGTGGAGTTTATGATTTTACGTTTCGACACCACTGACGCGGAGAAGTCAACAACTACCCACACCCATGAAAATTACTTGTAAGAAAAACGCGTTTCCATAGGAATACTACCATTTAATAACAATAAACGACATATAATATGCCTACTAACCCGTAGATAATGTCCATTGGAATTCTCTGTACGTCGTCAAATGCCTTGGTCAACACCTGCCACAAAAACCTGAGCCCGGCGCGATCCTTAACAAGGAAGTTTGGGTTGTCAAACTGGCGGACCACCTCCTTCCAGTCTAGCCCGCTTTCCACGGCAATAATGGCTCGAAACAGAACGTCAACGTTCCAGTCTAGCGCTTCTTGGGGTCCACCTCCGACAACGCCACTAGTTTGACCCCCACCTTGCGTATCCTTTTGACCAGGCCATCCACCGGTTAACACGTTCGAAGGGCTCATCCATACGGGATCATCATTTCCAGCCGGCTAGACACACAAAAAATGAATGCTATTGATTAGGGAGCTTCAAGTAAAATAGGACTACAAAATGGTAATGAACGTAAATGACAACTATGTGAACATTTTCACACTTTATACTATTCGAGCTTTGTACACACCTCTATGCTTGTTCTGCTTGATTGTGCGCTTGTTCATTTGCTAAAATCACATCATATTGAACATAGTTTATATATAAACTATGTTTACACTGCTACGTCAACTAGGTATCGAACAGAAATACTTACAAAGTGGCTTTTACACATGGCACTGATGAGGTTAGCCACGAATTTTGCGCCTGTCATACCGATCACCCTCGAAAACTCTCGGATCTCGTTTTCACACTTTTCCGCTGATGATGTCAGCGAACGGCCTACCTCCGCTATGTATTTGTCGGCGGTGGACGCCTCCATCAAAGTCGAGTTTCGGGCGGCCATCGCCGTGAGCAAGCGATTCACTAGGTCTTCTGCGTCCTCCTGGCGATTATCACCCCTACCCGGCGATCGTTGTTCGAATGGCAATGGCTGAATATCCAAACGTCGACTAAGTGCGCAATCACCGTTTACGCTAAGCAGAGCACGCAGGAGGAATGGCGAGCTCGCTTGTTCAGATAGATACCGCAGCTGCTGTCGGTTGCCGATTACCTGCACAAGTCTTCTGCGCAGCGGCAGGTCAACAGAGCAGCAGATTGCTTCGAGAAGGTCACAGGGTAAAGCCGAGAGCAATTGTTTGGCCTCGACGGACTCGAGAATGGATTCGACCTGCAAAATACATGTGGCAGCCATCAGCAAGTATTGATTAATAACGGTTATCAATACGAATCGTCACAGTCACTATAATAATTTGAACTATTGTCGACGAAAAAAGTTTATTACCATCATTAACTTTATATATGATAATAATAATAATAATCGTGAAAAGAACAGTCTGACCTTCACTAAGTTCGTAAACAAGCATAGTTTCTAGTCATGAATTTGAGACGGTTTTCAACCCACCTTCAACTGCAGATGTTCGTTGCTTGCCTTTAAACCGACTACCTCTCCCCTCGTACCGCTGATACAGGGGCCTACAGCACTGCACAGCGCTAACTCAAGTGTTAGCTGGGCCTCTACGTTTAGTGGAAGTCCAGAACAGATAGTGTTGACAATGCTTCTGACCGACGCTCGCTTGACTCCGTAATCAGTGACTAAGGAACGGGCGGTTCCGGGAGTCGAGTCCTCTGTAGTGCTTACAGATGCAGCAGAAACTTTTGACGATGTTGGTGAGTCTAGAGCAACTTCACCAAGGGGCTTGCGGAGAGCGGCTCGAGCTATTGCAACGTTATGCGCGTTTGTGAGCCCGTTTAACGAAGGGCACAGTGCAGCCTCCAGAGAAGCGCGCACTGTAATAGATTATACAAATGAAAGCCATTGATTTTCGTAATGATTAATTAATTGTTCCACTCATTGATACTTAGCTCTACTTACTACATATATGCACCGAGGATTAATGGCATCGATATGTGAACTAGATAAGGATCAAATCAGTTCGTTCTGTATGATGCATAATAAAGGAAGGTTCTTCTTGTAAAAGAAAAATTAAATATGGGGATTTGGTTAATTAAATCTGACCGACATTGATCACTTCTAGCACTCTTGAATCAAAAAAAAAGCTGCGCTTTCGCATGCAACTGATACAAACCGTGCTGTCGGGTGTTCTCGTCTTTTCCGGGATCTCTCGCGATCGCCGAGGCACGCTGTAAAAGCGCGCGAAGTATCTCACGCCGTTCAAAAATCTCACCACTTTGTAAAGCTAATGATCTCGATACCGGTTTCTGAAAGGTGTAAGTCCAAGTTAACGACAACTTCAGGGTACGTGTGCTGGCCAACGATCGCTTTAGAATAACTTCCAGTGCTTAGAGGCGTGCGACGGGAAGCATATACAGTGGGCGCTGCCACACCTACAAGCACTACATTCATTGACGCTTTATGTTGCGTTTTTGTTCTTAAAAAAATGTGCCTTCTATGTGAAATATTATTTGTGACTACGCGCTTGGGTTGCTATAGCTGCCCATCGGCGCCTACACACTGTCATCTATGGTATAGTTACTTTTAAAACCGCTTTAAAAAAAGCCCAACGAGTCATTCTTAACAGGCAATAGTGTAAGATGTAATTTGTTACTAGTGTAGAGTTGTAATGCTAAAACTCACCGGAAAAACGTTGTTGTTGTTGTTGTTCGATGGCCCCGTACTACTCGTCGACGCTGCTGTTAATAATAATGATGATTGTGAAGATGTTGTTGATGATGATGATGATGAAGTCGGCGTAGACTGGTACTTAACACGATAGAGGGTATTGGCCTGCACGGGGGCCTTGCAGGGATCACAGTGCATGCTGCCGACAACCGCCTCGCAAGAGGATCATTGCAGCTAGCTACACCCCCGCGCAGCGGCGGGTCACCTCAGTGCTCTACAACTACCTTAGATAAATTAACCGGGTGCCACACGCTTGAGGTGCTTACTAATCCGTATGATAGCGTACAAAGAGATTCGGTCACCACTTAGCCCGGCACAAACACTTTTGTCGTTTCAATATTGTTCCGTCCTGTTGTATGAAACTAAAATTTGGCTTCTGCTTCACATAAACTAAGACTTACTATTAACTAGCCAAACGCGATATTGTAACGTAGCGATGTAGCACCTGCAAACAAATAAGCCTCAGATTGAAACCAACTATTTACGATGACGACAATACCTTATAGTACCTACTTAATTTCGAGTAATTCATCAAGCAATCGTACAATCTGGATGTAGCTGTACTCTTAAACAAAACGACATGACGGAGCTATAAATAGGATGTGAACCTGTACTTAAAAATAATATTAAACAGACAAAGCCTAAATCATATGTGTTGATATCCATAGGAATAGGTAAGGCTAGTGTAAAAACTATACAATGGTACTACTGCTACTGCAATCTGGTAATATCAGTCTACTGACTAGCGCATAGATAAAAGAACGGCCATAAATCGCTGACAATCCGTCTGTTGTAACGATGAATCACTATGTATACAAACGCTTGGAGGCTGTTTCTGGCGATAATATACCCATGGCAAACATTCCGGTGAGCTATCATCAGTTAAAAGTAAATTGAATTCAAATAAAGTTATCCATAATAATAATAATAATGATGATAATGGCAGGATTTGTCGCAGATTACGCCAGCCCTAGTTCTACTACTTTGTAAAAAGAAAGATTATAGATAACTATGGAAATGAAAAAATTGTTTCTGTTGTTGTGTTTAGCAAACAGCAGTATAAATTGCCACAGGTAGAAATACATTGCTAAGATAATAATCTTTCATAGTTATTGTTGGTACCAGCATAAGTATGACAGACAAATGTCACAGGTGGCAGAGTTTTTCTGTCTATACCATCAGCCAACCGCCGAGCAAAATCAAATGATATTCATTGAAAAATAGTTCAAATCTTGGTGAACGATCAACCAATTAGCACGATAACGTATTTATCAAGTGCTATGGAAATGAAATAACTTCAAGATGTAATCGAGGCGAGACAGTGATACGTAAAATGTTTAGTACTATACATAAGCTTCATGCTCCAGCTCGGTAAAACGACCAATTAGGTCATAAACGAGTCCAGGCGATACGCAGTATATGGCAGGCGTTCGTTACAAGAAGAAGATGTGTTCGCAAATGTATGAGGCACTCATATACTTTCTAGATAAGATCACCTCTACTTGCCAACAGCAATAATATAGCCAGCTACCTAACGTAGACAGCTTTGGCAGAAATACTTTGGCGATCATCAATGCGTACCGCAGAAGCTTCAGTCGTACAATGAGACCGACCCGAGAAAGATTACATGGCATAGCATCTGCAGCATGTGGCACGAAATAAGGTCTACGTCAATCTTCCAGTCGCCTCACACCGTCTAACCGACACCCCACTACCACCATCAAATCACAGCAATCTTCAAATGATTTCAATTTGAAATTCGACTTGAGCTTTACCGTGTCAAAAAATCTAATTTCATATAAACGATGATGAGCAATAAAAAGCAGTAGCTGGTCGCGCACATACACAGCTGCAGATTGCTTAAGTCAATGAATATCTTTTAAAAGCTCGTAAAATATCAGAAGCCAGGAAGGCTGATTAATTGCCCTTATTGACATCTTGAGTCATCTGCCGAGAATCGATATGAACAAAAGCTAAACCAAAAAAAAACGCTCCAGCCGTATCCAATCGGCTCAAAATACTGTGATTATAAGAGAAACGCTGACGTTGTGTCCACCATGTAATCGACAGCCAAATGGAGCCTACCAACTAAACATGATTAATAAAATACTCCACAAATACTGCATGAGGACTACTATTTCTACAAATATGCGTACGCATAATGAAATTAAAACCACAATCATGTTCGTAAAACCTCGATTGAAATATCGAAAACAGCAGTACGTCCAAACAAATACCAACTTGTTCGCTCATGATACCCCACGGATATAGTGTACATTATTCAAATCTTTTATCATACGCTTCTGTTGCCACCAGCACCATTACTATCGCCATAGTAGTGACTACTGCGACTGAATTGTATTTTTCATTACTCGTCGATCGTATCACACTTACGTATACTTGAGCGTTCAAACGACTCAATCGTTATGCATTATGTGCATACGCAACCATGTGTTATTGACGTAGCGACTAGAGATGATACGATTTCCAGTCTATTCGATAATAAAACTCCCCAACCTCTTACAGGGAAAGACAGAGACAAGTCGACCTACCGTTGCTTTGCGATTTACTTTACCGAAATTGTGTACCTAACTATGTATTTTACGAGCTACTTTATCTAGCTTCCGCCTACTCTCGGCGCTATAATTGTTACTTTGGGTTCTGCCGAAATAGACGAGAGCCTTGACGGTTCGTTGGCTGGCTGCCTGCCTGGCAGCTGGCCGGTCGCTCAGTTTGTCGGTGGTTTGCTCGCAGTGACCAAGAGTGGCCAGTCATGCAGCCGCAGCACCGATTACAACAATAAGGAAAAACCAGTCACAGAAAGCAGGCGAAAAAGATGAGCTACACCAGCACTGCTATGGTGGACTGACAGAACCCTGCTGTTTGATACGCGGTGATGTGAAATATGCACTGGCTTGATAAGTTAGTTGGATATGGCACGTTCGGTCACCATTCGAAACGAAAGCTCTTGGTTCCATTTGCGCCTGTCTCAGACGACTCACCAGAACGGGGGTTGGCCAGATCTGAACCCGCCCCATTATGTTTGAGAATCACTGCTCATCGGAAAGGGTACGACAGGTAGATGGAGAATGACAGTATCGATAAATCGCAACTGATTCGCTCTCGCTATTTAGACAGACCAACTCATACATATAAAATGCGGACCAAATTGATAATACTATTTACAACGTTGGTGTACTTTGAGCTAGTATAAGGTTTAGCGATAAGCGTTACAAAAGCAGCCGGAAAAACAGATGGTTATTAATTGAAACCATTAAGCCATAAATGTTACAATCAAACGGACTACTGATATCAAGAACTGGCCGCATCAACGTTTGATCATGAAGTGAAATAGCAGCACTAACTAGTTGGCAATATACAGTTCATTGTGAGCCTCATTAGCTATACCAAACTGGTGCAACTCACTGTTGCTGCAACTATTTTTCAACTGCGACAACCCTTCACGCAACAACGAGAAAAAAGCTGAATCACAGTTTACTAAATTGCGTCCCAGTTTTCTTCCGTTATTGATTTGCACACATGTCGATATTATCGAAAAAAAAAACCTGAAAGAAAATCATAATATTCATCTTATCATATAATAACATAATCATTGATCACTGCCAACCGTTATCTGCTCACATAATCTCCACTAATAGTCACAGATACACGTCCTGTCCAAGATCCGAAAGCCCCTCACTTACCTGAGTAAGTCTCCTCGTCGTAGATAATGCGAACAATTGATTGGCGAACGCCAATGATCAATAACGTTATGTTAATCTATTGTCAGTATCGAGTGGGGTTCTTAGATGCACGTTTTCTTGCGCTTCTATCCACTGGTTGAGGCAAGCTAAAGGGGGTGGGGTGAAAGTGCTTCTGTAACAACCTCGTTAGCGGGGGATCCAACGAAAGTCGCTACTGAGTGAAGCAGTCCTCCCGGTCGCAAGTGAATGAACCAAGACAATGATTTGCTGAATGTCGTCGATACACACGCACTTACACGCAACACTGTGTACAGATACAGATTACTGCAAAGGCACACCACACAAACAGCAATACCACGTCGAATAGACCCGATGAAATGATGATGGTTACGACGACGAGACGAGAACACGCACAAGTGTGAGGATGAACAACATCAAGAAAACAAAACGAAGTGAGAAGGAAACAACACAGAAAGAACCGCAAATCGTACGTACGAAGCAGTTTCGCCTAGCCAACCTAGTAGCGACCATCTGCCATTTGCCTAGCGGCCACGATAAGGATATCAGGTGTGTGATGTCTATGCCATTCGATCTACTCGAAAATGACACAAAGATTAACTGCAACAAGGATAAACTTGAGCTAGCTAATAAACAAGTCATCAACAATAGCAAGCAACGGCGTATATATATATATATATATATGTATATATATGGGGAGAGGAGAACAGACTGAGCAGATTTTTCATTCGACGCGTATACATGTGTTATGCTGGGTTGTTACTAGTACTGCTCCTGCCGATAGAGGTGTTATCACAGCATCAGCGGGATGCTGTGATGACTGTTGCTGCGTGCAATAATAAGTACAGAATGATTTAGCACTGGCTATCACTAACGCGATGGGAGGCTCGGTGGGATCGTGTAATCGACTGTAGTTAATATAATCATAGCAGTGATGAGAATGTAAGTGCAAACCACCCACAATCAACTCGAATCGACATCATCGATCGGCCCGCGGCCGAATGATTGCGGCCTACGGTGACTAATATCACTGATAGTAGGCAAATGTGGTAGGATTACACTATGCACTGTATCACCATAAGCAAACTTCTAAAGGATAGGTGCGCTCGTCGATTTTGTGTGAAAATATCGGGGTAGATAAAGCAGGAAGAGGAATCGATGAGTATCTATATGATTTCCGGTGTCTAAACTGCGAGTTTCGGCTAATCACCTCTTTCTAGCAGCATAATATATGTACAATGGGACGGTGTCACTAATGTAGACGCTGGTACCCCAGTCCTGAATGTCAAACACGCATTTCTGTTTTGACTGCACTACATTTTCACGGACGGATCAGCTACAGGGCCAATAGAAAGTCAGCACTAATCTCGCCACCAGGCCATAAAGCCGAATCGGTACACCAACAATCTCTCTACGGGTAAGTATCAAGCCTCGGTCGCCATATTGCCGCTCAATGGTCGCACTGACGGTGATGATCAATGCTTGCGGCGAGCGGTAAAGAGGCGGCCGGGCGGGTGAGCAAGCGAGCGAACGAGCGGGCGGTCGGTCGGTCGTTCCGTCGGTTGATCGATCAAACGCTCGGGAACGCCTGTCATATCGATTATCACAAAGACAGAATACATAACTGTATGAGAGTAGCAAAAATAATCGTTTGCTCGTAAAATTATAGCATGAATCGATACACAAAGCTATGAGTTCACATAAGCGTGTCAAAACTCAGTAAACACTAAGAACAAGAGGGGTATAATAAATACCAAAAAGAAAAATACAAGACGATACAGCCATCATGATCATCAGACTAACTAAGCAAAAAATATCAGGGTTTTAATAAGGCGTTTGCACTCGCTTACTTTCTCTATTGCTACGCTTATAAATGGAGAAAAAGTTCGAAGAAATTTGCCATTTTGGCATATCAAAATGTACATTGATAAAATATGTTCGCGGAAAATTTCATAAAAGAACATATTTTATTAAGTATCCGAAATATGATTGGATAAGGGTTTCTGCTTTTTGAATGATTTTTTCGGTTAAAGTAGAAAATTAGGAGATATTAGAATATGTTTTATAGTTATTGATAGTTGCCAGGAGTCACAAAAATGCTAGTTAAATACGTTCATAAGGGTTAAAAGCATCAAAAATTTAACAGCAAGCCAAACGTTATGTTCATTCTAAAAAAGCGAACTCTATAACAAGTTAGTCGCGCTGGCTATTGTCATTACTTCAGATAAGAGTACCTAACACTACGAACTAGCTAGAATGATATTCTTCGTTTATTCTGACGTCAAAAACACGGCTTCTGTTTTTATAAATATCTTACTGGACTAGAGCTCATCTGATAATTTCTCTTTTTGGGAAGAGCGCCTTTGAAGGTTTTCTATGTAGGAATAAAAGTAGCCAAGCGGGCCTTACATAGTTTTTTGTTCTCTTAAAATTAGCATTTTTCAGGTCATTCCTACTGATGATTATCGTATTACTGATGCAGGTCTTATCTCTGAGAATTTTCAATCATTAAGAAAATATCTGTAACATATAGCTCAAATTGAAGATCGTTTTAAGTGTTACGAAAAACTACGATATGCCTCAAAAGTAACTTTTTTTTTCAAAATTAACGGTTAAATCAAAATTAATTCAAAATTAACGGTTTTTAGTTCTATTAGTACAATTTAAATGGTTGGTCTTCCTAGCTAAAGTTGATTACAGCTGAGCTAAGTAGTGAACTGCTATTTGGTTAAATTGAAGAAGGAGAGACTTATAGAAAATGCATTCGGACAAGGTCAGAAATTTCTCCAAATCCTTCAAACCGAAAATAAATATCTAAGATACGAAAATTGCGTAAGTTAAACTTTCTTTTTGAAAGAGTAATTATTGCGCATAGCTTTTAAGCTTAATGTTGTGCTATGCTGTACATGAAACTTGCATATGTTTTTCACATGGAGTCCTATCTTACCTTAGAATAAGTTAACTAAACGGTTAGACCAAACTACGAAAGCTGCCAATAGTACCCACAAGCTGTTCATCTAACCCACGCTATAGGAAGCTTGCAACGTCACTGAGCATGTTAGCGGCTTTATCCTGACACGCATTTAGCATTTTTTAATAGTGTTTAGAACAAATGCTGAATTCCTATTATACTAGACCAAAATTGCATTACTATTTCATTGACGTATTTATAGTCAGAGATAACCAAAATCCACCCGCGGGTTTTGCGTGGCCCCTGTTTTGTCGTTAAGCATATTTTGTTTATTGGTACATAAGTAAAAGGCTAATTATATATATAGTGTGATTAATCTCAAGTAGCCCTCGTTTTCTTTTGAACTTTTTTTTCGTTATTATGACCAAAATTTGCTTGAGATTCGGAAGTCCTGAAAAGGCCGTTTGGTTTGCCTTGCTCTTGGTGAGTTACCTAATGTTTTTTGTTTATTGAAATAGATGACTTTATTTGCTGTTTATGTGAAGGCAGCGTCGTTGAGCATTGGGCTTCCAGTTCCAACACTTCTAGCTCCGGGCCATATATATGTGAAACAACGTAACCGCCTGTTTGTAGATTTGTTTACGCTAGTATTATGTCTGCTATTGCAAATCGATTCCTATTATATTAACGTCCTTCTTCATCGTCTAAGACTGAATATTTTTTTATTTTTTCTTTTAACATTACTAGGTGTTTCGGTTGTGTAAATCCCTCAAGATGGCCTTTTTAGGTATAGCATCAAAGACCTGCCTTCATTAAAAAATTCAGCCGGGACGGGTCTCCCTGGCCTAATCTGGAATTTCCTCAACAGACCTATGAACGTGCATAGTGACAATCATATTCCATGGCAACCAGCGCTGAAAATTGGAACAGTGATGATTGTATATACGTGGATACCATAATAAGCAATTAACAAGTTGCTCATTACCCATCCTTACCACGCCACCTTACTACATACAGGGTGCGGCATTTATAATGGAGCATTACCGTATAGTTTATTTCTAACACCACATAGAGAGATATATATCTCATATAGGTATCTGAACGAAATTTTTTGCATGTGCTAAATGTCCTTCCCGGCGGCCATGTTTATCCAATAAAATCACCATTGATCGCCACTAGTTTCAATTCAAGACATACTACTGACTAATTATTTCCAAAGAGTTCTCTCACTTATTAATAAAGAATTTTTTACAACTAAATTGGTAAGTATAATCTTGTTATTGTTCTGTAATAAGAGTTATTGTTCAGGTACGTTACATACAAAAATTCTAGCAGGAATTTTTGGCTGATAACAACTGATAATTAAAAAGTACTTAAAAAAAACACTAAAAATTAGTAAAGTACTTTTGGAATCCAATATTGATTATCCGATTAACATTTGATACTTTGTATCCAAAACGGTCATTAATTTCCGTATAAATGAATCCAGGTATATCAAAAAACTTTTTGAGCTATTTTTGTAAGTTTTTTTTATTCTTTAGATCTCATATCTGTCGAGTATATTTTAGAAACTCTCCTCAGATTTTTCAGAATCGCATAAAAATTGACAATTACGTACTTAGTCGATTTCGGATAGAAAACGAACATTTTTGATTTTGAGAGGGGTTTGTCCGAGGCGAAGATATTGTATAATAGCTTTTATTTATTTCAATTACGAACTTCTTTGTTGTGATGTTTTAAAAAGAACAAGCTTTTTTCAGCACTAAAAATCACGAATGAACGCATAAGCGCTACGACAAACAGCCCGCTAAGGTCTGTCTAAATTTACATGCCGTACTCCGTACGCTGCACCTTAGTTACGTTTGTGTGGATTATAAATTAGATACACTTTTCTCTCAAAAATACAACATTGTACAAGGATTCTAACTGACATATTTTCTAAGAAAAAATGGATGTTTAATTTTGGTAGCGATTCTATTGTACCAATCTCCTTCGTATTTCGTTCGTGTTTTAGTAGCATATCTATACCGAAACTCTGACTTTCTCCATCAGTCTCATCCGTTTTATTTTCATCAGCCTTCATTGCCAGAAGTTGATGATGCTTAACGAAATAGAATAGGCTAAGACAATAGTCGAAGCACTTGTCAGCATTACCTCTATAAGGCGTCTATAATAAATTTCCCTCTCTGGATTCTGCTAGCTTCCAATTATCATAACCGTTTATATATAAACATTTACTGTACTCTGATTCAATTTTATCTTAATTCATGTAAAGGCTAAATGTCATCTATTTTATTTATTTATAATTCACTCACCCTGATCGTCTTCATTACTTTCATTATTGCTTATTTCTAATGTGAAACAGTAACCCCTTTAAGGTTAACGCCCTACTCCCACATTTCCTCCTTTGCGTCCTAATTCCATCGTACGTTCGTGTAACTTGCCATACTATTGTGAAACCATATTTATTGTTCTGTGTTTGTAGATTTGCTTTGCTATGCATTATTAATTTTTTATCGACAAATAACCATGAAGCTCTCCTTCCTAGGTAGAAACGGGTGCGCGTTCAACAATTTTTTCTCTACGGCGCCTTGTTGCATCAAAACTTCACCGAATGATTTCAGACACATATAACCAGCACTTCGCGTACTTTGTGTGGGTGTGGCAATACTTTCCGCTGCAATACTTTGATACTGTTGAGATGATTGTATGTTCAGATTTTATTCTTACATGTGGTTCTGGCCTAGGACTCTGTCGGATCTCCAAGCTTTTCTTCATATTTTACAGTATCATCCTTATTCAATTATCTACTGCTAATTTTTCATTTGGCTGCCATTGAGCATGCTCGTCTTGTATTGATCGTCCTTTCTGTTCGTCGCAATATTTTTTATCATCATACGTCAAGTGTCTGTTCCTAGCGAAAATGAGGGCGTTATTATTAGTGAAAAGCGCAATTTTCAGGAACGCTAATCAGGAAAATTCCATTCATGGAACATCTGCATATTAATTTGCATGTACACCTCACTTTGGTAGAGAGTTGCAGGCAATTAATTATAGCAAGTTAATGCAGGCATACATTAAGTATATATATATATAAATCAAATGCGGGGTGTTTTGCTCTGGTAAGAACCGACGTTCGAAACGGCTTCCGGTTTACAGCTGCAGACCAAGGCTCCAAATCGCAATTTGAAAAAAAGATTAGCTAGAAGACAGAAGGCATTATCGACCTGTAGGTGAGACAAGTCTTCTAAAACAGCTGCTATATTTTTAAAAAAATTTAGTGCGCGCACGAACAACAGTTTCGTACTATACGGAGCCAAAGGCCTCTCTACAGCTAAGCTAAACATACGATTTTCCTTCATCAGCTGTTGAATTATTGTTATGATCGGTCTTCTGTCAGTTTAATTTCACAATAGATAAAAATCATAGCACGACTTCTTAGGAAGACACGACATCATTAGGTGGCGACCTATTTCTACTTCTGGAAGAGATTTATTAGCTGTGATCGCTTTAATCTACCGTTTTACAGCCGCCATTTGCTTAGGCGTATCAAGGTGTTACCTGATTGCGATCGTGGTTGGCGCCGAGATCCTGTAATTGCGGAAGTCGACTATGAGTCAACCCGCGTGCTACATGCATGAAATAAACAAATACTCTCTTTCGATAATGATGACACTGATTGCTAGGTAAAGCAGAAAGCAAAGGAAACTGGAACGAAAGTGTACAGTACCGTTTCGCCAGATTGCTAAGTTGGTGCTTAAGTGCTAAGAGGTACTGAATTCACTTAATCCAGCTGTAGAGTCTCTATCGTATTTTCATAACGATAAGCAAGATCTGACGTTTACTTCGTTGAAGTACTTTAAACAGTCATTTGTTGAAAGGAACGGCGATGGCACTAAAAGAAGCTGAGCTTGCAACAGGGGATGGCCATATAGGAGACACAGAGCAAATGTCACTGATATTAGATGAACGCGCCCGGAAACATGCCAAAATCGAGGACGCAATCAAGGAATGCGACGTTGTTAGGCTTCGCGCAATGGCTTGTGATGATGGTGGCTTCCTAAATGACGAGCTACGAAGACAAGCTTGGCCAATTCTTCTCGGCATAGAACAAACATCAGTGCTTAAGGAATCGACCGAAGATGAAATTAAAAGCCATACAAGTTATGAGCAGGTTAGCAACCAGTGCATAACTAGCCTATAAATAGCGGTTGTATTAGCTTTATCGTCGGTAATTCATTCGAAGATCCCTGGGCTTTTTTTTGTTGATTGTCGTTTGTGGCAATTTTAAAGCTATGCTTGTGTATGTACAGTTATGCCTCTAACTTACAGATATTCTCTTGTTAATAGGTTGTACTCGACGTGAACCGTTCGATTAAGCGATTTCCACCATCGATTCCTACAGAAAGTCGGTTAAACCTTCAAGACAAGCTCGTGAAAGTCATCATGCGCGTACTCGTAGCCAATCCGCAACTGCACTATTATCAGGGTTACCATGATATCTGTGTTACTATTCTTCTGGTAGTTAATGGCGACGAAAATCTCGCTTTTCAGATCATTGAGAAGGTAACCACGCCTCGATTCGTTTATTATGATCCATGCACCAATAATTCAAACAGTTTATGTATTTTCATGATTTGTGCCGAATAGTCAAAAACTTTGAAGCATCGTTCCCTAGCGATGCCGTTATATATAATAGGAAGGTTCTATTCGTATTGGCCAGCACTGGCAAATAACTTAATATAGGATACAATACAGAGTAAGATATATTTTGCAGAATATAGATCACAAAACGAGCGGAAATATTGTTAACGATGTACTTGCATTCCTAAATATAATTATCAAACTTCAGAGTACATCATTGTACAGGAATTCATTCTGGATAATCGTAATACCTATTATGCAAAAAACAAGATATTTATGATTATTCTTTTCGATTATATGCGATCTTTCGATATGGTTTTTTAGGTGTCCCGTGTGAAATTGCGTGTCTATATGGAGGCGTCAATGAAGGCTACGGCAGAACAGCTTGAATTTGTCTGTATTCTAGTGGATACACAGGATCCCGAATTAGGAAAATTTCTGGAATTGTCCCAGTGTGGTATTATGTTTTGTGTGCCGTGGTGTATTACTTGGTTCGGCCACGATCTCGACCACTATCCAAGTCTTGTTCGATTATACGATCTATTCTTGGCAATAGAGGATGACCCGCACCTGATGCCTGTGTATCTAACGGCTTCACTGGTTTTGTCTCATTCGAAGATGCTTCAGTTAGAAGAATGTTCGATGGCTAGCGTGCACAGCTATCTGTCAAAGGTGCCAAGCACTATCAATTTCGAAAATGGTGAACTTGAGAAGCATGTGACGTTTGCGAGAAAGCTTGCTGCCTACTTTCCGGTGAACGAGCTAAGGGCGATCCAGGCCAAAAATCAGGCTAGGGCTGAGCTGGAGCAGCAGTGGCGTGAAAGCCTGCTTGGTATGACGTTTAGCCAGCTACGCAGCATGTCATGGAATAAACGCGTGTTTGGAGCCGTAATCATTGTTACTGTGGCTATCGCATACCAGGTGTATCGTAAGCGAAGCTTACCAACAAGTGAACGATGATTTGACTCTCGTCACGGTTGTTACGCCGTAAAATCGTTTAGTGTAAGCTGTGACGGTCTGGCGATAATTATGGCATGGTATTACCCAAGAGCACTTAAAAGTGCATTGTTTCTTTTTTTCGTTTAACTGTTCGTACACGGATGTTGAGTTACACGCAGAGTGGACGAGGCAGACTTCTTTTATATTATGAGTTTTTAGTATTAGCCGAAAATTACCGCTGGGCAATTGATTCGGCATTACTGGGCCTACTATTACTCTTTTGTTCATTAGCAGGCAGAAACAGGCTAAAAAAATTTTTCTGGGAACAGGCCGGAATTCTTTTTTGGCTTTTTGTCAACTGTTGAATAACTAATCGAATGTAGATACTATCTTATGGTTTGCAACGGTTCGTGATGATAATGGAAGTATGTTATCTATTTCTCTGCACACAACGGCTTCCAGTGGTTTCCTATGGGATTATTCCCCATTCACGGGCCCTGTTTCTCAGAGCATTGATTGAATAGTTCAGCGTGTCCTCATTTTGTCTGATACAAACCCCTATATGTTTCATTATTACTGATTGTTGAACAAAGCTAAATAAAAGTATGCTGAATCGAGTGGTCGCTTGCCTTATTGCGACCGCAATTGCAGGTAAGATGTAATTTCCAGGACGGTTGTGTCTGCATAGTTTGCATGTGTATAAATATTAGATAGATCGATTATACTATGATGAGTGGAAAAATTTTTGCGAATGGCCCAGCAGTTGGTACATGTTAAGTCGTACACGCAAGCACGTAGCATATGTAAACCAATGATCATTACTGATTTTTTATAATGATTACCACCATTTCTAATGCCCACTGATATTTCACTAGCATCATAGTTGCAGGCGTTGAGATGCAAAAAACAGAAGCGTAATAACAATTTAGACTGTATTTCGAATATATGCGTATCTCGAAAGCCGACCGAAATGAAGAAACAGAATGCAGGCTCAGCGTAATAACAATTTAGACTGTATTTCGAATATATGCGTATCTCGAAAGCCGACCGAAATGAAGAAACAGAATGCAGGCTCAGCGTTCATTAGCTGAAGAAGAAAGTACGTTTATCTTAAACTTTTATCAACAAAAATAAGGTAACATTCAAAATGTTCGCCATATTCAGAAGGAACATAATAAATCAAAAGTAACACAACTGTCTATTATCTACAATTTTATGTAAAAGAAGTGTGCACTTTTAAGAGTGCATGTGATCAATTATTATCACTGTAGTATCATATCGTATATAATTGATGCATCTGTGTGTCCTTTAGCGAACTTGATTTTTGGTTTGATATTTTTAAGGTTATTTCCGGAGAAGTCTGTTTTGTACCAGTTATGTAGATTTAAAGAAACATTGAAATTTTCAATAAAAAAGTTGAATCGAGAATAGGTATGTCATAGTATGAACTACACATGGTGGGAGTGTACCTACCTGTGTTAGGAGAGTAATTATTTTCCAACTCAAAAGCCTGAAACGATAGCCAATTGACGTCAGCTGATACAACGAAACGTCTCAAGGTTGAGAACATCGTTTGCAATAAGCTGTATGGTGGAACATCAAAACTGGATTGTATAAAAACAAATACAGGTATTATAAAAATAAATAATGATATAATTTTTTCTCGAAGAATACGCTTGAATTAGTTACAAAGAATCCGAGAATATTAGGCTGGGTAATGTTAAAGCACTTTTCCTACAGAGGCTATACTGTAATATCAGGACACATACCATCATCAATTTACGTTTTGCTCATTCGCAATTTTCTATGCTGAATTCTCAGCAAACAGAGTAATTGTAAATGAAAACTCGGACTTCAAACTATGTTTGAGAATGTCCAGACATTTCCCTCGACTTTTATGCACATAGGGCATTTGGGATATACGACCACAGTCATGCACCATCCTAGGATGAACAGACAGAGCTTTATACGTGTAGATTAAACAAATTCATTTATTGACTACACTTCACGGGTACAAGTCATCTGGGTACAAGTATTTCAAGTTTCGTTAGTTGATTAATTTTTACCAAAAAGTCATCTCTAAAAGTTAAAACGTCAAACGCACGCATTTCATACCAGTTTTGTGTTCTTTCTCTACAACTGACAACCGCTGACACATAATTCGTAAATAACTTATTTTATTAGTCGACACCAAACTTTTCCCGCCAGCATATTGAATTATAATCACGCGCATTTTTATTTTGTTTTTCTTTATCACGGTTTTAACATCACTTGTGTATGCTACGTCTTTCCGTGGCGTTTTCATAGTATTTCTATATCTATATTTGTGTGTGTATGAGTCAATGATGATTCGTTTTTTTCCACCTATTTCTTCTCTTGAGGCTAAAAACAGTATTTCAAACAGATTGAATATCGGCTATTATAGTCACTGGAGTTTGAGAGCGCTTTCAAGAAAACTGCCACTAAGATCCAATCTCAAAGCTTCGCCTAGCACCTCGATTCGATCAAACCGCCTGTCCAAATCGATGAACCACTCGCATACTTTCTTAGCGTTGTCGGAGAGGGCCTGATCGTTGTGCCGAATGTAGTCGTGAAGATCTTGAGTCCACGACTCAAGCGTTGACTCCTTCTCAATCAAGAGCATATCATTGTAGAGTTTATCTACCAGCGCGGCCATCAAAAGATAGGGCTTGTAAACGGACATCGTTCGCAGCGTTGTCGAATAGTCATTCAGTTTCATTCCGTAGCTTCGCGCTTGACCGCACTGTACGAGTCGACGGATGAACGCAAGACGATTTTGCCGCCACACGGATGGCGGCCAAATGGCCAGTGCTAGTGTCAACTGGTAGGTGGGGCTATCTTGCTCGAAGAAGTTCCGGTGCAGCTTGGGTAGTTTCATATCAAGGAATTTTACCATTGCGGTTTGTTCTCTGGCGACAGCCTTTGTTGATAGCAGAGTGTAGACGGCCAAATGTAACAGATATGGCACCAGGTGCATATTGCTCTCCGGTCCGCCGCCGCCGGTGTCTTTGGAGAACGACTTGCCGAAGGCAAACCTGCTGAGGAGCAATTTGAGGTCGTGTACTGTAAACACGTGTCCAACGTCATGCTGCGCTGTCGCCTCCTGGATGTAAGTCGAGTGGCGCGCCAGAGCTGTTACGAACGCGTGCTCGGACACCTGAGGGCCCCAAAGGGGCAGAAGACCATTACATTTGGTGTTTGAATTCTGTAGGGTCGCCGAGTCCCATTCATCTCGGCCACGCATCACACGAACAGCGTTCAAATGACATTCGACGTGAACGAGATTGAAGTACGTTACAGTTGAGTAGCCGAGAGTCTTACGTGGGGTTGGAGCCATTGGGGCTCCATAGGTGTTCGGGTCCATTTCGTATTCTTCGACTGGACAGCGCTTGGTAAACGTGTAAATGGCTAGCACTTTCTGTGGTTGAAAGCGATACCCTTCACGGCAAATAATGCAAGACAGCCCTTGCTCTTCAGCCAACGCTTGCATTTGCGACAGCAGGTTGTTGCTTCCGCCACCGACTTGTTTGGTCACTTGGCCCTTTTCGTTTGTTCTCATACCCAGCTCACCGAGCTGTTTTTGCCTCATAGCCATAGCAAGTTTCTTTTTTTCAGCCCGAGTTTGTCGACGTGCATCGTCAACCTTAAAGAAGAATAATCGTTCAGTGTGAATTTTACGCGATAAACTTCCATTTGAAGAAAAAGAAACTCAGGGCTCTCATCACAAATAAAAAAAAAATAGATTAAATAGCACCATAATGCACACATGTGAACAGTAACTACGCCCTTTGTTTCTCCTAAATTCACTCTAATATCATACATGAGTATAAAATTTCATATATACACTTAAAGAAGTGGTTTTAAAATATAGAAATTGCACAAATGGGTCACCATGCGCTTCTATCGAAACAATGACTTCTACAAAATTCTAAAATGCGAGTAAACCGCAGTTAGTTGAGCTAATACTACTATTACTAGTCTGCCCCAATTACTTCCTTATTTACCTGTTTTTTTACTTTTGAGTTGCCTTCTCTGAGAACTTCCATAAGATTCTCCGCAAGAGAGCCAACATGTTCTTCGCTAGATACCTGTTCCAGCCTGTGAATGATAGGAATCGTGCCACCAAGAAGTGTCTGGCTGGCCTCGTGACCTCGGCAACAGCCCGACAGTAAACGCAGAATTAATTTTAACGATGGTTTAGCCACGAACTGCTTCCACCCGTCAGAGATGACCAGAAGGGTGCTCCTGTAATGAAGTCCAGTCGTTGTTCAGTGAAAACGTTTGGCTAATCGCTGGCTTAATAAATTATAAATGCATGTCAATGACTGATCTTCGAGATCTTTAACTTATATATTACTAGTTACATATTTTTCAACTAAGGTATCTATAGAAATTTGATTATAGAGTTAAATGAACTGCTTATTTAGGTGTGTGTTCGCCCCATTCATATACTGACGAGCTACCGATCTAGCTGGAATAATTTTCAAATATATATGGCTAGAGACAACTTCTATAACCTGGTACTACTTACTTTGACGGTGGGGCGTTACAGTTTAGGTAATCAATGGCGGACTGCAAAATGCCCCTCTGAACAAAGCAATCACGTAGTTGATGATGAAGCGGATGAGTGTCGAGACCCTGTACCAGCACACAAAATCCGTCCATCGCTAGTTCTGATTCAACATTTCGTTGGGCATCGAAGAGCGCGAAGTCAAGATGCGGTTGGAAATGGTCAAATAGAGTAGACATCTTTGCATCATCCATCAGCGTTAAGGATGGCACAATTCGCATTAACGGCGTTAGGAGTGGCGGTGAGTCGCTAGCTCGTTTCAATAAGAACTGTAGATCGTCTACACTTCCCGTGTGCGTGAAAAAATCTTCTAACACAGAAGACTCCTGGTCAAGAGCTTCCTGAATCACGCGCTCAATCAGGTTGATAAGCTGTTCAGGTATTAGAGTTTGACGTGCAATCAATGATGCGCGAAGTGTCTTAAGCAGTGTAGGAATACAACGGAGTTTTACAAGACATCGCCGATTCTTCTTAACTTTAATACAGAGCCCCAGTAATTTGAGGATGACCTGGAGCAGTGGGGTAGCTTTCTCAACATCTAACGAATTGAGGCGATCCAACATCACCTCTAAACCTCCACATGTTGCCATGACATCCGAAAGTTTGTACACCTGTTCCTCGTCAATGGCCATCGAATCCTTGCTGTCGAGCGACTCAATAAATTCTTCGGTCGCGTCCCCGAGAAGACCGCGCATTCGATACACAATACGCATAGGGTCGTCAGGGTTGCTCTCTACACACCAGATCTTCTTGAAGACGTCTTTTACTTGCAGGTCAAGAGAGATGATTTTGTTGCATACAAGTAGTTCCATTCCGTTATCGTCCTCGAGTAGCGCCACCAATTCACAATCAGCGCATATTTTGTTCTTAATATCGCGCATTAGTGGTCCGATACCAGCTTCATTAGACGAGTAGGGATTGCCAAGCATACGCCCTTGAAGGAAGTCTTCCTGTTGACTATCCTTTTCCAAAGAGACCTGGAAGTCCTTAGCTTCACTTTCTTCAGGGTAGATTAGATTGCATACTCTTTCAAAAATGAACACCGGTGTGCGAATGTCATCTGCACCAAATTTCTTCACTGTTTCTACACACAACTCGAGGAACGCTCGCGTCTCGTTTTCGGTTCCAGTGGTCATCTGTTCCAAAAGGGCCAATAGCTTCTCTTGGGTATCGTCGACAAGTTTCGTTCGCTGGACAACCAATCGACGTAGGCAGAGGTATCCGTCCAACACCGAGCCTAGCATCTGTCCTTTAAAGTATTGTCTGATCTCATCGACAGAGAGAAGTGAAGCTAACACTTCGGTGAGCATTTTCAAGGCAAAACCTTGTGTCAAGTCGGCTGTCAGCGCAGTCTCCTCAAGCTTGTTTAGCTTGCCGATTTCGTCGGCCATGAGCACTGATATTTTTGTCATAAGCCCTTTGATGACAACGTACTGCTTCCACGGTTCGTCACGAATGAGTTGTTGGTAAAGCTCCATAAAGCGTGCTCCATGTTCGCCGGCAACTCCTACTTGATCCAGGTAGCTTGTTAACATATCGAGAAGCTCGCTGTAACACCAAGGCGATTCTGATAAAGCCTCAGTCAGCATACAGGCAACCTCCCGAGCCTGCCTGGATGACGGATTGAACATCATGTGCTCCAACCAGTTCTTGTTTGTTGCCCCAGTACTTTCTCTTGTAGCTCTTTTCCAGTTAAAGGCGGCCTGTTTTACCGAAGCCGGAACTTGTTCCTCTACGCTGCCAATCCTCGATGCCCATCGTTCGTATCCGTGACGAGCGTCCTTCATGATCCATTTATCAAGATCCAACGTCCGATCCATAGGACCCCATTTGATGTGGCCTCTTGACTGGCTAACAACCTCCCATATGATCTTTAGACAAGGTAGGGTAACACATTCAAGCACAGAATGCGAGCCGAACTCCATCTGCTGCGTGAGACGGAATATGATGAATACAGTACGCAGCCTATCTTCCCAGCACGAATCAACCTTAGCAACAGAAAGTGCTAACAGGGACATCTCATGGCGAACTGTTGCTACTAGGTCGGTTGAGTTTCCGCGCAATGCAAGTTGAACTTTCTCCAATATAAGTCCGTTTAGCAGCTCGGTTGCCTGGGGATTATCCGCAGTTAGCGACACCAACAAATGGCGTACATCTCGTCGAAGACGCGAGCTTCCCTGTAAAAAAGAAATAAACAAAATAAACAAAAAAAAAAATAAATAAAAGCGTAAATGTCGAAACAATTGTTTCGTTAGTCATTGTTTTCCAAAAGGATTGTCGTTTCTACACAAAAAAAATATTATGATATTCCCAAAAGTTAGTCTATATCGCGCCGCAGATGAAATCCATGATGAATCACTTCGAAGTCATCAGCGAATTTACGCTATAATTGTCTCACTAAATTGCATAAACGTCTAAAACTTACAGTCTGCGACGTTTAATTAAATAGAAGCCTGGATATATTTACCTGCCGTAGGTTACAGGATAGCAGCTCTCCGATTAGTCCAAGTTCACAGAGAACGTTAGCGAATGCTGGTTTTGTAGTCATCGCACGCAGAAGGGTCACGACTAGTTCAATCGAAGCAGACACACAACCAAAGCATCGGCCTGAGGAGACGCTACTTTGTGAGGGAGCAGGGACACCGCGCCGGGCGCACTCAATCTCCACTAGCTCTTTACGACACGCTAGGACCTACGAAAAAATGCCGGCCAAAATAAGTTCGATATAGTTGAGTAATAATATGCGTTACTCGCAAGCATCCCTTCGTCTTCTGCTGCAGCACAATTCTGCATCTAAGGTCTATTTCTCAAAGTTCTTTCTATATATCTAGTTAAAAAACTATTCTTTCCTAATTAGTCAATAAATCGAAGTAAATGGCAACAAAATAGAAGCCTTGAGAAACGAACAATTGGATTTAATTGTATAGCAGCACAGGCACTTACCTTCTGTACGGTGGCGGACAGTTCGTCAAAGGTGGCTTTACAGTCGCTACCGTATTTTTGGCCTAGCTGTTGAATCGAACGGTTGACATGTCCTTGTTGCGGATGTGTGATTCCCTCACTCTCTTCCCGTTCGTAGATTCGTGCCAGAAGACTTTCCAGGACCGGTTTGTAACTTTGCATCACCTGTCCGTTTATTCACAGCGAATATTATTTATGATTTAAAGAAAGAGAGACTCATTTATAGCATATTTTTGTTTTTATTCTTATTTTTACTCTTTTGTATCTTTTATATCTCCCGCATGTACGTATATTTTATTCCACAAACAAAAACTGCTCAATTTACAGCAGATATATTTGCTTAATTTGCATTCCATTTATAAATGTAGACAGGTCTACAGCATGAATAACTCGAGTAATTGCCATTCGTATATTCAAAGCCTCACAATCTTTTTCGTTTCAATATGGTAGTCTTCGTTTTTGTGGTGAGAAATTTGTATAAATAAATAATAAATAGTAGATGCTTCAAATCCAACACCTGATACTACTGCCATTAAGTTTAGCTACAGTGGGCTGGCCGTTTCTAGCACACAAAAAAATGTTACACCCCCTTTCGAATCCAGACCACCTCACCTGTCCTTAGGTTTAGTGACCGAACACGTCACCACTATAGTATAAGAACACTATAACAAGGGACAATAAACGTTAGTGTAGGACTGGTATACTTGCCGTATAGCTCTTGTCAGCGATGTCTAACTGATTGTTCATGAACGCCACAGCTTTCTTCCGTTCCTCCTCATTTTCGATTGGGTTTACAGCACAGCACTGCTTGCAGTACAGATGGAAATCGAACTTCGCATAACGGCAAAAACCACAGTTGTTACACAGGAACGGATCTTTCTCGTCGTAATTGATTTGGCGGCACTTATGACACTGGAACACCTGTTCGCCGCAATTTCCACATACTCCTGGCGTGGCTGACACTGGCGTAGAGCACCGAGGACACTGGAGGGGCTCGGCAGCCGCCAATGGGTTCTCGTAGAATTCTGCAAACTCAATCATCAAATTGCATGCCACAATTGGCAGAGGGAACTCGACTTTCAATTCAGTCTGTCCCTGAACCAGCGGACAACTCTTCGCGCGGTTCCACAAACGTTTGTTATGGCGCAGATCGACAACGCTCTGTACGGTTCGGTTATTGTAGTAGATATTCACCGTTTTCACCATCTTGCTTTTTTTCACGTCACCAATACGCAGCGTCATCCTCGAGATGATTTGCGAACTAATCAGCTTCACGATTTGGCTCGACGTCGTAAATCGGGAGTCGACCTTAATCTGGCTGAGCTTCACCGACGCAAACGGCGTTTCAGGGTTATTGCACACAAGGCAAGGCTCGCATTCAAGATAGTAGCCATCGAACTCGACGAGACCCTGAATCGCATTATAGATAGCGGTGTTAGGATGCTTTTCGATAATGCCGTTCTGTTTCTGCAAAACACCCATCATCTTCTCGCCGTAGCCTCGCTCATCGCCGCCCTCCTGATTGAGCGTGAAGAAACCGAGCAGATCGACAAATTGTGATGCTTTACGGCCATACAATGGCAGCTGGGGCCATAACGACCACATCATGTTGACGATCTCACGTTGTCGATCCTGAGCCGAGTTTGAGTGCAGGTGATGCATAAGCGAATGTGCTTGCCAACGAATTGAGGTTGTGTTTGAATCCAGCAGGAAGCTGACCAGGAACTTCGAAATCAGAGGACCGTCTACTTTAAGGTTTAGCTGTGCGACGAGCTGGGCTGCCAACTGCGAGGTTTCCTTATCCTTCTGACCACTGGTTTGAGCACCAGCTGAAAGATTATTTTGCTGTTGTTGCTGCTGCTGTTGTGATTGCTGCTGGCAAGAACCAGATGGTTGAGGCTGATTGTTATTGTTGTCACAGATTGCCAACTGTAACAACTGCAAGATTGCTGGCGCTACACCTTCGTTTAATGAGAACGATACCCGAAGAAGGAATGCCAGGATCCACTTATTCGCTAGACAGAATCGCTGCCAGTTAGAGACACGAAGTGAAGCGACGTCAACGCAACTTTTTAGATGTTCCATCAGCTCGATAAGCGCATCATAGTCGGATTGCTTACTACGTTCCTGCACTGCGGCCATGTGAACGCCGAAGGCGTGCAGATCTCGAACTTGTCGGTAGCTTTCTTTCGAACCGCACAGCAACATCAGGAGCTTGCGAACGGCCTTTTTGGCAAAAGCGGCCTGCGGTGCCATCATGAGCTCGCACAAAAGGCCGTGCCAATGGCTCATCGAAGCGAATGTTTGATCAGGAAGCGTCTGCTTCATCTGACAGGCCAACTTCAGCATCATCTCGGTGAGTGCCTGGCGGAAATCCTCAAACACATCGCCGGCATGGGATCGAACAAAGGTCTTCTGGAAGAAGGGTAGCATGTCAACCGATGACAGGTCTAAACGCTGGCATTCGAGCAAACCGTTTTCTATTTGCGGACTGTACGTTTTCCAATGCTCAAGTAATCGAGTGAGCACCGCGAAGCATTTGTCGAACATATTTGCCTCAAGGAGGCGTTTAGCTGTTGCTGCGCGAGCCGGAGTCTTTCGTCCAAGGAGAATTGAGCATACCTTGAGCAGTAGGAATTGGACATGGCTGGTTTTTGTTGATTCGACCTGGAATTGCATGTCAATGTTATTTAAACGTAGCAAGATATGGCTTATTCACAGATCCGTTATCTGTATGAATATTTAGGATAATTCAAAAGGTTATTTCAATACTCACAAACCGAATCTGACCTAAAAAAGCCTGCTGACCCGATCGCTTATTGTGTAGTGGACGCACAACTATAAAGACGGGTTTCTATCGGCAAAAAAAGTTGAAAAATCGAACTGGCATCGGAAACGTACCGTGATATTTGCACCCATATCGATTGCCGTTTCTACGAGTGCTTCCACGTGTTCTGGTTGTGATACAAGCGATAGCAATACTTGGAGAAAGGGCACCGCAGTAATCCCGTCTTCAAGGCGCCGGACGTGGCTCAGCATGTTGCATACAAGGGCGCTGCTCTTCTTATCAACTACAAACGAATGCAAAATCACATCGCGCAGCAAAATCATTATAAAGTACTAGCGTTGTTCATGTTTGAAAACAATTGGAGAAGTTCATGTGAAACAGAGGAAAGCTAATGCAAACTTACGGTCGACAATAGACGTTAATAACTCTTCATCGCTCTCCATTGGCCCAATATCTCCGAGTAGTTGTTCAGAAGCGGGAGACTGGCTTTTGCCACTCGCTGCGCCGCCCTGGCCGCCCCCTGGCGACCGTTTTGGTCGCACCGCTCGTACAAGTGCCGAACGAGCACCGAACCCAATGTGAGCGTGTGGGTAGAGCAACAAATCGACGAGATGTTTGACGATTTGGCTCCCGGGATCTGTAGTGCCCAGCATTGCATACAGGATATCCACCAGGTTGTGAACTGTCGCGTCAACATGAGCCAGTCCTACAATGATAAATGACGATAATCCGGGTTATATAAACAAAGTCTATTAAATAGAGTCGATGGGTACACTCTTTCGTAACTGACACATTTGAAATAGGGGTAAATTTTTCGACTAACGATTAATGAATACTGGGTTAATGTCTGAATCTAATGTAAGCAGCATATTAAGCTAACATTTGACTAAAGCAATATAGTAATATGATAACGACAAAGATCCTACCGATTCGGGTCACAGGAGCCACAAGTGGATCATCGGGCGATATTGCGAGCAATTTCCAAAAATGAGACATCAAGAGGTCAACAAAGCCAGGCTGTGTCATGTTAGCTATGTGGTCCGCGCGGGTTGCGGCCACTGAACGCGTAATTGATGTTAAACGGAAGAAGGCTTCACCATCCGGGCTGCTGTTTAGTGAGTCCTCCACATGCTGTAATAGAGCCTCGTCCTGACAGGACAAACAGTTTAATAACTGTCATTGATTCAAGCAATTCATTGTTTCGAAAACGAGTTAATGTGCTCTTGACGAAACGTTTTTGATGATTTCATCACCATCTTAGAAGTTGTATTTCGTTGAAACTGGACAACGACAAACGGATCCCACATAACATGTGCAAAACTCCAAAATCTACGAAGCAAGCTTACCTTTCTCGAGGCACACTCGTTTGATGATACGTGTAGTGCAGATAACAGGCTTTTAATAAGCCCCTGCAATTGCGGCGAACTTATTGGCAGCAGCAGCAGCTGCAAGGCGACGTCCAGTGCACGGCTACGTAGTCCGCTGTCGTCATGAGTTGCTTGACTCCGCTCTTCGTTCGAGATCAGCGAAAAACTCGCCTCAACCAACTGTAGACTGTCTTCCAACTGTTGCCATAAAGGAGACTGCTGACCTGGCACCGACGTGCTGCTCGTCAATAGCTGAAAACGCCAATGGCGATTCTTCGTGTTTATTTTCGTGCTTAAGAGCGATATTTAATCAGGCGAAATCCGATTATTTGGCAAATGAGCTACACTGCGGAAAAACATCTATAATTTTGTTTCTACAAATTTTCGAGGTAACCATTATACTAAAGTACTTTTTCTTACTGTAGAATGCAACGGCAGCCAAACAGTTTCAACGTTGGTTTATATTATTTCCTGTTTACTAGTTTCGTATAGTTTTGCCTTGCATATGAAAAAACTGGTTATTTTTTTTACCTCCTCATTGTCTTCGGGCCATCCAAATGATTCCTTTGTTCGACCATATACTTTAACAGAATCTAGAATTGTTACAAATGTGGGATCACCAGACACGCCAAAGGTGAGCGTGACCTTTTTGTCGGCTTGAAGACTTTCGTCACGAGTTAGGGGAAGATCAAACCAGCGCGCCCGAGAGCAGGCCAAATTGATAGTTCGTCCAAACAGCTCCACATAAGGGGGAACACGCTGAATATCCTGTGATCCCACAGCAATGCGAAGTCCTAGAAAACAATAGATAAAAAAAAATAGCGTGAGTCGTGCCATTTTATATACACTCGTGAAAAACCTCTATCCCATAAAAATATTATAGATAAGGCCGATTACTCTTGAGTTAAATATTTGTGACAAAGTCAACCCGTTAAAAACATATCACTGGCGCCTACGGAATTTCGAGTAGGAATGCAATTTCACCGTTGGAAATAAACTTAATACCTTTTTTAATAATTAAATAGAAACGTGTGGAAATTGCAAATCTGCCTAAACTAACCTGTTATGACCATGCTACTATCACTATTGATGACATCTAATTTGAAGCCACCACTTTTTGTGCAGACGACATAGAGCGAATTACTGCAAAGTCGCGTTTTCAGCTGCTCTCTATTGTACACCTCGAGTAAATCATTTCCCTCAAAGTCAACTTCCTGAAGCGGGTTACAATGCTCGAAATAGTCAATGGGGAACTGTGGCCTCCCCGAGGACACCAATGATGGATTTGTTGGTTGCATCGCTGCAGCTGTGGTCGATGCTTCTTTGGCTCTTCGTCTCGACGTACCTCGTTTCGCCGGGATTATTGGCGAGGGACGCAAATTCAGCCTATAGCAGCAAAGAACACGATATTCGTTTGTATGCTTATTCAATGCATTTCAATTGAACTTGTCGTTGTTATAAGTTATATCTCTTTATTGTACGCTCGCTATGCAATACTCTCGGCGACAAAATGAAAAGAGAACTGGGATAAAAATGGATCCAAACGGCAATTAGACGAAAGAGTCATTTACCAGAAGTTGGTCTCAGGCGCATTAGCCGTAAACACTTTCAGGCTGCCATCTTCACAAAGGACAACCAGATTTGTACGAAGTTCACCTCCATTGCCCGGATGTCGTAACGCAACCATATCTGAGATCTTCGACTTCGCAGTAGGCTGCAAGCATTTAATAAGCACAACTAAATGCACTATTAATAAAAAGATAACGTTCAGTGATATATAATATGTATACTACACATTTTTTATTCACGTTTCAGTCGTATTTCATACCAATTTAATTTCCTGGACGTGAGCAGTCCCCGGACGCAACAGAATAACGACGGGATTATTAGAAAATTGTTGCATTGCTAGCACAAGGCCCGGATGGTGGGGAACCTCACTCCAAGCGACCAGGGGTTGTCCGCCGGCCAACTTGTTTGACAGCGCGGACGAACTTTTACTAGCCAACTGCAACTGAGAGACTGGCCCAAGTGTGCCATCCATTGTTGTCAATGGGGCCATCAACGTCTTCGAGTTAGTAAAGCTGAGGAAAAGCATTTGCATCGCGTGCGAATAGTAGATCGATGTCCCTCCACTTCCGTTCATGCCGGAATGATCGACCTACACGAAAACGCGGCGAGTGAGGGTAATTAATTATATTACCTGGTTACTAACTTTTTTGACTTAATAGTCCCATTAAGATAAAACGGCCAAGCTGCTATGGCGAGAAGATACCACATAAAATCTACATAGGCATTGTTTGATTCTCATATTGTCATTATCACAATACAGTGTGGTCCTCCCACTACAAACCTGCATGACGTTAGTGACATAAAAGCTTCCATTCGTCGCTAGACTTTCTTCGCATAACTGTTGGTAGTAGACGAATCCGTTGGTTGACATGACCACCATGTAACGGTCTTTTGCGTCCAATCGAACGAATGTCACGTCCTTCACATTGCCCGACGCTAATATAAAATGATACGTCGGTGCGGCAGCGTCGACGGCCAAATCGAAAATCTTCACAAATTCGTGCGTTACTACGGCGAGTTCCGTTTGGCTGCCAGGCAGCCAAATTGCTTTGATGATGTAGTTTTGCCCTTCCAAGCCAACAGTGACCGTTAGGCGATTCAACAAAACCCCGTTCTGTCCGAACGTCAGTACGTGACAGTCCTTAAGACCGCATACTGCCAGATGATCGTCGGCCGCCGGAGTGGCGGGATTCGCGACGACAGATAGAGCCGTGAAGCCCACAGGTGCGCTGGCCAGCCGTGTAATGGTTAGACGCCTTCGAGGTGCTTCGGCTTGTCGGAGTAAGGTCGCCAGCTGTAGGAGAGTCACCTTGCCCTTTTCGTGCGATACAGCCACTTGTTGTCTTCGGCCTGCGCCAGCCCCCTGACTCAATGCGCACATGGCCACTCTTCGAACATGGTGTGATTGCAACAGCTGTCGAAGTTGTTGCTCACCACCCAAGTTCATCTTAACATTTTCGAACGCGCCCTCTTGAGAGCCGATCGTTACCTGTTTCCGTCGTATGCATTCAATACGAAAAAAGTCAAAATTATATCTATGCAATTTATGAATACGGTAGTCACTGCCAAGCGTCGCATTGTGCAATGCGTGGTATCAGTAAACGTTCAGTGCCTCGCGAATATTACAGTGTATCTACTGAATTGTACTCTTGAATGATGCCATGCGAATAATATTATGGAATAACCATACACTAACCTGCATGAGATCATCGACAGTCTCAAATGTCAAAGGTCCTTCGTGCATTTGGCGCAGCGCTTTTTCAGCTCGGACAGCGCTTCCCATGGGTGAAGTCGCTGCATCCTCTTTCAGTTTTGGCCTGATCTTATCAACAACGTTTGCCAAAACTCCTTCCACCGTTCGAGGACCCAAAAGAACTTCACGTAACTCCTGTGGTCAAGTAAGCATGTTTATATCTATAACTCTGTATACAAATAACCTAAGACGGCGAAAATAAAAGCAAATATATGCAGTTCTATATGTATATATGCACTTTAGTACAGGTAATATTAGTTCGAATCAATACAAGTCAGACGATTAAGGAGGTCGTTAATTCTACAGAATGCACTCTATTCTATATATTCTATCAGTTCGTATCACTCCATATTTGCGTACCTTCTCAAAAGGTGCTAGGGCAAGCGCCAATTGTGGTAGTTCCCTGCCGCTGTCCGTCGCTCCACTGTTACCTCCTTTCGAGGCCAACGAGTCGACCGAGCTCGAGCTCTGCGCAGCCAATTGTGACTCTTCTCCACCTCCAGAACCAGCAACGCTACCAGGGACTGCAGCAGCAACAGTCTGTTGAACTTGAGCGCTAGCTAGAGCATTGGCCAATGTCCTCTTTTCCATTGCTTGGCAGCTGCGGTCGCTTTTGGCGCCGCAGTCACAGAAGAATGAACCGTACTTGGCATACGTAACGTCATGATCTCTATGGCAAACCTTGGCGCAAACCGAACAAACTCCGACCCCTTCAACCATGCCGCATGTGTGACAGTGATACCAATGCTGGCTCATATAATCGCGGGCGGTAACCGTGTACGTGCATAGACGGGTAGTTTCGTCATCACTCAGTGATTCGGCCGAGTCCTCATCGTAGGCCGCTTCCGAGGAGATCTCGTCTGAGGACGCATCGTCGCGATCGCCGCTGTCCATCGTGTTGAGTGCTTTCAATGCAGCAACCAGCTTAGCCTGATAGTGGACAATGGCGGCAAAACCGACCTCAGAAGGCTGCGAGTCCAACCAGCGCGAGCAGGTTTGAGCTAGCTCAAGGTGCCACCGCGGTTCACCGCAGGTAGCAAGACAAACCAGGCCTGATAAAGCTGCAGTGAAAGCGCCCCCTGATAGTGCAGCAGGTACTACTCGTTCCGCCAGGGATGCGAAGGCGTCAAACAGCAGCTGATCAAGGTCAGGGTGTCGCACAGCGCAGACCACAGAAGAGACAAATGATTCTAGCAGACGTTCGTTGCTGGCTGGAGTGTCGTCCAAAACATCTTCACATGACACGATTGAGTACAACCACGTTTGTAGCTTGGCAGCATTCAGGTGTTTTAGTAAATTGTCTACGTTTGTTAGTTTGGTTGCGATTTCTTCAAACTTCCACAAATTAGTAAAGAAACGCAGAACCGCTAGACCATAATTTGCGTACGGTGGAACATTGCACGCCTTGTATAGAATAGCCCACAGATCATTTGTTTCAGCTAGCTGAGCGAGCGCCCGACGCCCCGCGGATTTCTCGGTCACACTTTCAAGATACTTAATGCATTCGTCAAAGATGAGCTCCATGTTGCCAATGGCCCGTATATGTGTTGTCAGCAGACGATAGCAGTGGCCAACCACCTGAGAGTGCATTTCATTCTCATAGCCACCGGGCAAGTCCTGCAGCGACAGCGCAGCGAAATCACTTTGGCTTTCTGTGGTAGCGTCAAGGAGCAGTGGCACAAGCGAGGCCACATACCAATGTTCGGCTTTATCCAACGAATCGTCTGCTCCTTGAGCCGGCTCACCACTCGCCTGTTCGGCAACCTGCTGTTGTCGCATCGCATAAAGGTCGTTGGCAAATCGAAGAGCAAAATGTAGTACCCTTTTCAGGGGAATCGCTAGAGAAAGACTTTTGGTTCTGGACAACGCTCCGATGTGTGCAGCTGCGATGGCTGCGATCAAGCTCTCTGACGGCAGCGGGTCAGATGCAAAATCTGCCCTCCATGAATCCACCGAATGACAGCCATCGGATGGCGTACAGTTCCAGCTGCAATTCAGAATCGATGACAGGCCTTCGGGAAGACATGATGCTACCGCCAATGTGACGCAAGTCACCGAGGTGTCCATCGCCCGTGATGAGGCAATCTCCAAGGCAACATCATAAGCAGCCACAAAGCCACCGCAGTCAAATTCATCAAGAACGAGACGGTGCAATGAACGTCGACACAGTTGTAGAAGATGGAGGACTCGCCCGAGCAGTGGCGATACTTGTTCTCGTTTTTGATCATCACTTTCACCGATGTGGTTGAACGAATGCTGCAGTTTGCCCAACACAACTTCTAGCCAGAAGAGATCAGTACCAGTCCAGCTATTCTTCTCCAAACGTGTTATCAAGTTGGCCAAAAGCGCGATTTCGTGGTCGGTGCCAGAAAACTTTGCCAATGTTCGCTCTAGCGCTTCTGACGGGTCGGCGTTGTTTTCTAGCTGCTTCGCAACGCCGTCTTTTACCCAAGCGGACAGATTTCGGTGGCTGAGACGTGGCAACAGTACGCAGAGCAGCAGTGGGTGCGAATTGAGATTCTCCAAAGCATGAAGAGAGGGTGGGAGACTCAAAAATAGACGCCACGCTCCCCACATGACGTATTGGGCTCCGCATAACTGAACATAACTTGTGCAGTGTGTTTTATCACGCTGCTCGGCGTCGCTGCCAGCCACGTCGAGCAGATCAATTATGCGCTTGTACAGTCGTTCGTATCGGCTTTGGGTGGAGAGTAGGAAGTTAATGGCGAATCCGTCAAGCTTAGGAAACTGTCCAGGCTGGGTTTCTTCGCACAAAGTATAGAACTTCAGCTTTCGCTGAGAACCTTCTTGCATGTGGAAGTTTTCCTCAAGTTCCTTATAGGAGAAGTACTTTACGGATCCACTAGAGGTGCTCGAACCATCGTTACATCCTAGGATGTTGGCGGTCACTTGATCCGTCAGCCATGTCGGTGCCGCATACAAGTGCTTAACGAGATACTCAAACAGGTGCAATAAACGTCCAAGTCGCAAGTAGTTGTTTCCGCTTTCTTGGTCTCTCGCGCTTGTCGAAGTTCGAGCGCCTGACCCTGGTACCGCAAATGACTGCGATGCATCTCTATTGTTAGTATCACCGGCGCAGATCGGATCGACAAGACTGAGCAAAAGTTCTTTGCGCTGCATCAGAGGAATTGAATCAAACAGATAGAGTAGCAATTGTGCGTGTTCCACGTTTAGATCTTCGGAGACTGAATCTGCTGTTTGCCCATAGGGAGCGGCAACAGATGCGTGCTCAAATCCAGCTGAAATAACGTAACTGTTTAGTTAGAATTGGAACCTTCCTCCAATCCTTGGATTGTAACCTCAGTCAAGGTAGTCAAAATGGTTTAAAATTAGTCATAGTACTTGTTGAAGCGTAATCCAGCGACAAATTCGAACCCTTCGATCGGAAGTAGAGATGGACTTTTTACTTGAGTAGAAGTACAAAGGAACCACTTCCCATGCAAGAGTAAATCTATACAAGAAAAAGACACCTCACCCTCTGCTGACTGGGCCGCACCACTGATCTGCTGTGAGTCCACTTCGGAAGCAGACATTGTTAACTGTTGCTGGGATGCTGATCGGGTGCTTAACGCCTGTATAGCCTTTTGCCAAACGGCAATTTTCGCTCCCTCAGGATCAGGATGAAGGAGAATCGCTTGTGCCAGAACGGCTAGACATCGTGGCGTAATCTCCAATGGCCACTGACCGCCCGACTTCCAAGGATTGATGCCTATGATGTAACCAGCAGGGCAGATTCAACAAACATTAACTATACAACGACGAAAATTTCCGATTGCATTTTAGCATAAAATTAAATTTTCTCGGCGAAGAAAAATCATAGTCGCCCATATATTTAGCGCTCAATTATTATTGAAAGAACGCGCAGAAATGCTTTCAACACCAAAAGAACTTAAATCTGTGCATATTCAAAACAACATGCAATTTACGGAGTTTTCTTCTTTGAAATTTTTACAAAATTACCCCAATCATCGTTTTACATCTATTAAAGTAAAAAGAGAGGAGTATGCTATGTATTTTGCATACATTCAACTAAGGGAATCTTTTGTGAAAATAACTGAAAAAAAAATTAAGTTTTCAAACTGTCACGAGACTTGGTCTCACCCTTATAATTGCTTACCCAACGTATTGAGCAATGTATCCTGCATATCACGACTGAGAACACCTCTTGCAAACAGATTATGTACCAAACGTTGAATAGCAACGGCGAATTGCTTCTGACCAGGAGCAACAGTCCCCCCGTCAAGGTCGCGTACGATGTTGGCCAAGGTCAGCATATGGGCTGCCGTCAGCTCTCTGTAAGAATCAACGCACGTAAAATTGCACCGCTTTACAACGTTGGTATCTTAGCCTCGATTATAGTTGTCAGAAAGGCATGTCAAAGATAATTATCACAAAGACAAAGTTCAAAGTTACCAAAAAACATTGATTTTAAAAAACAACAGCCTCGACTGGGAGTGCTTTGCGAAACTAACAATAACAGCGATGCTTGCAAAACGACATTTACTCTTTAAGTCAAAAGTAACGAAACACCAGGCTACTACAAACGAATCCGGCGGACCTTTAAACTACGCGTCGCTAGTGCACGAACTTCGTCCGGCAAATACTCTAAATAAAATAAATACTAAAGGAAAAAAAGTTTTTTAAAACTCCTTTTCCTTTAGAAACTTTCTTTTAGAAAGATTTAGGCAAAAACCCATTAAGTTTACTCCAGCAAGAATATTTTTACTCTCACAAATCAACGCGACGTAACGTTTCAAGGACAGCGATTGGAGTGTTGAAAACCATCGAGGAGGCGACCAAATGTTGGGACCCGAAGGACAAAAAGGCGTTGCCGCAATCGAAGAGACTTTTCATGAAAGTAAAGCTTGGAATCTAAGAGGTCTTTCGGTCAAAATTGGAATTTAGCATGTAGCGTCTTATAGAATTAAATATTGAAAATGCGAAAACTAAATGAAGTTCGTGAATCGACTACAAACCAGTTGGAACTGTGTATAGTGCATTCCATGCGCAATTTATGAAACTTTGATCAACGAAAGACCCGTCTGAAGTATACGGTCGCCACAAACGGGGCATGAATTAATCTCTACCGTTACCCAGAGATGGTCCAGGCGAGAGAATGGTGTCGCCCTGGAGATAAATCAAGTTTAACAGCAGTGTTGATTAGGCTCGAACGTAAGGTGATGGTAATGGTAGCAATGGACAACAGGGGCATCTTCTTCTATGAAATACTTACCGAAAATGAAATAATAAATGCAGCTCGCTATCTCGCATTCCTTAAGAGACTCACAGACCGTTGGCACGGCAATCAAAACCACACAGTCGCTTGACGACTACGCCAGACCTCATCGCCATGCCTCAATTACTTCCTGCGTTGACCGAAAGAATATCCAACGTTGGCTTGAACCCCTTTATTTAACCGATATAAGCCCGTGTCATAACAGGGCTTTCCATGTGCAAAAACCGATGGGCAGGGATATCACCCTACTTTGAAAAGCCACAAATAAAGTAATTTGCATATGGGAATTCGAATGGTATGTATAGGCCTGTTTAGAAGCTGGCAGAGCACGAAAGGTGTAAAATATGTCCTCCCAAATCCGCTATGCAATCGTCTGTTTAGTGATCAAAAATGTGTTGAAAGCACTTTCCTAGTGCCTCCAACATACAACGTATCATAATTTTAGCATAACCAATTTAGAAGTTATTCAATTTCAAAGTCCGTCGTATTCGCTTGTAAGAGCCTAATATATGTCACCAACCTGGCAAGGTACTTCTCGATGTTCGGGAACCCGGCGACTAGCTGTGCATCAAGCAGGTGAACGGCCCTAGCTGCCAACTGCATGTGAGAATCACCACTGTTCGAATCACCAGAGTCGTTGTGCTCTCCGCCAAATTCAGCACCAGCATTATCCTGGCTTAATACCTCTTCGTACCTGTAAATCAGAATAAAGAATTTATTCTAAAATTCATCAGTAAAGTCAATACAGGTAAGACTACTAAGCGTTATACGAAGTTCAGTTCAATACGCAAGCCATCGGCAAACGATTGCACAATACTCAATATGCAGTGTTAGTGATAGTATACACGTTACAAAAACGATTTTGCTCCGTACCAGGCGCCGAGGATAGGTTCGGAATCATCATCGTCATCTTCAGGACTCGAACTTGGCCTAGCGAGCAGTGCGGCTTTCCGGTACCCTACCGAAATGCAACTGAACAAATGATTGCATAATGGCAACTCCAATATAAGCTGAACCTTTTCAACTGCAATTTAATCACCCAACAATTAAAAGACATTTAAAGTCATTGCACAGATTTTTGGGTCACTAGCTACTGGTGGTAAGTGAAAGTCACGTCAGCTTAGCTAATTGTACTTACGAAAAATTTCACTGGATAATTAAACTTCTATATTTAAAAATCACCGCAGTGTAGACTCAGGAAGGCAGGTTTTTGCAATATAAGTTTAGCCTTGTATTGCTAGAAAGAGGGTATACAAATGAGTAAATATTGGCTTTATCATTAGTGTTGTTGTTATTAACAAGGAACACTAACCACTGAACGAGGAAGTGATATCTTTTTCTAACACCTCAATTGACCATGTGCGTCCATCATGCAATGTACACTCGAACAATTCCGCCAGAAGTTGAATCAACGTGCAGTTTAGAGGCACGCTATGGCCTTGTAAGGCTCCACTGTCAGCACTATTGCTCCGAACCAATGCAACGCATGTTAATAGGTGAACATTTTGACGAACTGAAGAACTGCGCAGGAGCCCCGTAAGCGTCTGGTAGATATCTAGCTGTGGAGCAAACAATATTATACATACGATAACGATATTTAGTCAGATAACCTTAGCTTATATAGATATTTTTTTTAGAAACACTGTAACTGAGTGACTAGAATGAAACTTGGACACGATGTCTTTATTCGTCAAAAAACATGAAGTCTGTTCTAAAAGAATCTAAACTCAAATACGAACGTACACATATCGCCGTTAAAAATTAATACAGATTATTGTTCCTTTTATAAACTGCAACTCACACAATACTTCAAGGTCCGATCATCGTCATGAGCTTGTAAAGCCATTCGAACAACCACGCGCGCAGCCTGCACGAGCACTTCATCTGAGAGCAAAGTCTCAAGCCGAGTTACGTCTTCCACAAGTGGAAGCCGCTGAAGTGAAAGAGCTGCGCGCATTAACGAATCCGCGACACCATGGAACGCTATCCTAAGAACAAAACAGAAAACTAGGTTAAAGCGGGTTATGATAACATGACGCACTTACTCGGGCCGATTACTGATCGAACGTAGCAATGTCAAACGGGAACTTACCATTCTCTGTTACGGGCAAATAGAACGGGTTTGCTATCGCTGACAGTTTTTCGTGATCCACCGTGCTGGCCACTAATTTCGGGAGAAAGCGTCAGCTCAACGCAAGCTAAAATGGGATCTAAAGAATGTCTTTGGACGCCTGTGCCAGTTCGGCCGGAGGCCGCCTGAGATTCGGCCCCGCCAGGAAACGCCGGCATGAAGTCTACTGGCAGCGGCGGGAGCGCCACGAAGTCATCGAGACGCTCGCTTTTCTTTGATAAAACGCGGATCACTTGGGACATCTGGACAGACAGTGCAAACAATTATACAAGCACTGAAAAATTATTTTTAAATATGATTACCTCATCTGTAGTCTTGCATGCACCTAGCAGCCGTACGCTTCTCTTATTCATGACAACATGTCGATCAGAATTGATCCGCAGAAAAGCGGTCCATTTTCGTTTACTACTCCCCACTGTGCATACAAAATACGTTACAACCAGTTTGACTCGCGCTAACTGATAATAAACATAAAATGAATGCAGAGTTTACGAATTTTATCTCGATTTGCATTTATAACATATTTTCATTATTCTTTTTTACCTTTGCGAGGACGTCGCTATTCTGTATGAGTTTTTCGTTGACCAACTCTCGTTGCATCCTGCCGAGAACGGAAATGCTTGCATCGTGTAGTTGTTTTGATTGAGTTCGGCTCAGTCCAGGTGACACCTGAAGTACAACAGATACTCCTTAATTCATAGCAGCAATGATTATCCAGTTGCACGATCTCTGATAGAATCTGTAACAGTACTGTCATGAATACCCAGCATAGCACGCGACAATAGGTTACTTGTTATTTTAATAGGTAGTATTGGACTGCCTGTTATTTCTCTTTTTTGTAGAGTAGTAGATGACTCTCTGTTTACAAATGTTACTTAATTTCTTCAGAAGAATGAGGCGATTTTCTCTTATGTTCTTAGTGTTGATGTTCTTTCTGCTTCTTTACCTTTGCAATATAGTTGGCGCACAGAAGGGCCACGTCTAGGAAGGTCTCTGATGGGTACTTTATACAGCTGAAATACGACGTAGACAAAAAAAGTTATTTGTGTGAAGCTGAAATGCAAAAGGTCCATTGTTTTGTTGCGGACTTCTCGATCCAATCTTTATTTCGCGCTGCCTACGATGTACGTAACGTGCCCAGAATGTAAGCTCTTGAGGCGGTAGAACCAGTCGAAATATACATTACAGCTGTCTTCGTACGAAGACAGATTAGGTCCTTTTATAATGAGCTTTGAGAATGCACGTGAATAACAATAATTTATTTCGCAAAAATTACTCTATATCAAGTTAAAAGGTTAAAAAAAAAGTACCGAGTTTGCCATGGCACTAAATCCTAAATACCAAAGAGTGGTGTTAAGTAGAGCACAATCTGGCTTACGGACTACAACGCTAATCTATTTCGAACCTTCATTCTTGTGTTTCGAACAATTCTTGTGTTTAATGCTGCAGCGGAAGGGTTTGTTATTCTTTGTATTAGCAACAAAGAAACAACTAGTAACCATAACATGCTGCGTTATATGTGGTTTAGCATTGCTTATTTTTTAAGAATACCAGCCATTACGTTCAGTGCTTAAAAATCTCCCACCGAGCTAAGCAAAGTTATCAACGAAAAAATAGTACCAAGTCAAACAATATACCCTAACCAAAATACACAATGCAAGTAACAATGGGGAAGATTCACGGTTATTAGGGCGTCTCTAATGAATAAGCAAAAATATTCTTTGAAAAGTCAGAGGCCTTTTTTGCTCTACACATAAAAGGTAAATAATAAAAATAAATAAATATATATAATTTATTTATTTCAATCAAATAAATGACGAGCTTACTCATGGAGGTTAACAATGAAAAAATGTGCATCAGTATTTGAAAATGCCGAGACTTTTAAAAATATATCAGCAAAATCGTTCAACCGTGATCTCGCAAAATCTGGTGTTTTCAGAATGTGTACAACAAGTACAACTACATAATTACAGGTATAGTCATAAGGATGCCAATTACTGTATCGATTAAAGTTAAATAGTTTAAATTTAAAAATTTTCCAATTCCAAAGAGAGAAGTAAATGTATCCCTACTTTATCATAAGCATAAAATCACTGCGCCATTTTATATCACTGGATATTATTCGTGTAAGACAGTACCGCTGATTTTCTTTTTACCCTACAAAGAGTAACAAGTCTATTCACTGTAGCTATTACATGGCATTACAAACCAATATTTGGACACAGCTGAATGCAAGATTATCGCTAGCTTTTTTAGTCCACTACTACTTCCATTACTAGGATATGAAGACTTCTTGTTTCAATAAGAAACAAAACAAAAACGCGACCAATGTAGTTGTTTTTAATCGAATTTAACGATTTCAATTTTATGTTTTACTGACTTTAAGTGTTAGTTGAAGTTAGCGACTACACACTACGACCATACACTAGTAAACTGTATCAAATAGCTTTCAAAATGAATACGAAAAGAACATTATGCTCACTAAAAATGAATAAGACCCTATACTGATTCTACCACCTTTACCTTAGATACATCAGATCCAAGTAAACACGCTTATTATGTTCAACATACATTCAATCTACCTATACTAGTAAGTTTATCTCTGTCTATTTGTTTGTTGGGTCCAAAATGACTTTAAAAAGCTCATTGACCGAACTATTTTCTTCCTAAGCAAAAAGCCTGCTTTGTTTTATTGACTGTGATGTTATTAGATCGTAAATCGAAGGCAACAATTTCTTATTTTCTACATTAGAAAACAAGGCTGCGCCACCGTTTACAAACACCAAGCGGGTGACCCTTTAGTATTATAAGTACATGTCCTTTTTATACATTATGATTATCATAAAATTGAATTATGACGTTCTATCATATATTTTATATATAGCATATGCGATGTGGCTGAATCTGAGTACTGAATGTTCAATATCGAACAGTTTGCTGCCAATCCCAGCCATTGATTTAAATAACCAAATCCAACTGTGGTAATGGGAACGAGGTTCCCATGTCTTCTAGCCTGCTTTAGAAAATGATCGTTGCGAACAAGGCACTTTGTACATCTTTAAAACTCCTTCTATACAACAAGTGCAACCCTGCTTTATACGAATGCCAAAAACCTGCATGATATGGCCGTTTACCCCTACATTATAGGCTTGCTGTTGTTCAATTTTAGTCGCTAACTCGATGCTGTAACCATACTAGCGGAATTCGCATGAATGTGTTCGCTCACACCTCGGACACCACTGTTATAATATTACAAATAAAACAAAATCCTTGAAGGTTTAGATAAAACCATTGGCGATTGCCTTTGATCCATGCGCTGATTGATAAACTCCATGCGCACCGAGACTCGGTGTTTCGTCTTCCAATATCAGTATTCAGCAATATAGTTTTATTTTTTGTCAACGAAAAAAGATACACGACCGCAGTTTGATGCTTGCGTTAAAACAAACATCATGAATTGCAAAATATTTAATTAGACATTGACATTGGAATCGGAGACTATGTACTATAACAAATACCATAATTCCATACGATGCTAAACATAGCATGTACGATTGGGAAAGAATATTGCCAATGTGTAAAGGCGTCGAAATCAACATCGCCCAGATTGACGCACATTAGAAGTGGCCGACAGCTTCCTTTGTTTTTCTTTTGCATTGAAGAATCTACCTATCACCGCTATGTATCTCTATCAGGTAACGGTTGATTAGCAAATCATCCCAGATGACTCGCATTTTCGAAGCTGATTTTAATGATTAAACGAATCGTTGTGTGCTGTAGTCTGCACGTGGGCCGGAGGGACTGAAGAAAAAAGTGCATGATTACTTAGACACAGTCGCTCATTAGACTATAACAGCATAACAATCATACCACTAACAGAAATGATGCGAAAATGTCTTCGTCTCTAATCGCAATGTACCTTTATCGGTACAATACTGTGATATCGGCTGGACCTATTGCCGAAAACTTACAAAGCTTATAACCGAATTCCAAGCATATTAGATCTGTGGGGCTTTTAATTTTTCGAGTTAATTCTCCGGTCATATCGCTAGGTAGATCACTCACCTTCTTTGGATGGCCTCAACGACCGCCTGCACCTCGGTGAGATTGCCGTTGAGCAGAGCATCTGTGCGGTCGGCCATGGCACCCCGTGCTCTACAGGGGCCGAGCCCCCGTTCACTCTTAATTGAAACTTCACTCTTAAGCCGAAAATACTCCGAATTGCAGCGAAGTCCCAATTCGTGTCACTCTGTAACTACTACCATTCTCCGCTTTTACCACTACAATAACAGCACATTCGCGAGGACTGGCCGCGTCGCCTAAAACACCCAGCGATGCAGGCAGCGCAGCTAGATAAACACCGTCGCATTAATGCGCGGACCGAGTGACGTCCTAAGCTACGGAACCCAAACAGTACGGAACTACTATTTTGGGCACCTGTGTAGCAACAGTTATTTTTTGAATGTGCGTTTAAGGCGCGTACTGTGTCATGCCAGCGAAGAACATCGTAACAAAAATAGAATCTTATCGTGGCATCTCTTACGTCGTGTCTAGACGGGATTGGATGTTTACAGTTTAGATGGCATCGTACAAATGCTTAGTGTTACATATAAAGTATTTATGGTGGCACGTAAAGCAGAGGAATGCGAAAACGCATCAAACACATTTGATTAAGAGTCATAGAGTGTTACTGTACGTCTTCTCCTTGTTTTAGCTATTTATTAGATAAAACAAATAAAATGCCCATAATGCAACGCATTTGCTTGCGTAATATTTAAATTGCGATCTTATCAAATATATTTGAAAGTACGTTATTTAGGCGATCTTAAGGTTCCAACATCATTATTTGTGCGCATTATTGCGGAACCTTGTATTTACTGCCGTATTAATTCTGAAAACAATCAAGTTTCTAGAATAATGCAATTAGTATACGGTCCAGAAACAGTGAGAAAAATATTTTTTTCCCAGAGTACCCTGTGCGCCAATCAGTGAATTGAGAATACGATAGTCGTTAGTTATATATTAATCAGTGTGATAATTGCTTGCCTTAACGTAATAAAGCTTGGTAGAAACCCTTCAACAGAATCAAGTTTTTTTAGTACAGAATCTTCAAGACGTTCTGTTAACTATACGTGTTCTGCTGACAGTACTACTAGCCACTGATACTGTGGTGACAAATAGAGAAACACTATAACCTACTGGAGCAAAATGTCTAGTTAAATCGTTTTAGATATATATACATACACATTTCCACATGCGGCGCGGTATACAGAAGGCCAGGTGTAATGCTTATGAGGCTTGAGTAAGCAGTTAAGATCGACCGCAAAGGGTTCACTTTTATTACAATTAATCTAGAACCTTCAGTATGAAACCGGGCAGTGTCATAGTAATTCCTTCCGCCTTCGATAAAAATACCGTGTGCGGTTGGAGAGGCATATATTGGTACACAGTGAGTCAAAACTAGAACAAACATCATCGAGAAGAACACAAAACTACGCGCGATTTGCTCATCATTTGTAGTGTGCCCATAGCGTATTGGTGTTTGTCAACACGTAATGTCAAAAAAATGCGAGCGTAAGTGGAACACAAATTTTACTCGCATTATCATACACAGTCACATAAGTTATGGTATTGTACTGACAAGGAACGTGTTTGTCGTTTTCCATTCACCTTTCAATACCTTGGAAAAACATCAGCTGTAAACCAGCGATAAGTTGCCCTGAAAATATGCTTGTTAAACCTATCCAATTTTGCAGGGATTTCGGAAAAGACTATCTTTTTGTGAAAAAAGTGCGACCTTAAGGGGTTATCTTTTTTCTGTTAGCGCCGCTCAATCTCTATGGGAACAATGGCTTTGATTCCGGTAGCCATATATATACATATTATAAAGAGTTTTTTGACATTACGTACATTAATGTTTAGTTTCGAATCACATATTGTAAACTTTCTCAACAAAAATACATTATTAATTAGTTCGCATTCTGAGTAATGACGAATTCACGACTGCTCCGCTATTATACTTCTCAAAACTCACGCGATTGTAGAAATTTTAATGGCTCTTTGCTTCATGGTTCGCACAGTCAGGTTTTGGCATCTGCTCTGATACAAATACATTTAGCACAGCTGAATACATACCGTAGCGATACAAAAACATAGAACAAGGAAATTAAAGCAACAACGGTTATTTTCTGTAACCTCTTCTTTATTAGTTACATTACGTTTTCATAAGTTATCTTTTGTCGTTGCTATTACTTAGCAGCGAGTATATAAAGAATAATCTTCATATAATATACAGGTATAGGAACAGTTTATTTTACAGGAAACACGCGCTAGTCTATCCAATATATCGACACGGAAAACGCGAACCCAGGAAAAATTTCACTTAACTAGCTTATTCAATAATTGAATTTCATTTTATGCTTTCAGGTTTCGAACGATACTATCGTTATATCACACGTCTTGTATTTTTTGACTCTTGTCTCAAAATTGATTCGCTGAATTTCGAAGTAGGCAACAGAATTTGAAAAAAAAAAAGCTTTTTGTGTAATATTTTAATGTTCATGGTCATGTTTCAGCAACTCGAGTTTATGTAGGGGTGGATATGTTGCAAGATGCAGTTAGGACTTGCACGTTCCGCTCGATGTTAACAAATAAACATTATAGCTCATTATTCATGTTTCCGTTAGCGCTGTTCGATAGTACAAAGTTAACATTTCTCGAAAATTTGGCAACTAATTTTGATGGAGATGTACATATGGATCAAAGATGTACACATGATAAGAACATACACAGTTGCCTTGTGCTGAATAAATAGAAGTGGGCTGCATGCGCACCATATGTACGTGAAATACTGTAAACGAAAGGAGATACGCCCACTTTATATGAACATGTGAATATTCAAACTAATATGTCTAAACGAATAGTTTTACACTCTGTTGTTTATGCCGTATATCCACTGGTGTCTCTCGAACGATATGTGACACCGCGTCTCTTCAGTTCGCGAATCATTCCCGCAGGGAGGCGTCCAGAGACTGAGATGGCGTATGCTCCCGGCACGCGATTTACGCACCGCTGCCATTTGGCTACCCAGCTATCTTCGGCATGCATCAACGTGAATAGTCCGCTAAAGTTTGTAGAGGTACAGCTCAATACCTGCAGCACAGAAGCAAAACTATACGATAAAGTAAAGCGATAAAGCTGTTTTTTTGCATAAATTGTACAAAATACATGTTCTTTTTTTTATTAGGTATCCCTATCTACGTATGATGGAAGCTAAAATTGCGACCACTAAAATACTACATGTAGTCGTACTAATACTACTTTCCATATAACGCTCCAATTTTCGAACGCAACTAAAATAAATAGTAATTATCATCGCGAGCTGTAAGCTTTTTTTTTTACTTTTGATTTGGTAAATTTGCATAATTCCATGTGTTAATGACCGAATTGAACTCTATGAAGACTTGATCTTTGTAATTCCAAGATACACAGATAAAACAAACTTTAAATAGAATACCACACGATTACGTCGGTGAAGTAACAGCTGCAACAATTCTATTATATATTAAAATATTTTTATGGAAAACTTGCTGAGCAGTGTGTCATTTATCCTGTTTACCTGTTCACGGTTAGATTTCATTTGTAAAAGAGGCTCACAGTTTTCACAACCTGAGTCTTCAAATTGATCGACGCTCTTGACTAAGGAACACAGCATGCACGCACGGAGATTCCGCAGATCTTTTGGGATATTGTCCATTGACGCCGTCATGTTAACGCTTACGAGTCGATATTTACTACCCAAAATTCAAACTGTGCACACAACAGCCTTCGAAATATTTAGTTTGTTTATTGTAGTCGAACTTCTTCACTTTAAGATAGTTGACATCTTATGTCCCCACCATCAACCGGCTTTTTATTTACTATTCACCGCGCTCAAACCGCAGTCGACCTTCGCTCCACAATCTACCCTCTCTACGCGGGTGATTTCGAATTCTCGAACCATTCGTATGCCGCAATTAGTCGATAGAATACTATTGCTACATTAGTATCATCCCATAGAACATTACCGTGTAATCTTCCAAAGAGCATGCTTCTAGTTTATATTTAGTGCAATTAACTTGTCGTTATGTTAAGTCAGAGCCAAAACAGTCCCAGCCGTGTACTGAGGCTCTGTTGAAGTCTATGTATGGTTAGCAAAGGAGAGGGTTGTTCTTACTAATTCATCCATTGTATAGAAGAGTCGCATTTCTTCCTCCCAGGTACCGAGCACTCCTAGATGTCAGTATTAACACATGCTAAACCTAGTACTCACTGACCGACATGCTATGTGGCGGGCCTGTTTGTACCTAGTTGCCCCTGTTAGTGTAACGATACAGCGCTGCGTAATGCCCCATAAGTAGCCGCTGCCTGCGTAAGCGCGTCCAAAGACAATAAACGAGTTAGGTGGATAATTGGAACCATTTCTATTAACTGAGGCATTATTGATACACTGTGGCCAACCAACGCCAGTGGATAATTTCGTTGAATTAACTAGCCAACACTACATCAGGTAAAGTGGTACTTCTTTCGGTTTTCCAATAGCACAAATGTAAGCATAAAATAAGAGTGCTGTTATTGATTAGTTTAAATTCGAAGGACGACGGCAAGCGAACATCGTCGTTTTTCGAGCGGCCCTTGATTCTAATGAAGTGCAACGAGCAACAACAACGAAGGGTTTTCAATTTCCAAGAAGGCGTAGTATAACTGAGCTGTAGTATTAGGACTATGGCTTGGACCAGAAAAACTAGCGATGATTTGAGATGAGATTTCCTTAAATGCGTGTGATTTCATACATCTTTACTGAAGTAAAGACGTAGTAGCGAAGAAGGGTGCCGGTTATGCTAGTGAATGCGCCTTTTATATACCCTTTCAGGCAGTGCGCTGTCTATCGATCAGCTGTTCAGGCGAAAGCAGTAGAATATAGTTCTAACTGTTTTTCAAATAGCCATGCGCTGCAAGAATGCAGTAGGTAAAAAATACCTAAATGATTCCTCCGTATGGTGTGATAGTGGGGAATTAAATTAAAATTATCATATGGCTTTAATTGGCAACAAAATTTGACGACATCGAGAGATATGGTGGGCATCAAGAAGCACAACAAGAAAAATGGCATTCTGAGCCAAAATGCTTTTGTCTATTTAAAGATAAGACTTATTTTAAATTGAAATTCCTTCTAGAGTTCCTCACTGGAGTTAATAAATATTTCTGCATACTAATAGTGCTTCTCAGCAATACAAGGCTAAGTTGCCTTTTATATGCACTATTAGGGGTTGCAAGTTGAATTCAGTGCCTGAGAGTACATATCGATAAGGTAAATAAGGCTTGATTTTCTACATTCCCTACCAGAGTTTGACGGTAGTGGTGAAAATCTGCCATTACCATAACTAGAGAATTTTGATTCTCAAGCAGCGGCTCTACACGCCCAAGCAGCTTTACGAGACTGCATATTCGTCTCTATGTTTGGAGATTTGCATGGCAGAAACAAAGACGGAGATAAAGCGAGCCTTGTCAAACATACATTTTTAAATCATTCATGTTTTTTCATTAAACCCATCACTAGAGATGGTGTTTCTGTTGTGACGATCATCATGTTCCGTAATGTGACTAGCGTAATGGCTGGATATACCAGTTCAAGGGCAGAAAATCGAATTGTTTGCTTATTTTGTTTATCGCGCACTGTGATTTATTGTTTATATATACGTTATGCAAATTTTCCAATCAAAAGAGATTTGGAGCAGACGCGTTTTTTCTAGTGGAGTTTTAACTATTTTGTCCAGAAATTATATTCTAATTACGTGAATGTATATATAATTGTAAAAATATGTGTTTGTACTCCTATTGTGCTATTCATGAATTTTAATGAGCACAGTGGGGCTAAACCTGCAGAATATCAATGACCAAAACTCCTGTTGCTTACATCGTTTATCGAATGCGTCTGAATGAAAGATTTTACTACTAACTGGTGGACATCACAGTCTCATATGAACCCGTTACAAAACATAGTGCCAAGAAATCGTGACCCGACCTAAACATGATATATTAGGTAATAGGATGGTTGTTGGCAGAATCAGAGGGCCTGCTAACGTCACAACGTAATTAACTGACCAGCTAGATTTTGATCAGATCATTTAATCAGTAGACTCTAATACGAAAGGAAATTACTTGTTTTGGAAGGCGTTGTAAGGTTCAAATTTGGCCCCTAATTTACAAAATCCCATGCGATCAGCACTATAGAGTGCTGGCATATATCAGAAAATGGCGATTGTTTTTAAGATATGATCCTAGCTAGAGCTACTGAATTGACAAGTTGTAGTAAACTGAGTGTTAATTAACATAATACTGTATTATGAGCAAAGTCATATTGGTGAAATGAATTGTAATGTGGTGCCCATTTATATTATCCGCTTTTTACATTCCTTTGAACAGCACTATGTAAATATCGTTCGCTGTTTACAACTGTAGTCTATGTTACTGGCTATAAATATTATTCTGTCTCAGATCCAGCGTAGTTTAAGTGAGCTGAAGTTGCCTTCTCCGCAAACAGATTAGGGGCTAACTAAGAAGACCTACTAAGGACACCAAATGACAGTCGTCATAATCGATCAATGGAAACATTTTATGCATTTTCCTACGGCCCCCGTTTACTTAAGCTCGTGCATGTATATTATAGCTATAGGAAAAAGGTATATCTACAGATTTACATATTGTTAAATTACGATATGGTTTATCATATCATACGCCGCCTTCATACTGATTCCCATAATTGTAGAAGCTGTGAGCTGTATAATAAAACGTTGTAAAGATGTCTATATATATAATCTAACAAAATATCTTGGGGACACTTGCAACGGAAATTCTCTTAAAACTTTTGGTTGTAAAGAAGTTAACCGTTAGCAAGAATGGGGCTTTTTATGCAGGGGGTCAAAATCCAATCAACGGAACTTACTACTGCAGAAACTAGTAAAAAGGCGAGATTTGCTTAATTGAACCCAAAAATGTAATTTGACCCTACATAAATAGGGACAACTGGGTTTATTTATTTTTAATTTAACAAAGTTGAATATAATCAACGTAGACTTAGTCCTTTTTGCGCAAAAACCCTTTGTATGTATCATTCGATAATACATTTTATTTGCCAGTCAGCCGAAAAATGATCATGAAACTTAAGAACAAAAATTCTAATCAAACTCTTGTTTTTTTGGTGTGTGTTTCTCTTTTATTTTCCTACATCTTAGGATGGGAGCTGCTCTAGCAGTAATCCCAGCTGCGCAGCTGGCATGTTGCTTCGGCTCGACGGCCTGTTCGCTGTGCTGCGGTGCCTGCCCTACCTGCCGCAACTCGACATCGACGAGGATCATGTACGCATTGATGTTGGTGGCTACCACAATTACGGCTGCCATTATGTTGTCACCTGCTTTATCGGACTGGTTGCAAAAAGTACCAAAGTTGTGTACCTCATCGAACATCTGCAAAGACGTCGTTGGCTATCTGGCGGTGTATCGGCTGATGTTCGCACTAACAATGTTTTTCATTCTGATGGCTGTCATAATGATCGGTGTACGGACATCGAAAGATGGTCGAGCCGGTCTACAAAACGGCTTTTGGGGCATTAAATATGTCGTTCTTATAGGATTCATGGTGGGATCATTCTACATGGGCGACGGCGAAAGCTTTGGCCAAGTCTGGATGTACTTCGGTATGATCGGTGCCTCGTTATTCATTCTCATCCAATTAATTTTGATTATCGACTTTGCACACGGCTGGGCCGGTAACTGGGTTAAACAGTTTGAAGAAAACGAATCACGTGGCTGGTACTGCGCTCTCCTTTCGGCTACGTTGGGAATGTACGCTCTGACAATCACCGCGATTACGCTATGCTTCGTCTTCTATACGACCAGTGATGCCTGTAGCTTGCAGAAGTTCTTCATCAGTTTCAATCTGATTCTCTGCGTTATTATCTCTGTACTGTCAGTTCTTCCAAGTGTTCAGGAACGTCAGCCGACCTCTGGTCTCCTGCAGGTAGGCACTATGAAATTCTAGGGTAGTTTTCCCTCCAAAGTTGCATGTATGAATGTTAATATTAACTAAGTTATCAAATTTACTACTCCTGCTTGCTACTATTAGCAATATTAAATAATAGCAATACTGGTTGACGCTAACATTAGCTTTTAACTTTAAAATTAAGGGTCCTAACGTAATTCGTATGCATGATCCAAGTTTTTCGAAATGGAAGAAGAAAAGGAAAGAAGTAATTTACATACATAATATTTGGTCGGTGCTTCAATACCAATGTGAAAAAAACCAGGCTAGCGCGGTGAGTCTGTACATCATCTACTTAACATGGTCCGCCTTGACCAACTCCGGGGAAGTGGCATGTATGCCTCCACCGGTCATCACCGCAAAGGGCAACAAGTTTGATCTCCAGAGCATCATTTCACTTATCATCTTTGCCGGCTGCGTTCTCTATTCGTCGATCAGAAACTCTTCAAATACTCAGGTAATTTTTGAACTTCAGCATCTAAATAAGCTCTGATCATTTGAAATTAAGTTACTATTTTATGCACGTATTGGTTACCTTACACAAAACCTTTATCTAACAATGTTTGTTCGCACTACTCACTATCATAAAGGTAGGGAAGCTGACAGGAATCAGCGACAACGATGAGGCTGAGAAAGGAATTCGCTCAGGTGGAGTCAGTGGCGATGCTAAGGTTTGTCTACAGTCTCTATATTTTGGTTGGACACGCACTGAATAATGTTTGAATGATTACAAATCAATAATTGTCATCTGCAATGCACTTCAGCCAATCCACTAAAATAGCTGTTAGGTATTATGTAATGGGAGAAACACTAGAACCGATTGCAGTCCAATGGTAATGCATCGTGTTTAGTACGAAGCTCGAAATTCGTACTGATTTCAATAATGGTCTCGTTCTAGGTGTGGGATAATGAAGAAGATGGTGTGGTTTACTCTTGGTCGTTCTTCCATCTAATGTTTGCTCTAGCCACCCTTTATGTGATGATGACGCTGACCAACTGGTATCAACCTGGTGATGTGACGCTGAGCAAAAACCTTGTTGAGAATCCTGGCTCAATGTGGGTGAAAATTATCTCGTCATGGGTGTGTGCCGCGCTTTATTCATGGACCCTTCTGGCACCGCTGGTCCTTCGAGATCGAGACTTCTCCTAAAAAGTACGTTCGACAAAAATCAAAATCACTCACTCCTCGAGGAACTTAATATGCGGCCTCGCTTGTCAACAGTGATACGATCAACGACAATTTAAACAAAAGTACTGCCGTTTTACGACACTTTTAGGCAGCCGTTTAAAAGGTTTAGCAGTTTATTCTTTGCTTAAAAGAAAAACAAACCTATAGTTAAAACAGTCTCACTGCGGTCCCTGAACCAGCTACCAGCATTTTTCACGTGCTTATAAAACCGTGTTAGCTGCGTAAATGTCCGATTGATAACGATAAGCAACCAAATCACTTGTATCCTGTGCGTGTTAATGGAATCACAAGTTGGGAACTTATAATATCTAGAATGACTATATCTACATCTGTATAATGTCCCCTTATCCTAATGAGAAGATGGTTCAGCTTTGTTTTTTTTTGTTTGTTTCTATATTTGCCCATGTAGTGGCATTCGTGGCAGATAATCGTACCAATACAGCTGGTTTTAGGTATAGACGTGGCATCCTTTTTGCGTGAAGCGCGGTTTATCAACAAACCGCCACCTATAAGGAGATAGTACCTTTTCCTTTGGCAAACTGTGCATTGTTGTATTTAGCATTATGCGTTCGCTTATAATTACTAGGTAAATAATTCATGCACGACAACTGTGAGGCACTCAAAAAGGGAGTTGTGAAGTGGAAAGAAATGCAAAGCACTGAGAACAGATAGGTCGAACAGGAAGCTGGAAGAACCGACAGAAATTGACCTTTGATGTTTTTTCAATAGTTTTTTGCTCGGTAGGGGAAATTAGCAGCTTGTGATCTGAAAACCGGACGTATTCCTATACCGAGCAAGTATAAATTAAGATCAGTCCTACGGTGAAGGCTGACGCAAATCTGAATTTCATAAACGAATGCCGTAATCTCTCTATAGAAGTACAAGTTTCTAGTATTCAGGTTTTGCGCTGTGACTATTATGGTGGAGCCGTATCTAGTAGAATATGTCTAGGACATTTTAAATATATTGGATTTTTGAGTCTAGACTGAATTTAAACTGCTACATTTAATAGCACTTATGAGATGGTATTGTCGTCATATTTCAACTCGTAGTACCTTTTTTTACTCTTCTCAGGCTACGCTTAGATTTAATTATTGTTTTAAATGAACTGGTGAAAACAATGAAAATCATTGACTTATTGAGAAAAGTATTCAACACTTTTTTACAGCTTTACTTCTGCGTGCAGCTATTAACTCCCATTCTTTCTGTCTTCTTTATAAATGCTTGAAAAAACCGTAGTTGATTACAAGGTTAGTACATATTTGAGACAGTCCCGTGCAGCAGCTCTTGAGTATTATTCGAGGTGTTGGCGGGTGTAAAACACTCTGCCTATCTCGAGCCAGACGGTTTTCCAGTGACGGTGTATCTGGAATGGCTGATGAAAAACAAGACAGTTTTGTAGCTTCACTGTTGGAACAGTGAGGTACCACGTCATCAGTGAACGATCAATTCGATAATCACTGCTTAGCCAAACGAAAATGCGCGTCTAATGTTTTTCTCTCTTTTTCATTTATTACATGGATATAGAGTGGATACCAAGTGACAAACAAAGTGTAGTTGACGGGACACTCAGATATTTTTTTGAGAGTAGTGACAGCTTTGATGGTATTTGATAGGTATTGTGATATTATTATTATACGCATAAGTGTTTAGCAACCATTTTTGGGTGCACAACAGCGCTATCTGTCACTTGTATTATTATTAATAAATACAAATGGCAAAAATAAAGAACAAACTTATTGTCTATGTTAATAAGCACAACAGAAGCGAAACTGGATGGTGTATTTTTTTGCTGCAAGGTTTACTTATATATATATATGTACGGACTAAACCTTCACATTGCTTGCCTGATGTGCACCAGTGATGTAGTATATCCATGTAAGTCGAATAATATTTAATTTATGACACTATGAAATTGGATCGAGCAACCTTTGCTGCCATAAAATTAACTTTTGTCATCGTGAAGGTCTCTGTGAAGAACTCGCGTTATCTACCAAGGAATACGAAACTCATCTATATGAGTTTCATAATAAATTGATAACGAGTTGGACCAGCGTAGGAAAGTGTTTCGTTGCCGATGATCACTGATAGCGGCTCGTAAATTAAAAAATATTAACCTATTTAGTTAGTTCATGCAACCTAGCAAATAATAGTTGTAACCGAAGATGACTTCATTCATACCCTATTAAAGACTTACAGTTTTTATAATTATGAAAAAAAGTCTTCGGGATCATCCCTTGTGAAGTATAGCATCAAAAATTTGTTTCCATTAGGGGGCTAACCGGAATAAGTGCTATTGGAGTTTCTCCGATATGATCTGGTGTAGAAATGAAAAAAGAGAAACAAGCTAGAAAAGTAATTATGTCTAGCAACTAGTCTTCCTATTAGAGACAGGCTTCTAGCTGTTGATCCCTTTTCATTTAGTCATACGTATCATGTATATATATCATTCACGTTCAGATTATTCGAGTAGCTAAAAGCTTTCGTTGTAACAGACCATCGTAGCCTTTACAATAGAGCGCGTAAAAGCGTTCTCTTCGTTTGAGGTGCAATTATTTCCAAAACAAAAGTTTTTACTAGGTTCACTTCAAGTGAACAACTTAAATTTAATTTGTATACACCGATAATCAGTATTACTTTTGTAGAGTACATTACAAGTAGAGGATTGTGACGCACTTTTATATTTTGAAGACTTCTGCACTGTGTTCTTAAGCGCTATAATTCTCACAATGAAGTTCAACGTAGTCCAATGAAAACAGTTCGGTGTGTGACTAAATATTACTAAACGAATTGAAGTTGACTCGATAGATCCTGTACAGGCGACATCCAAAACGTTGAGAATCCTGCTCTGCTTTTTTCGCTAACCTCATACAGCTGATAGTTGGGAGAACACATTTCTACGACAGAGTAAGATAAGTAACAACGTGTTTGATTGAAAAACACGGATGTTTAGTTAATTTGTTTGCAAATTTTAAGACCAGACTAAACGTAGATTATCTACGAATAAAGATATCGCTGTCAAAGGCAATAGCGAGCATATCCAAAAACAGTCGTCTACGGGTAGACTTACACTGGCGTTTCGTCATATGGCATTGCACCGATCTGCATTGAGGTATTAAAGATACAAATGGTCAAAATAACCTAATTCCTTCCCTAGCACTACAGAGAAGATACCTCTAACTAGAGCTAAGTATCACTGCCACAATTTCGGCACCAGTCTTCTAAAATAAAAAAGCAATTAGTAGTATTCAAAGGTCAATTATTCTCCTACTAATTATTCCAGAAAGACCAACATCTCTCTACCGTCTTAGAACATGTGAATCTCGATTTCTTACGGCTAATACATTTCAGTAGCGGAACGTGCTAACACATCTATAGACCTGTTTGTCTAATGTCTCTTAATAGAACGTCTCTCTTCCCTTTATGATACTAAAATATGTAAGCGCAGTGGAGGAGCGGGGAGTGGAAAGGTGATTTGTCGAAGCTGAGTAACATATAAGCAATAGTGGAAAAAGGAAGAAAATTTAATTCTAATGCTAATAAGTAAATACAAAGGACAAATGGAGTAGACACCATGGGAAAGCAGTAATTGAAGTTATTGCAAGATGAAAACCTAAGACAAAAACCAAGGAAAGATAACAGGTAATAGCCATCAATGACTAGTTAACTATGTGCTAGCCTACGTGATGAGTAGGCTCTTGACTAGTGTTTTGTACGGTTAAGGGTCACAGCCATTAGATCGAAACAAGTGTTCCTTCGCAAGAAGGCACATAAAGAATTGGAAATTACGAAAATACAGTGTTTTTATTTGTTATTGTTTTGAAGCGAGACAAGGCTTGCTACTCAAGTCAAACAGCAAGTGATGCATGCGCGAGAAACTCCAAATTAATAAAAAAAAAAGAGTTAATTCTAAACTGTGCCGAACCAAGGCCATATATGAAAAAGTTATAATTCAAGCTCCGCCAATAGCATATTCTACATGATAAATGTAATTAAAAATTTTTTATGTTCTGTTATGTGTCATGCTAAAACTTTTTCATTAAGTAGAAACACGGATTAGTACAACCGATGAAACGCCACACAATATACATTATAAAAAGGAGTCAACGGTAATTGTTAATATTAATCTGGATCGGTAGAAAACAACATAAAACTAAGAGTGCGGCACTATTTCTTGAACCGAATTCAAGATTTCTTGATCTTTAGTTCGATCTAACTTCGAAGTTATCCTCGATAATGTTTGGGGAAATGCTTTTTTGTAATGTGCTGGTAAACAGAAAGTAAGAAACAACTTTAACCAAGGAATTAAATCAATATTAGCCTTTAGGAGTAAGATATAGCCTAAGCGCATATGTCGTTAGCCGCCCAGTTGAGAGAAAAAAAAACAGGTGAGAAATATATAGTCGTACACGAATGGTATGTTTGACTAAAACTCAAACAAAGACAAAACTAATAAGCCACGTTAGGCTCTGCGTCATAACAGGAGGCACAAAGCCCTGATGCCCATGCGAACTTAACTGAACTTCCCCAAGCTGGTGTGCTGGCCTGAGCTGCCAGAAACGTAATCATACCTTCTGGATCAACTTAACATATCGAATGAAATGTAAATAAAACAGGTATATCCATGGCAAATATTTGCGATGACTTTCCGTCTAATAGCGCGATTTTGAGCATAATGCGTTAATCTGTTTTCCACCACTGGATTCCACCAACGCTCTCTGGACGACAACAACGCTCTCTATAGTCGAAAACATGAAACTCGACCAGGTAGTCACAGTAGCGGCAGGAGCAGACCCGTCACTCGTGGCTACTGCATGTGATGGGTCGTTGAATAGTCCAGGCCACGCAGTGAAACGAACGATGAACGTCGCGTGCTCCAAGAGGTACCCGTTTTGGGAAGGGTTGTGAAATTCCTGGCGGAGGCCAGACTTTAAGATTAGTGCGTCATATGAGTTGGCTTCGACAACTGTTCAGTTTTTTGCAGTTTCACATTTCTTGGTATCATGTTGTACTAAGTGGATAAACTGGAAATATATAAACATTTGGGTACGTTATTAAATAGATTCTTGGTATGAAACGCGACCTATCAGGACCTCGCGCATATATTCCTAAATTGTAATTTCCCCAGGAGTATACTATAAAAAGTGCCTGTTAACTAACTCGGAAAGTGCTCGGGCATATGTGTATCGATTTTCGACTACTAACTTAGGCATTGTCCAAACATCATTTATCATTTTTATATTAAAGCAATATAATATCCAGGACAAAATGGGAGATCATTTATTTCAAGAACTCAATTTTAATCGTCCAAGCTACACCTAGAAAAACAACCTAAAACTATTTGCAATCATCGATAGAAACTGCCTTTGGCCACGGTACATAGGTACGTATACACTGGTTGAAATCTCGCTCGAACATGGTCGACATTAAAAAATTAAGCGTAATTAAAATTTGGTCATAGTACCCCAAGGCCCCATAAATCTAAAGTTGAAACAGTCAAATAGCAAAAAGACTTGAGGAACCTAAAAACAGTTCATCGTTTAAGTTTATTTGGTTAACTAATCCCGATAAACGCGTCCGTCTTGTCAGCTCTGCCTAATCTCTGCGTCGATATTCTGGAACAATCAGAGATACTTTTGCGTTATTTTCGTAAACTTTTGAGCCCTTTTCATTTAAACTTTGTTGTAAACCTTATGCCCCAAGTGGTGGAAATTTTTCTTGAATTTTTCGGAAGCAGCAATGAAGATCATTAATTTGAAACAACCAAGCAGTTTTATTATTTGTTGCTTAAGTTCAACGACATCGTACAGTATTACAAAGATGAGCTTCTTGTTCTCACCATGATGGGTTTGTTCAACTTAGATAGCTCTTATCCATTATGCAAGCACACACATATATACGGAGTGTTCGGCATAAATCGGAGCTATTTTAGCAGGCTGTTTTCATAACCGGCACACGTTCAACAGCTGCGATTACTGCTAATGGATAAGAGCTATCTATGTGTGTGCTTGCAATAACTAAACAACGCCATGTTGAGAATTAAACGAATCACTCAGATAACCCATACATCGACAAGCCGTGCAGGCAGTCGAGTTATATATATATATATATATAATGTGAAAAAATCTACTTGCCTATAAGACCTTCTTATAGGCAGGTAGATTATTTTTCAGAGGGTAAGACCTTGCCAGTCTTTTCAAAGTAATCCATTTCTTCCTTGTTTTACATCGTTACTGGGCGTCTGTAGCTTAAATGTTTTTTTCAGAACACACATCAACCACTTATCGTAGTTTGGTTTGTTACATGTTCACAGGAAATATTCAGGTTTAAAAAAAGAATTGTTGGAAAATTCGCTTATGTAATGATCTCCATTAATAACTTGGTTAATAAAAGTAATAATAACATTCAAGCTGAAAGGCAAAAAGACCCGCCGAGTTATTTTGTTATTGCACCACCCTCTCCCAAACGGGCAAAATCATCATCACCAAAGTCACCAACAGCACCAGTGTTGGTTGTTCGTTATTGCTGCTACTGCTGTTGGTGTCGTTTTGTGTCGCGCCACAGCATAGTTCTGTCGCTCCTTCCGATACTGGTGCTGATGGCAACATTGCTGTTAGTAACGGCCATTCAAGGCTGATGTTGATAATACTACCGATGTAACCACAGCCATTATAGCACAGCGTTCTGCGCCTGTGTTATCACCCCTAGCAGCATCACAAATTGTGAGTAACAAGCAAGTGCATTCTGCAGCTACGACAACGATTATTACTAGCTATAGATATCTCTATACGTGTTTATATACTGCTGCTACTGCTAGTGCTACCTCCATGCTGTCGTCCTCCGACCGGTTTCTGGGTGTATTTACTTGCCATTGCTGTGAGCGCTGCAGCAGCAGTAGTAGCAGACGATAATGGTGCTCGTTTGAAAGCTGACCTAAGTGCCATCTAGCTTGAACACTATCGGTTTCCACGCCGCATCTAGTCGTCACGTACGAACATAAACAAGAACTTAACGAAGTCACCCACAGCCGATCACTCAGGTGAGAAGGTGAGTGCTGCTGCTGCTGTTACCGTACCTGCTACGACGTGTACTAATGCTACCTCTGCAATTCGTTGTGGATGTGTGATTGGCTGTAGACCGATTGTGTTCAGTGGCCGCTGTGTCGCTGCATGTATATGCTGTGCTGCCGTGCTCGGCGTAACGATGCTGCTGCTGCTGCTGCCACCGACCGTGGCTATGGCGGCTCTTCTGTGAGAAGAATTGCTGCTGTTGCTGCGTGCTGAATGCTGCTGCTGCTGCTATTGTTGCTGCTGTCGTCTTATGCGGCTGGTCGACTGGCTAGGCTGCTGCTGCTGCTACTGCCATCGCTGTAGTAGTGGTGGAGTTGTGCTGTGTTGTATGCGAGCAAGGAGTGTTGTTAGTGGTGCAGTAGCGGAGTGCCTGAGCGAAGCTTCAGCGAAGAGTGTACACCGTCAGTGCGAACAGCGGCCCGTCAACCCGCTCGGCTACCTCACTAACGGCCGGGAGGGAACACGGATTTGACGCCGGTACCTTACTTAACTGCTGGACTGGTTGGTTGGTCTGGCCTACGGCGGCGGTAACTGGCTAGTTATCCTTCCGTCCCGTATACAACAGCCCCTCCTCCACCCCCTCTGTGTTATGTTCTTGTCCTCTATATATTTATATTTATATATAGATAACATACTCACACATATATACACATATACATATGTGCTGTAGAATATTGGCCAGTAGCAGTGAAATAAGGGGCAGTGGCAGGAGTAGCAACAACAACAACAACAGCAGCAGCAACAACAACAACAAGAACAACGACAGTAGCAATTGACGAGCCTCGCAAAAGGACAACCATGTAAGCAAGCGTTCAAGTGTTCTTATGTTTTATAGTACAACTGTTAGCACTAGGTAGATTCGTTTTTTAGTTAACCGCAGATTCTTGGTCGGCATAGTCTTTCGTACAAACCTAATGTACATACTGTGAACCATGTAAAGATATAGTTGGCGTAATAGGTTTGTTCATAGAAGTATTACATTAGTGTGCTGGGTGTTGTATTGTACAACAGATTGAATACAGTGGAGCTGCGGGCTACGACCTGTAATTCGCACCTCTGTCCGATGAAAATAATGATAGTAGTAATAACAATATTAATACTCGCTAGAGAAAGGGAAATAAAGTGCCATCGAATACTGCACGGATATGGTTTGGTTAATGAAATTGGTCAGTTGAAGCAAGCTGGAAAACAAGCAATTTGGGAATATTAGTACAATATAAATATTCTGTTCGTAAGGCAAGCAGTAATCAAAGAAAAAAATTTACTTCACACGCTATACGATCGGTAAAAAAATCGAAGGCAAGCATATAAGAAAATATTCAGTAGATAAAAGAACGTGCTATCTTCTACACTATATATTCATTCATATATTTATGTAAATATGGGTTAATGCGTATTTATTTTGTGATGAATGTTTATCTGCACATGGCGTAGGTCTGACGCCTAAATGAATGATTACAACCTCCTCTGCGAAGCTAACTCACGGGCCTTTACCCAAGCAGCTGATAAAGCTATAGTATTTCCTTAAATCGGGTAATGTGATGCCGCACTGCGTAAGATAAATGCGGTTGACGCTCTCTCCAATTGTGATCTGGCCAAATTTATTTACTTCTTTACGTCATCATTGTTTTGTTATTCGTGTTTTTGTTCTTACTATTTTAATATTTCTGTCGTTGCATTTGCTCGAGATTGCTTCAAGGAGCTAGAGGGAGGTAGTCGAATTTCAGGCTGGACTTAACTGGCGAATAGTCTTTTTGACCTTAAATAAAGTCCTCAGTATCACAAGCGCTAAGATTCCGGCATTCATTCATAATTTTATTTTCAAGCACTTACGGCCCAGCTGATCTGCAAAATGCTTTGTTGTTCGGCAATTCTCTTTTATTTGCCCGACCATGATTGGGCATGTACATGATGCATTTAGCCCTTTGCTTTCTCGCTCACCACAGCACAGGCGAGATGAGGGTTTCTCGAAAACCCGTCCTGCGTCTCTTGTAGGGATTGTTGCGAAGAGGAAAGTAGACGACAGGATGCCAGTTCTGTGCCCGAGCGTGTCTCATATTCGTTCGCCTTAGTCGCCTGTTGACTCACGAGCGTCAATGTAACCAAGTGCAGCTGCCACTGCTGCTGCTGTTACAAGAACCCCCACTCCTTGCCTGTTACCGACCACCGTTGCCAGGTGGTAGAACAGGGGGTGCTGCGCCATTTAATGAGCATAGACACTTTTGGCACGCTCTAGGATTTTATACTTTGAATGATTGAGTCATAGAAAAAGGAAGACAGAAAAACAGGTAGAAAAAAGATAACGAGGGCACGCGCCAAAGCTTTTGTAAGAATTTTTCCTTTTCTCGATCAACATAATAAAAGGGTTACCCCTATTCAATGTACCTATAAATTTTATTATCACCTAACTTCGTTCCTGCGGAAGAGCGTTGGTTCGCCCATTGGGCTGCATGATCAACAACTACGCGCAGTGCTGGAAAGAATCCCCAACTGCGTGACTCTCTGCGTGACTGATCCTTGCTGTAACGGTTGTTGAGTATGGTGGCACAGAGGATTTCGCAAGGACGGCAACGAGTTGTTTGGCCGCAACCTTATCAGGCGGATTAGCAAAATCACAATTGTCATTACTATCAAATGAATATAATAGTGACTACTACGAATAATTTTTCGTTTTTGCACATATGAATGTAAATATCATGCAAGAGGTAAATTTGATGTGGGAGATTGTAGAACATTAATATTTGTAGAAACCAAAGAAGTGGAGTCGGAAATAATCTATAAATCGCTGACTGAACTGTCTGTTGGCTTAAAATGAACGATTTTCAGCAGTGCTAGTTACCATGTATTTTGAGGTTCTGGATTGAATCGACTATGGATAATTTTATCGTTTGTTGTTCCTTATGTGTGAAAGTTTTAGTATTCATGGTTTACCAGAAAAAAGTCGGCTAAAAGTAGATCTGAACAGAGCCTCGTCAAGAAGTCAATATGGGGATCTCCTACATTGCTCGGTCATTGTGTTTATTTTTTTATAAAAATAAACTGAATAGGTTTCTTTTGTAATTTCAAGCATGCTACATTAATGGTTAAATTATGCTCTTTCACCTGTACTAAAGTTCAGCCTAGCTTAGAAGAGCGTAATAGAATTTGATTTTATTTGTATTGGACATTGGAGTTTTGATTATTACTCTGTATATAAAGTGGTGGTATAAAGAACCACAATTATCGTTTACATAGAATAATAGCTGCCTTAATTCACTACGAGTTTTTCTTAAGTGTCTTGGTTGTCTATCGCCCGTTTTTATTACTGGTTTTGTTTTGGTTCACTAGGGAGACTGGCAAGGAGTGGGGAGTGTCAAGCGTGGCCGACAGTGCTGTCACTCTTGCGCTGCCTCCGCTTCGAAAATGCGTAAGACAGCATTTAAACGTCGTTTTAGCAATAAAATAGTAAAGGTAGCTAAAAATGTGAGCAAACTGATGAGAACTGGATGAAGTGGTCTCTATCTTTGTGTCATCTTATGTCGTTGGATTTATTACTTAGGTTACGTTCTGAGATGGTTTATAAAAGCGGCTATTGTCTTAGGGATAAGTTTTTGTATTTTAATCAAGAAAAGGAAAACTTCGCGTAGATTAAAACAGCTTTTAGGTCAAGTTCGTGGTTTGTTAGAAACGAAAAACTGGTCGATACGATAATTCATTCGAATTTGCGCGCCCTTTTCTTTACAGCTGCGTATAACTTACAAAATTATTATAAATATTTATTAACGAGTTTATGACGAAAATTGTCATCGATGCCACTGATGTCGTTAGTTATGGCTTTATTATAATAATGTTATTTAGTCGTAGAGTGAAAACTTCGATTAGTGCGTTCGCGCGCGTATTGTGGTTTATTCTGTTACAAAAACTACAGAGTAGTTCGCCCGGTGGGTCGCGCGTTAGACAATCCTCAACCACATTTTTGGACTTGCAATTTTTCAAGTGGCAACAGCGATGGACAACACGCGGAGGCGATTGAGAGCTCTTAGCTGATTTTCACATGTTGAAACCCCGATTGTCTTTTATCTATGGCCAACATTAGTCGGCGATATTGACAAGATACTTACTAATGGACAAACAGCATTTTCGATTATTGCAGTACAACTGAAAATGCAGACAAAGCTCTTGAAATAACAATGGTAAGCTGGTGGCGCTTCCAACAAAAGTTTGAACTCGGCGTATGCCCATTTCATATGGCCTCATTTTAAATTGATTGCACTTTTCACGTGTATCACTGGCGATCGTTATCGGTACAGGGTAAAGGACGGATTATATGAGGCTGATATACAAACCTAGACATGTTAATTACGAAAGAAATCTTTCTGCATGCTAGTGACCTACAGTTCGGGATAGTTAACGTTTACAGGAGATACGATAGTGTCTCGAAACTGTTCACTAGCTAGCTAATAGATCTGTTATCGACCGATGTCTTTGGAATACAGTATTTTTATTTATAGAATAATAATTAACAATTAGTAATAATAATTCTATTAATTCCATAATTTTCGTTTAATTCTTGTGCGATTTCATAAAGCTAATTAGATACGTCAACTTTAGTTGCAATGCTATATATTAGTTTTCATTTAGTTGTCATTATCACCAGGGCATATAAGTCATAGAAATGTGCTATCAGCATACTATGGTTAGATACATCTTGCCTAATAACTATATCAGAGTGGAATCTGTTTGACGCAGATAACCCCAACTTTTTGAAAGATCCTATCGGGCTGTGAGTGTCATGAGACTGAGTTAAATCACACAAATAAGTAAACTTTCTGCAAAGGCAACTTAGGCCACTAAAAAATTCGTCGTTCATCTCAGCAAACTTATTTCATAAGGTATCAGCCAAAGGACCTATGGTACAATCACATCTACGTTTTTTTTTTCGTAGCTGCTAACATAGTTGCACTGTCTATATTTTTGTACTGAATGTGTTTTAATCCTTAATTAACATTTTTACATCGATTAATCAACTAATTTAGATTTTTATTATGTGTAAGTTGTCCAACACTTACTATATCCTCAGGTCATGCCTCTTACACTGGTAACGTAGTTAATGTTCGCGCATTGCTGGCTAGTTAAGACAGTTGGGTTTATAGTTAACTAATATGTTGACAGTGTAACAAAAAATGCTTTAGTTATACAGGATCATTCTGAATACTAGACGATTCGATGGCTTAACGCAGATGTTGTGATAGTAGCTTTGACACCGAGAAAATTTTATAAGTTACGCAGTCGTACGTTGTTCTGATGCTACGTTAAAATTGAAAAGCCAGGTAAAGCTGCCTTATGTAAATGAAAACATACGGCACAGATGGATTACGATCGATACGTATAAGAATTCTATTCCCATGTGAGTCAGAAATCAGGAATCATGTGTTTTCTAACCTAAACATACTAAAAAATTTCAAGCTATTACAAGAATCGAGTGCGGCTTACATTGATACTACAAGCAAACGTATTATGTAGTACTGTTTTATAAAGCTAGATTGTGTATCGGGTTTCAAAAAAGCATCAAATTAAACAAAATTTCTGTACACAGAATGTTCTATTGTACAATGGTCTCGACTACAGGTATTTGAGACATGCTTGGTGAAGTTGTGTTGATGTTTTTAATTTGCACGTGTCTTTTCGTCATTGTAGTGCTGTCATTTTTGTTAAGGCCCGCAATGTTGATATTGCTATTTTCCTATGCAGTTAACTCCGAACTGGGTCAGTTAATCAAAACTAGTTTCACTTTTTTCCCGATGTGACAGTCGACAGCTGTCTTTGAAGATCTAAGCATCCGTCAGAGACTCTTGTAGACAACATATGTTCTTAAAAATTTGATAGTTTCAAGAAATTAGAAATTCTTTTTTCATGTGTGGTTCTCCTAGCATGGACAATTTAATGTCACCAATTTATAGTCTTGAGTTACGAAAGCTACTTTCCTATAGCAATATTCGGCGAGCGGTTTAGATTCAATATTTATACCTTATACATATATTAGGCCAGAAAAGCACTGAGGTCTTTAACTTTTGAGCTCACTTCAGATTTATGAACGTTACATTAAAGCAACCCATTAGAATTATGAGATATATTTACAGAAGCGCCGAGTGGATACCTTAGAACTTGCTACTAACTGTTCTCTTTATTGTCTGTTGTTTTTTGTTAAGACTGTTACTGCTAAATATTTGGAGTAGCTCTACTGGTTGTCTTCTGGTAGGCACGGGCTTAAGGTAACTTTAGGCCCTGTTTGTTTAAGCGGTATGGCAGACGCGGAGGGTGTCAGCACGGAGAGAGCATCAGCAGCAGCCGCTGCTGCTAAAAAAGATACCGACGACAAGGATGCCTCTGGCAAAAAAACAGCTAAGAAAAGTGAAGGAGGTGGGGGCGATGAAGATGTTGAAGATCCTGACGGAGGGGTCGCAGTGACAGTTCTTGATATTCCTGAAAACAACAAAGGGGATAGGACTCAGTCAAAGGAAAAAAAAAGTGCTGAAGCAAACAAGGATGCGGAAGAATCTATGGAACCCGATGAAGCTGGGGAAACTGAAACCAAAAAGGATTCCTTTGCTGCCTCGGGTAGTAAAGCGAACACGAAGCCTAACAGTGAGCCGGAAGCAGGAGGAACAAACGACACATCGAAGGACAAACCTAGCGTTAAGGAGGATTCTGCATCGTCAGAAACAAAGGTTACAGACGAGTCCCTTAGTGATAAGAAAGCAACTACGACAGCAGTATTTGATAGCAAAACTGAGAAAACAGCTGTTGTTGTTGCTCTTACGTCTAAAGAAGGCGGACTAGAAGACAAGCTACCTGCAATCGCTGGTCCAAAGGTCGACGAATCAAAAAAGACCCCCGAACCTCCACCCGACGATGAGGACACAATTGACAACGGACAAGAGGAAAAGGAAGAGCATAAGGATCTGAGTGGGACAAAAAAGCTCGCGGGAGAGCCAATGGAGATTGATAGTGAAGCGGCCCTAGCAACGACAACCAATTTCGAAGAGCCTCAGTCTGCCATTAACCATGAGAACGAGGTCGAAGAGGAAGTTAACAAACAAAGGCAAGTTTCCACTGCCGCTACAGCTTCTAGTGAACGAAATGAAGTTGATAGTAACAAGACGAGGATGAAGATGGCAGATGACAGAGAAGATAAAGCCACTGTAAAAGAAGAGCAAGCAAGTAAGACAGTCGACGTTAAAACTGAAGACGAAAATAAGGAAGCCGTGGTCATTAAGGATGAAATGACGACGAAGAGAGAGGAGTCCAAGGCCGCAGCTAAGGACAACGAAGCCAAGCAGAGCACAGACTCTCCATCTGGGTCTCCGCGCAGTAGCCGACGAAGCTCGGGTGCAACGCCTTCGAAGGCGGCGACACCGCCATCTGACTCGGGCACAGGCTCTAGTGAACACCGAAAGATGCGCGGCAGACTTCAGAAGGAGCTGCGCAAGTTAGGCGTCGACGTGGACTTGAAGGACGAAGACACTGGCGAAGAGGACGATAAGTCGGCGGTCCGCTCATCGCGAAGGAGCGCAGCCAGACTAGCTGCCCGAAAAATCACTAACACCGTTGTCAAGTCCAATCTGAGCGTTGAAACGCTCGCCGCGATGGCAGCCAGCGATGGGGAGGATTACTCGGGCGACGGAATTTCAAGTAAAATTGCCCAGAGGAAAGCATCACCCACCAAGAGACCCAGGTTGACGTACTGTACGACGCGTAAGTAAAAACGGATACGTGTGTATCTAGTAAACAATAATTATATTATTACTAACGCTTAAATTATACTTCGTACAATAATATATTTGTTCACTAACCACTTTAAGGTCTTAACGTACTATTAATATTTAATATTAATAGTTAATATTTAACTTAAGTAATCATTGTATTTGTGGTTCTTGACACTAGTAAATATCGGTTGTAAGCAAGTCCTGCTAACCGAGCAAACTGTTGGTCTAACCATATTTATTATTTATTTTCGGTCTTCTTTAACCTTAACAAGTACCCAAATTATTCTGTAAGATCTATTTGTTAGGTATTTTATAAGCATCGACTTGAAGGGTAAAAATTTCCAATAGCCAAAAAAAAGGATGGAAATAATAAACCTATCGAACGCAAAATGGCCGCCGAACAGCCATAATTTATTAGAATTTGTTTACCACTTTTTTAGATACCTTTTTTTTTTTATTTACATCCAACATTAATTGCAAATCGCCAAATTTTATTTTACATAAGAGTAGTCGATAATTATAGTAAGTTTTGCAAATTGCATAGCTATATCTGCTGAAGAGAATGTCTCGGTTTGGTGCCTTATTTCATCATATGCTATAAAATGTGGACACTTTAGTTATTCGTAGCACCGTGTTGTAGCATATCTGCATAAATATCTTAACGTATAATTGGCAAAGGTCGAGATGAGCAAAATTACATATCTCAGGAACTGATCATTAGCGTATACAATGTATCTTGTATTTTACTCGTTTAATGTACATTTATTTTATTCTTTATCTTGTTATGTCCACAGCAAAAGCTCTCATTGACAATGACTTAATGATGGAGTGCGCTGAGGAAGCCCTAACGCCCTGTCAAATCGATGCCTTCCGAACGGCAGTCCATAGTTACAATAGCATTACAAATCAAATTCATCAGTTGAGTAAACGAAAACTCCAATTGGCCTTCGATAACCGGCCACTGACAACCGCCGAATATGAATCAATCATGAATCGCAAAAACAACACTAACATCACTGCTAACAATACAAACAGTGCGGGAGCAAGTCGCCTAAGTGCTGCTCAACATGACGGAAGTGGGGGCGTTGTAAGGCGACAAGACGATGAGCACTATCGTCTCGAAACTGTGACGTCGAAAGTTTGCCGGGGTGCCTGGAACTACGTAACCGTGCTACCTCTAGGTTCGGAACAGTTGCGTCCGAGCATTGTGATGACGCAGTCGGCGCCGTTTAGCGAACTCGAAGATGAGGGCGAGGCTGAGATGACTCAACTGGAGGAGGAGTTCGCTATCCATCAGTTGGATACTGATCCCGTACCCTTCATGGTAAAGCATCGATTCCTAACTCCGCGCGGTGGAGCCCGAAGCCGTCATTACGCTTGCGAGTGTAATGCCGACGCCGAGGCAACAAAGGCCGATGGAGCTCTTGATGGTTATGTATGGCGGTGCAAGAAATGCGAACATACGTGGAACGTACTCCGGCCCGAGCAGACGCTGCTGAGCTGGTACGCAAAAGTGCCGCTTTATACTTTTCTCAACGTGATCAAATCGTGGGTGCTGGCTCACTCATGCGAAGAAGCGGCTCAGTTGACGGGCGTGGACACATTTATTGTGCGCAGTATATGGCGCAGTATCCAGGAGCTTTGTCATAAGGATGTTGTGAAACGAGTCTTGCCACTCGGCACTGGTGGCGAAATCGTTGAGGTGTCAGCCGCCCATATGGATCCTTTTGTGGTGCTAGCTGCTATAGACAGGAAGACCAATACGTTTAGAGCAAAGGTAGGCGACACAAGATTATTGAAATAAATTGTTTAGAAGGTTAAATGAGTTATATAGTTGTGAACAATTCTCTTTGTTGATCAGAAACAATAGATTATCCATAGTCAGACGCTATCTGGCTAATAAGAATAATTTGATATAAAAGCAAGTGTCTTCCTTATTATCTTCGAGATATTTACTGTAATTCTACAATCTCTATCTATTAGGTTTTTCCTGCAGTGACAACATCTGAAGTGGACCTTGCTCGAGCCGCTTGTGCTTGGATAGCTCGTGATGGTCTGATAACCACGCGTTCTCCTGTAATGCGCTCGGCCCTGATAGCCGAACAGGCATCATTGAGAGCTCCACCAGTACTGACAGAGACACCAACTTTAGACAACCTTTTACTCATTCACTTATCGGACCACTTCGGTAACTTCCGATTAGAAAGTGCCCACAAACCCATTCTTGAAGGTTTCCTCTACGAGATCGAGTGGCGCCGGGCATTTGGTCGTTTCGGACCTCGGGAGTGTTTCTGGAGAATGGTGGGTACTTTTAACTTCTTCACTTGGAGTTTCATGCAATATCGATAAAAAAAATATTTTGCCAGATCCTCTTCTACTAAATAGTCATTTAAAAAACTTCGCCCTGGAGTATTATTCAATATAAAAGTATTGTGTGTTCAAATCTGTTGCTTTTATTTTGCCGACTACAGATTGCCCAACTATTGCCTACCTCGCGTCAAGGAGTTTCGTTTCTCTTGCAAGTAGCATCTCAATTTGTAACTCCGGGAGGCCAAATCCCTTTGGGAGTTCGACTTCCATTGTCAGAGCGGCGCGATTCAGACGACGACGTTACCGTCGTTGGCGAAGAGGAGGAAGAAACAGTTATTCTGGAAAACTACTACTACGCACGGCGTGATGGAGAGCGCCACGTTCCCAAGCACAAGAAGTACATAGCCGATGGCGAAATGTTTTTTCGCTGTCCCGTCTGTAAGAAGGTCGCCAAGAACAACATTTCGATCATGAAACACATCAGTATGCATCTCGAAAGTAATCGGGAATTCAATCCGGACATTGGGCATTTAGTAAGTACAGTATCTAAGACATAGTCTGTAAATAGTCGTATTTAGATGTATGATGGATAATTCCCGATTTCCAACATTTCTCATTTCTCCGAAGGACAGTCAAGTATCTGCAAAAAAGACCGCATTGAGAATTGCTATATATGATTTTGTAAAATTTGTCTCTGACTACGGGCTTGTTTGCTTCTATTGATTTGTACTTTCAGTCTATCTGTCGTTACTGTTTCCGGGACTTAGAGACCCCGTACCACTGTCAAATTCACGTACAGCAGGTTCACCTAGTGTCTCTTGAGGCAGAACGGCTTTGCTGCAAGATTTGTTCGCTAGCATTTTCTGATGAGGCACAGTTAGTGTATCATATGAAAAGTACACACTGTGCTAGAGATATGCCATTTGTCTGTAAGATCTGTCACTTCCGCTCGTCGTTCAAACATCACGTCATCGATCACTTTCGGGAGCGACATTCGGGGTGCAATGCTTTACAGTGTCCCTTCTGTCTCGATCTCTACTATTGCCAAGCAAGACAAGTGGTCACTGGAGTTCAAGGAACAACCAAATTCTATTCACATCTCTTCAAACACATGAACAACACACCAAGGTAAAAACCATAACAAAAGTAGAGTGATACAAACAGTGAATTAATATCACACATGTTTTTTAGTGCATGCTATGCCCAACTGTACCATTTGCCAAACAATGGAGCTATGTATTTTATTCAATGTTTTTTTTTAATTTTAATTAAAATAATAGGACCTGCAGTCAGTGCTCATTGCCGTTCATAAAGCAGAAAGATTTGCGCGCACACCGTGAGGAGTGCCACGGAAAGGGTCTCGCGGGTAAGGGCAAAGTTAACGGATGCGGATGGAGCAGCGAGAAACCAGTTCTTGTCCATCAGCCACGGAAAAAGCCACACTTACCTCCTGCTAAGGGTAAGAGATGTGGTTCGAAATTTTAATGACTTTATAGAATTCTGTCATAGTTTAGTTTGTATTTGGCTTTTTGGAATGGTTCTCAAAATAACCGTGGCGGTTAAATATATGCTATACACTTGACGCTACAGAGGGCGAATCTATTGAAATTGCCGATGATGAAAAACCGGACGCGCCGGTTAACTGGTTGGTTCCATCGTTACGACTACCGGAGGATGTCGAGGATTTTGACTGTCGGGAATGCCAGCGACCAATCACCGAGGATCATTTCGTGCGTGTTTTACGGTGCACCGAGTGCCACTTTTTCACATGTTGTCAGAGTAGCTTCACGGGCCATATGCTCAAAATGCACGCGCAACGAGGTCGGCCCGTGCCCAAATTTATCGTTTCCACGCCCCTACTTGACAACAAACATGCGCCTGAAAAGTTCATTGGAAGGTGCAAGAAATGCGATGAGAAATTCGAGGTATGTACAAAGTATATTCAATGCTTGAAATTTATGATAGTTGTCTAGTCATTTTGTTTTAAAAGTACGTAGCTTTTTACGGGGTTTCTTGACAGCTTTTAAAACATAATTGACCATTTTGCTTTGTAGATAAGTGCCGTATGTTTCAATTATATATAGTAACAGTTGTTTTAGATGCACCATAAATAGCACTTGTAAAGCGTATAATCCGGGTAAACATAGCGGATTCTAATGGGAGTTTCCGCTAAAACAGATATCAACGGAGTTTCAATATACGACTGTTTTTTCAATGAACAGGATGGAAATTCTTTAGTCAAGCATTTGGTGCTCGAATGCGGCGTTGAGGAGGGCGCATCAATTGAGCTCGGAAAGCGTAAAGCAGCCGTGAAGCAGATTCAACAGGTGCAAGCGACCAGCGGAGCTACGAGTGCCAAGCGTAAGCGAGGGGCTGACTTTGAGCCTGAACCAGCGCAACCTTCTGGCAGCGGGTTTACCAGCAACGCCGGAAGCGGCAAGAAGTTTGAGGATGTTGTTGGAGAGCCTTTTACGGAAGTGTTTAACACTTCATCCTCGAATTCGGTTGGAAGTACGCCCGTTAAAACAAGTGTACCGAAACAGGCCAAGGGTAGGTTATCTGTTTGCATTTTTTTTCTTATAAGAAAGAAGGAAAATTTGAAAAATACCGTTTTTCTGCATTGCTTAATGGCGTCATATCTTTGTCAAAAGCGTCGAACCTACAGTAAATATATTTAAAGAACCACTAAAGTAAAATATAGGAGAACATGATTATCATAACTAAGTGTATACATTATCTATTCCCTTAACAGGGAATAAAGCGAATGTAAATCCAGAGCTGGAACGATTTCTATCACAGTTGGGTTTGCGTAGTTCTGAGAGCTGTTCGGATTTTAAAGTCAGCTTAACGGGACCTAAATGTGTCAAGCAGCAGTGGATTAATATGGGCCTGGTACGTGCACCCACATGATAAGAAAATCTATTTGGACAACCGCCTATTAATGTAGCTGTTAATCTAAAAATCGTTGTCTATGTTTCTCTTTTCTTTTTCGTAAACATAAAGGATTACATTACACAGCTGGTAAATCAGCCATATTTCGCTATTATCTTCTACGTTTCGGAAAACTTATCCAATAGGATAACATTAGGACATTCTACGCAAGATTTTGGTATGCAACGTTGTTTCTCCTTTACTCACTTCGGCAGTTATGACTCCTAATAAAGTGGTTCTCAATTAATATTTACGTTGAATGGCACATCTATAGGTACAACAAGAAATTGAGTCTTCAAGCGAGTCTGAGGATGAGAATGAAGACCCCACCAAGAAAGAGAAACGCGAAAAGGCCAGAAAGGAACGGGCGCATGGATTGCTTCCGCCGAAGGCTAAACCGGCGCCATCAGGAGGTTTGGCGAAGGATGCCAAGAACGGAAAAGACTCCGTTGATGATCTCGGAGCAGCTGACAGCCCGCCTAGTTCGTCAAGCTCAAGCGACACCTCTGTCACCGATGTTGATCTCGATTAGAATATGCGCGAAACAGAATACAGGGCGAGCTTGGACTGTGAATAACAAAGAGGCATCTGTTGAAGTAGCTTCGACCTTCATCGTCAAGCAATGAGTTTGAGCTTGAGCGCCCATAAGAGCGCGTATGTGGGCTCGCTTCAATCCCTACAACAGAAGCAACGGCAATGACCATTATTATCAAACCGGTCGTCGAATTTAGTAAATTAATCTATTTAGATAGAAAATAGAAGGGACGTCTAGAGATACGGAGTAAGCAGGAAAGGCATCAAGCATCTTTGGCATCTTGCCGTAATGACAAAACTTTTAAGGCCGTACGGTGGCCAAATGGCTACTAAGGAAAAATATGTCTTTTAAAAAAATTGGGATGTGTTTTGTTTTATTAGTAGCAGCAAACAGCAGCCATCTCGTCGAACCCTGCTATGTCCAGTTAAGTCAAAAAGGCGATTTCTGGGATCGTGCCACAGTATAGTCACAGAATTGGAAGAATGAGAATGAGTTACAAAAATAAGGATTTATGCATAAAGAAGAATGTAACTGGGTTTTGGGGCAAAGGAAGGAATAAGCTTGTAGTTGTGTTGTACTTTGAGGCGATTCAATGCTATTACCTGACCAGCGACCAGTGAGACAAGCAGGTCGTCAGTCGATATAAATAGGAATATGACGACATATGAATATATGTGAAGAATCGGTATGATATGAAGGTAGTTGACGATTGATGACGAATTTGTTAGGTTGAACGTTATGGGGATGATGCTGATAACGCTGGGTCTATGATCATTCGTGTGACTGACTAACTGAATGGTGTGCTTTCGTATGGTGAATTATGTTAGGAGAAATATGGAGGATCGGACAAAGATTAACAGAGCAAATGAATCGTGCTTGAGTCACACAAATATACAAGGGGGAACAAAATAGCCTCGGTCAAGGATCGATGCCGAAGGTCGGCGAAGGTAACAGTACGTTTCTATATTAATTGTATTTAGCTTGTATCGAAATAAAAACACAACAAAGCAAAGATATATAACGTTACGCTGACAGCCACCGTGAGTATGCTGGTTGTCGACAAAGAAAACACTAAAATGGAAAATAACGAAGTAGAATTAGATGGGCTGGTCCAGACAATGTAAGCATCGGATCTCCTTCGATTGTTCGATAGGAAAGTAACGTTTGCTTTTAGGACGATACTACAACTGACCAACGGTCGGAAATAAGAGCAAATAATATGCATTGTGCGACATAATGTAGGTTGATCTGAAACAAATGTACCCGAAACATCTCAGTTTTCTTTAGGTTTTTATCGTCTTCCACACGCACGATGTTTTTCAGTTATCAATGAGCTTCATTTACTTGTTGTCATCAGAGCCAATACGAATATCAGAACCATTATACGAGACATTAGTATGGCCAAAAGTCCATGGTGGCGACCTCTGTTATAGAGTCCAAAAAGGGTGTTCAGTCTTTTTTTGTAAGCGCTGTGTTCGTCACTTTCAACAGTAGCCATAGCTTCATTATTTGCCTTTCGCTTTCTCGTGTATAGTTCCGAAAAAAAAATTAAGGGGAAAGTTGCAAACCGCAGTCTATCGCAATTATCTGTCATCGTGGATTGCATTGTATAAAGTCTCAGAAAAGTGAAAAAAAGAGAACGACAGGATGCAGACGTCGCACACATAAATGTAGGTGTGCTTGAATTTGTTATGTGTGCATCACTATGCGACTATCAGAATTGATAGGAAGAAAGGCCATTGATTTTAGAAAAAGGCAACTGACTCATTGTAACATATACATATATATATAAATATATACACAGTATATAAAATATAAATATGAATAGATATACACAATGGATATACACAAATGTAGATCAATTGCAGAAAGGTGTCGTATAGAAAAATGGATGAAGAGTGTGAGAGTGCAAGAAAATAAGACAGGGAAAATAGACGCCGACACAAGCGACCGGAAAGGGAGTCTTTTTGTACTATGACAGACTCTATATACGCTTTATATAGAGGCATTCACACAATAGTAATAATAACAATGATGATGATGATAACAGACATATGTAAAAGATGGTCGACCTACAACAATTAATGAAATAGCTGAATTTACGACAATAAACTATTGCGGTAAACAACGATGACAACGATTTATAATTTCGTATCGGAAGCGAGTGGCTGTCCCCCGTCTGAGCAGCCGACAATGAAGAATCCTACCATACATAAAAACATTGGCACTAATCAAGACACCCTCGACCTGATCCTTACCAATCGCGGGCACCATAGATGCTACCAGTCAGAAATGCTTTCTTCTGTATTTTTGAAAATGGAAACGTCACATCTTTTAGACATGAGGTTTTCAATAAAGAGTCTTGTTTCGCTAAGTCTTATGACTAAAAGTGAAAAAAACTCTTTCTTGCCGTTGCCGAGATTGATCGGTCCTACGTATGTATAAACTTGGATTTGGGATAGAGACCTGACTCGCTTTATATATAAAAATTTCATTATGTGTAATGATAAGTTCCGTAGAACGGATCACGTTACGCATTATTCGAGTTAACCAGGCACTTTCATTTTACTATACTTGTGTACCTTAATATAGTTGGTATTCCGGGAGCGATGAGCTTGCGGGCTGGTTAAGGCACATGAAGCAGATGACTTCTACGAAGTTACGAGAGAGACTCTTGCTAAGAAATTTCGTGTTATTCAGGATCAAAATATGCTTTATCTCTTTGTTTGTCTCAAATCAGGTCTTTGGTATGCTGACCGCGTTGAATATTAAAAACATGCGTTACCATTGATCCTTAAATTAAATACTGCATACATACGTCCATAGTTTAGATGCAAATAAACGTAGTATAATTTCAAAAGGAGACCTATTCAGAGGAGAACTTTCTAATAAAATGTAAGGAACTAGCGTACACTGAGGGCGTTCAAGGGTGATTTCGGTATTAACAAATAGATAAATAACGAGAATGCCTCAAATTTAAACCGGACCCTACTCCGAATAGAAACTCATAACGAAGAAAAGAAGTCGTGTTAAGAAATTTTCATTGCGCCAGCGAATTGCTAATGATCTACACCTAATATCGTTGATGTAAAATAAGTATAATAGTCGTATTATCAGTATTTGATCTAACGACATAGTTACTACTTACGTAGGATAAATACTTGAATCCCTTACAACCTTTAGCGATTCTCACATCCTAAACGGCACCTAACAACATCACTTGAATGATGGCTTAATCTTAACACCTCGGTTACACATTTAGTGATCAGCTACGCCTTTTGAGATGCGAGAAAAGCCAGCGGTTTCCATCAGGGTTATAATAATAAAATCCAGTTTCCAGCAGAATTCTTCTGTAGATACGGTACTTTCCACCAAGCACCTCTGAGCTCAGGTCTGTGTGTGCATGGGCGTATGTGGGTATGCGCTGAAACCAGTAAAAGTGTGTAAAAATCAAGGAATTGACCGACACAACAACGATGAAAGCTCGAACCTTTCATGGATGCTCACTAACGTCTATTCTCAAAAGTAGCAAAAGGCGCTAGAGCATATGCTGAATACACAAAATTGTTGCAATAGCAAATGAAAGACCAGGCCAACATAAGGGTCTTTCTTCCATTTCTCGATACATTTAGCAAGATGTGCGCTGACACCAAATGGGGGGTCACATGATTACCGTACGACACCTGGCGAAACGGCTTTTCAACAGAAGTCGAGAGCTTAACGCGGATGCAAAAACGGCGACGAAAAAGAAGTCTAAAAAAATATAAACGACATCGTGTTTCGCTTGAATAATATGTTGTTATTTCTTAGCCTCGACAGCACAGTCGCTTATTACCGCTACTACTATGTATATATAATGATGAAATTGTTAATAACATCGTTGATACATCCATCGTAAAGACGGAGGTAAACGGCCATGGTGTTATGTTATAGCCACTGTTCTGTTATTGCTTTATATCTAAAGATTTAGGAACGACGCTAGAAAGGCGCTCATCTATGTTCTAATAGCCATTGGTTTCTGTGGCAATTTCTTCGCTGATTCGCCACGTGGGAGACTATTATATGACGTCTAAGCAAACACTGTTGATGTTCTCTATTCATAGTTAATAACCAATATGAACTACATATATAAAGAGAGATAATTATAACACTCAATATCGTTATTTATTCAGAGAAGTTTTTCCATTTCAGTGCATCTTGTGCCAGCAAAAGGACGTATTTTTTATCAGTCGCGGTAGATTGGTTTGCAATCAATCCGCTCGGCATTCAGTGTAGCAATCGCATAATTATGACGCTATGTTTCTGACTTAGAAAGAAAAATCAAACGAAAGATGTAAGAAACGTGTGAAGCGATGACAGTAGCAAAAAGCTAATATTAGATTATAAGCGACAAAATAAATAAATACTCCTAATGCGCAATTGTCAGCTGGGCGAACAATGGTGTATTAAAGTAAATTAGCTTAGCTTTTTGTCATAGGCTAGGTTACTTTAGTCGAGCGCGAGGTGTAAATCGGTTAGTTTGGAAAAAAAAAACAAAATTACACCGTATTTATTCACCTTCGTCGGCAGCTGGAAAAAAACTGCATCAACATAAATCAGCAGCACAATATCGTAATCTCAGAAAGGGACAATTTGAAACAGTTTGCGTCGTATAAGCCTTATAAACGAAATTTGAAAAATCTGCCAGATATTTTAGGGATGGCACTAGGGGCAGCAAGCGGCATGTTATCTATCACAATTTTCCTCTAAAGTACTTACATGTATCGAGAGACTCAAACAAATTTGGTTTCCTGCAGAATCTGTGGTAGAAGCCATGCGTGGCACAGCGGGTGACGACACGTCTTTTAGTTGGTTCGTCCCTTCCTACTCGTTATTCTCGTCCGTTTAGAAAAACTGTCCTATAACTACATACATTGATAAAACAAAAAAACGCCTACTTAGAATAGTTCTGTATTTCTAGAATCCATAATTGTGCGTATACACGTAGTTATTTCTCTTTTTACCAACAAAAATACTAGCTTATGTACATTTTTCAATTGTTAGTAAATAGTTTTTTTCGGCGACGGAGACGTAGAGCTCAAGCTATTAACAAAAAATAGAGTCGAACACGTTCTTGGCGATGGATTCCGATGAGGCGCCAATGTTTCAAGCATATGAACTTCGGAGAAGCAGCACAATTGTAACTTAGATTTTGGCGTTCGCACTATTTTGATTGTCGTAAATTTCTCTTGGTGCGAGCTCTAGCTGAAGCTACGAAGGCGCTGTCATTGCGAATTTTATCTCTGACGCTCATTAGCTTTATTATTTGCTTTACTACTTTTTTTCGAGCTTCTTAAACCGATCGAGTTGTAAGATTGAACCAATGTTGAGAGCCATATGTATATATATATATATCATCGACACTAGTAATAACCGCCTGAATTCGAATAACTAGAATGCTAAGACAGATGATACTATATAATAATCCCCACGTCAAATTATGGTCACACAAGCTAAGTGGTGTTGATTGACGATACTCAGCCATTTACAACATTGCTGTTAACGTAAGCTAAAATTCGAACGATTTAAAGAAGACTTTAACATGGCGTCCATTTTAAATGATTTAATTTAGGCCTTCGAAATTGCGAAGTTTGTTACAGCCGCTAGTTCTCTGTGCTTTTAATTTCGATCGTTAGTATGTTTTTGGATTATCGATATACTTGCAATGAACCCCCAAACATTTGCTTAGTTTAAGTAGAGCTCAAACGGTTTGAATCCAAGCCCCAGAGTGCTTTGTGTTTAATACATGTTATTTTATAAGATCGCGGTATAAAACAGTACGATTACATAGACAAATATTAGCCGCGGTCCGGTATTGCGAACTAGGCTAAATCAAGTTGTCTACTCAATATAAAGTTCAGTCCGATTTTTTCAACATCAAAATGTATGCTACACCTGACCAAAGGGTTTCAGCTCGACCAATAATTGTTGTATCTATTCGCATGCGTATGTCTCACGGCTACCGATTCGAGAATATATAATTAAACATTTACCAAAAATCAGATTCTCCCTCAGCACCGGTTTGTAGGTCAGACTTTCCGCGTCCATTTTTGTCAGACGTGACAGAGTGAAGTGAATATGAAAAGCGTCACTTCACTGGACCACAAACTCATCATAACGTTTGTCCTGCGAGCAAACGATGCAGCATCTTTATATTTCGACCTAAAACAAATAGCTATTTGCAAAATTTTAAATTTATATGGTGAGACAATTTGGAGATGCTCTTGTGGTAGCTTCAGATACCACCGCATTGGAGAATTCTTCCGTCAAGCGCACTCGGTTTTTGAATCAGGCCCATTTCCGGTAATTTCTGTAGAGTTCTTGAGGAAGAGCAATTTGAAAGAGACATAATGCAATTAGCTCGACCATTACATCGGTTCAGCCGTATAACAAAACAGGACCATGGTCAGTAGAGGCTCATTCAGTGTATGATTAGCTTTCAGATGTTCAGTAGGGATTTCGCTTACGTTTAGTAGCCCCGGCGTGGTCATTATCTCTCCGCTGCTGCACATCCATTGCGGTCTCCCTTATCTGCGGTATATACGCAATTTCTTTCCCCCGGGGTTCACTTTGTCAGCGAGGCAAATGGCATAGATGTACGTGAGTACATTTGTAAACGGTATCTCTAAAGTTCTCAAGCCCTAACTATAGACACTGTTAGTAATACTACGGGAAGTCTGCCCGGGGAGAGCTTGCTTCTATGATTCCACTTTAGAAGTTCGTATCTATGGCTTAAGTAAATTCGAATAGGCCTTTTCAGTCCTTATTTCAATGAAGTTCTTATATATATAAAAAAAAAACCTACTTCTTTCAGCGGTTTGGTTCTTTCGTATGGATTTCGACAGAAGACCAGCTATGACAAATCAACAGTACGCGATATCATTGCTCAAACGGTCTTTAAACAGATGTTGCGTATTGCGCAGGATCGTAATAATCATCTTAATTATCTGATCATCTTTTTTCTATTCTCGAAATCGTTCGAGAATAAAAACGAGAATGCTATCCTTTTTCCTAATGTCCGACCGGCAGTGGTCCTTTGCTGTTAATCGTTTCGTGTATGGCCCTCGTTGCGTATCCGCCTTTGTCATTGTTTAGAAAGTAGAAATTTTGTTTGCTAAAAAGTGGCAGCATTGAGATAACGAGCACGGGCAGTGATTTGATCGAAATGACGTAACAGCGTAATACGCGTGACTTCATCATATCTTTGAATATGTCGTCAGGTAATAGAGGCAATCTGCATGCTCTTTTCGTCTAAGATAACCGCATTCGGATCGACGCTGTAATTTATGTGACTAATTCTACTGAGACATCCGTCAGTACGAGTTCGGAAAAGGTCTGCATGATTATTTGTGTGGGCTCCATCGAATATGATCATCTAAATGTGTGCTTTTTTTGTAAAAGTTTTTAGGAGACGATTAATACGCTTCGCGATTTCAACGCATTCACTACTGAATATTTAAAACAAATTTGTATGTATTTCGTAGCTTAGGTTTACTGCGTACACCATCAAGCCGTTGTTTTTTAACATGTGCGGTTCGGCAACGAACTCGTTTGTCTCAACCATAGCAGACTTTCAAGACAGACGTTTCTCACAAACGGGTAAATTCTAAGGTAACTAAACGCCAATGACTCAATATCGATTCGATACATTATAATTTAGGGCAGAGCGTCGAAATGACCAGGGATTTATATAGCTGTATACGTACAATTAAAAATGTGAAGTTCACGTTTGTGATTCAACTATTGGAGCAGCGTCTGTCTTAATTGAAAACCCGCTTACTTTTTTCTAGCTTATCTCTCTGCAGCGTGGACCTGTGTCTGGCTGAACAGTCTTTTTTCAGTCATTTTCATGTAAAGCTTGTAACCGATGGACATTTGATTTGTTGATACCAGATTTACGGTTTGATTGATTACTCTTTCGTAAATAGTTCCGATCGTTGCAAGTTACCTCTATATTATCCAACTGTAAATCGTATTAGTGGATCTGCTAGAAACTCCGTACGTTATTCTTCTCGTACTACTGTTAAATTTTGATACTTCCAAGAAAATTTTGCAATTTTATTTTTTTTTTGGTCCACTCATTTTTCCCAATAATTCAGATCGACGTTGTAATTTTCAGCGTGATACATTGCGAATGTATTTCACATGTCACAAACTTCTGATTGTTCTTTCAGCTGAATAGAGGGAACACTCAGGGAGTGATGACTTGTTAAATAGTGTGTTTTTGGGACACCCTGTATTCCTAGGGAAACATCGTGATAAATAGCGAACTTGTTAGGAAATTAGCATCTTAGCTAAGCCGAAAAGATGCTTTTTGATCTTTCCACAAATGTTATGAAAATACGTTTATGGGAAGTGCTGTTGTGCTATGGTTGTTGTCTTCTACTAGATAAAGTGAGATGTTTTTTAACTGTGTGATAATATAATAGTATATTGCATCTCATTATCCTTTTATACCATAGCCTTGCAAACTATAGGTAATAATAATTAACAGTTATAGTAATTATAATAATTCTTTAGTCGTGATTCATCTAATTCAATTCATGTTGCCACAGACAACCAGGTTTCTGCACTACATAAATTGTAACGGATAAAGGACATAAGGGTCGACTAGAATCAATTTTTTTTTAATTTTAATTTTATAAGAAGGTAATACAGCGACTGACAAACAAGGTTTCCTGGAACATGCTTATGCAATCATCGTAATAAGTATCGTCCGAACTTTTAATATACGAGTAATGTGAAGGCCAAGCGACGCCTTTGTTGAAATTCCTGCCCGAAAAATGCACCGTTTTGTAAGAAATATTTTCGCTTTTTTTTGTTACTCCTTAGTTTCTTACCTCTCAATTTGTTCCCCACAGAGCACAAGCTACGTTACCTTATGTAACTGTCACCTCTTGCTGCTGGCCGTGATATAGGGTGGCGTCCTATTTTAACTAGGTCTTTACTCTGTCTCTAAATTGCCCCTCTTACTCTTGTTCAACAAAATTTTTCCTCTCCTTCTGGCGAAACTCGCGAACAACAAGAGGTCGTAATGAAAAAACCTGAGCGATTATATTTGCCCATCGCAATTCCAGTACATGTTAACAGAGGCCAGAAGGAAAACCACATCCGCAGTGTTCTACTACAAAATAAAATGGTTTGAGCAGGTAATGTGCATCTTGATTGTTGCCAGGTTTTTTTACAGGTCTGTTGACAGAACCTCGTATCCGTCCAGCAAGACTCACCCCCAGTTCGACCTTCTAGTAAAGGCAGGTTCTTAATGCTACACCGAATAGGCGATACCGAGGATTTATTTAGACAAAATAAATAGCTGAAGGAGTTGAGAAGTTCACAGTCGACATCCTCAGATGTATATGTCAGGGATTGTGGCATGGAAATGCTGTTGAAGTCATGCAAGGTTTGGCTAATGTTCTAAAAAAAAATTGACATTTGGTTTTGTAAATAAACAACTACATGTAACCTTCTTCGCAGAATAAACAAGTTCCTCTATTCACATATGTGTAGTATATGTAATGATAATAGTAGTTATAATAACGATACTGTTGATAATACATAAACATGGCAACTACCCTACATGCTAAAACAGTTATTGAGTGTATACTAGATGATGCGAAAACAAACTCGTGTTATAAAAACTGACATTATGTAGATGAATTTGATCATCTGTGCTTATATTATAGATAATACGTTGCTTTACATGCGCTGAACACAGAGCTTTTAAAGTTACCGAATTTGATCACGTGTGACGATGAAGAAAAATTCGTTCATTCTATGACAGAATTTTCTCTGTACTGTTCAAAAACAATAGCTTTATAGGACGATCACATGGATTGTTGCTGTGATTCGGTCTTCAAAGCTGCCACAATTTCGGCAGCTTTCTCTACTATTAATTCAGTTCTCTTCTATACTTTATAGTTTAAACTATTTTAGTCACTGTTGCTTTACTAATTGCAATACACAGATTGATAATAAATAATTTCATTTATTTTTCTGAGTAAAGTTGGTGTGACTCGAACAGCGGTTAAGCGCAGGTGAAGCGTCGGTACAAATATGAGCACCAAACTTATGGAAATTTCAATACAAATAGCAAAAGCTGGTACAATCAGCCAAATAAGGTCGCCATTCCTCCTATGAGCTCTGATGGAAACTCAACAGACGCAAAACAAGCCACGCACCAAATGTGGCCTAGCTAGTGCTATAGATCCACAAGGCGCTGCGGGAAGACGAGGTTTCCCGCTCGAATATGATTATATTGCTTCTTATAGTGTGTGTGTGCGAAATGACCGAAGGGACAGCTTGTCGCATCTAGCTTACCGTAAATAGGCAAAGTGGTCCGAGCACCGTCTAAGTCCTTCCTTTGACTATATGGGAGAACAGCGCTGAACATGAGGTATGTTTTACATATTTCACTCAGTGAGTTTGCGCTCTAAACGGCTCCAAACCGATGCGGTAATATACAACGTTTTGGAAATGGCCTCCAGTTGGTACAATGGAGGCGTCAACAATCGTCAGACAAAATGGAAGAGCTGAACAAGGCGAGACAAAAACGCAAAAGGTGTTACCTAATATACGAAGATATGTTGGTGCCCATCAGAATAAAATGCTCTAACGCTTCTATCGAGTAGAAAATTGCTGGACTGTACCCATTTAATAAATGTGTTCCTAAAAGATTGTCGAGTGTTTATCTTTAATGTTAATCTATCCAGCCGAAATTGATTAATATGAGTAGTTGTTAGAGAGGTATTAACGAAACAAATCCTTTACCGGTTACGTTAAATGCTGTGGTTGCAATGCCAACATATGACGAGAATCCGTCTGCTCTCAGAAAACACATCATCATCATCATCATTTCTAATAACTGACCAAAAAACGAACGAGGTCCTACGCATATTATGCGCAAGCTGACTATATAGGACAATATTTTTTGTGTAAGGAAGTACCTAGCAGCACGGGCGAACTGAGATGGCTAAACAAACTGAGCCTTCCTTACACATACAGTATATGTTTCACTATGTATACATATGAACAATGATATCTATTTAGAGAACAGAGAAAAATCGGATGAAACCCAACCGGAAAACTATCGATCAGACTCAATCGCATAACGTGAATTCGCGCAGCTATATAAAGTGACCATGTATTAGTAGACAGCCATAATAATAACAGCAACATACGAATGATGTGTCTGTTTGGTATCTAAAAAAAAATGGTGTCTAAGCGGTTGCATGCAGCGTTGTTTGCGTATATTTATACACAAGTGCCTGTGTGTGTTGATCTTTGGATACCCGCTCCTTCGAAGTGGAAAATGTTTAGTTGCATCAATTTGGGCTAATTACTGTTCTGGGTTTGGGCTAATGTGTGATTTTTCGCTATCTCTAATTCGATTTCCTACGATGGACGCTTGCAATACGCTATCGACGATGAACGAGTAGGACAATTAGATTTGATTTACGTATCTATGGATGCGATTCTTTATGAATTCGCTAATGAAGTTTTCGAATAATCGGCTATCATCCAGGTTGCTTTTCAGGAATCTCAGCAAAAGCCATTCACCTTGAGTCACTAGTGGCCTACCGCTCGTATTGCCTTTTCTGAATTCCTCAGGGATTTCGAGGTCGTTGTTGCGTAAGTTCTCTGAAGTCGCCATCACGGTGACGTAAACCAACTGCAAGATGGCCGTCACCAAAGCCAGCATAAAGACGACCCACAGAAGAATGTAGATTTTTTCGTTGAGAACGTTTATCGCCAATATACAGATTACATTCTGATGCTCGGTACTGCCACCAGATCCGTATGATTCTAGATCGCATTTGACCGCCTTCGGAAACACGATGTTGAGCACAGGCATTCCTTTCAGCCACTTCGGCACTAAGCTGATAAACTGGCCGTTAAGGAAGTTCTGAGTTAACGAGAACTGTATTATAACGTTGAAAAAGTAGAAGGCCTGGCATATCAAGAACATATAGAAGTAACGAGTGGTCTCGTTTTGTCGTCGAGATTGAAGTCGCTGAGCCAGCAAGATGATTCGTTCAACACGTACGTTGTTCGTAGCAGCCTCGAGTTCTCTAAACTGTTCGACGAGTTTACGGGTTCGGCCGCCTTCCAAGGCTTTCCACAACACGCGAGGAACCTGATTTAAGGATAGAGCGAAGATAGTCGGCAAGGTAATGGAAGAAATCTCATTAGATATGATGAAGATAAATTTCTATTCGAGCGTTACGTGATGTACAAACAGCTGAAGCTAAGATCTATAACATCTAGCATCTACAATACGAAGGTTAGATAGTCCACGAAGCCGCTTAGCTACACTGCTGAAAGGACGCTAAAAATCCACCCGAGCAATTGAATTCTCTAAGAATACAGTTGATGCTGAATAAGCGTGTACGACAATGGGGTACGATACGAAAAAATTATGTTTTAAGAAAAACGATTTGTATCACTGTTAAAACTGGTTGTCCACTTGATAAAGTAGATCAAATGTTTGCTTCGCACGAGGGTAGATAATACCTGAAAACTTGCGGCTTGTATAACCAAGCAGAGAGTGACCCATTGGTAATAATTAACGTAGACATAGGAATTCTTCTCGTTTGAAGCTCGATTAATAATTCCATGAAAGATCCCTTCGTCAGCGTGTGGGCCTTCAATAATGTACGAGGAATATGCATAGCATTTCTGTCTCACGTATCTGAAAATATCACACAATCTTCATATGATCGAAGCACTACTCCAAGAGAGCCTCCTTCATAGCACGAGGTACGCGTGAAGGTAAAAGTTCAAATGCTATCCTAGCATTCGCATACGTTCTTACTTATGTTAAATCATAATCAGCGAATAAAAGCTTGTACCTCAGTAGCAAACGATCTGCCAGTCGTGTCAATGGACTTTGAAACAAAAAGGGAACAGTCGCACTTCATAAGAACTGCATCATAACAATGAGATGCTTATGAGGTAATCCGTCACTTTTTCGCACCATCATGATTTTACCATTTCTAAAATCAGCTGAACAATTAATAGAAAGTTACTTACGACATGTCGAACACACTGCCTGACGGCCTAGTGCATTCAATCGGGGAGTACCACGAAGTAAGTCCAGTGAGGATCGCACAGGCGAGAATTATTCCAAAAGCCACCTTATAATGTATCGAGCTTAGTAGAAGGTCTTCGCTGTGATTGGATTTCGGTCTAAAATATTTTACCGCCGAGATAAGAGCTCCATCTATACGTGTCATAGTTGGACACGTAGATCGGCCAACGATAGAAAGAACTGGCACGATGTCGCGACAAGAACCAGGTTCTATAAAAGGTTCAAAACCTTTACGGTTTTGCTTAAACTCGCGCAGCTTGCTTGAAAGGTCAGGTATGAAGAAATTTTTAGGAAAAGCTTAGCGGTTTCGAAGTGGGAAAGATTTCCCACATGACTAGGGCATAAGTTCCCCAGCGGCACAAAGATTTTCTTGGCCCAATCCTATCGACTATGAGCGTGCGAGAATCAATGACGCTAATGTCGGCAGTGAGTTGTGTACAAGTCTGCTACTCTACGACAACACAAGTCTGCTCGCAATATTAACTAGAGTCTAAAGAACGTTCAAAATGACCAGCTTTGATGTGTAGGGTTTGCGCGTTATGCGAACGTGCCTTTACATTGGGTGCGTGGCAGGATCCATGTTAGCTATCATATGCGAACCCATTGAACGCGAGGCACTTGCTTAGATAGGGCGCACATAATAAGTCATAGTCATAACCATTGTTTGCCAACATTATTAGTTACGCAACTCAAATCATCATATTATCCATCAGGTATAGAGGAACTTCAAGGCGGTAAAGCTCTACCAGAACGCAGAATCAAACTGTAAAGATGGAGTATGTAGTTCGCCTTAGCCACATAAGATAACCCAATCCTTACGTAGATTCACTATGTCTTCATTTTGTCCTTTAATTTTTCTAATAACTATAAAGAACATGGAGTAAGGCGCGCTGAGTTTAGATTGTACGTATGTATGTATAGATCATTTAAGCGTGCAACGACGAAATTAACGTACCGAAGTGCAGTACTGCAAATCGATTTGTTTTGCAAACGAATACGCAGGAAGATTCTACATTAAACATTCACCCTTCCTATTGACCCAACATAATCTGAAGATCTGTAGATCTTCTGTTTTCTGCGTTCCTTTATAATTTCATCTTTTCCCGTTGTAAAATTATCCGAAACCTGATCTATGAACTGATACAACTGCAGAAAATGTTACGTACTAATCATCTTTCAGAAATAATGAGTTCCATGAAGGGTCGTGTAGTTGACGTATATTGGAGCAATTAGTATCGAATGCGTAGTCCGTGATTCTGAAGCACAAGTAGTTTATTGCCAAAACTCAGCCACTAGCGATTATTTACTAATGAAGATAACTTTAATATCGGCATCTACGGATTCCCTGAAGAAAGGACAGCTAAAACCTGTTCATTGACTTTAAAATTTGGTGACAAATTAATCCCATATAAAGTTGTTCGAAGGCGGTACTTCCTATATTTATGGCAAAAATGCACACACATGCTTTTATTAGTTCAGATATTAAAAAAAGAAAAAAAGCATGTGATCATCTAAGTGTCCTTCTGTGAAAGTGATCTTAATAACTCACACAACTTTCTCTTAATCTCTTAAAATGGAGTTACCACAAAAACACTTCGTTGATTTTATCGACCAACGCAGACGTAACGGAGAAACGGACCTGTTTTCGACTATCTTTTCAGATAATGATGTATTGTTTGTTGATGTGAAAGATACGCTATATTTTCCTAAGGACAGAGGATTAAAACAGAGGCAGCTTCGTCGATGTCTTGCCTATTCAAGCATCTTTGGCCTACCATCACTGCTCTTTTTAACAGGCTATCGTGTTAGTATCGGCACCGAGCCTTGCGTCAAGATGTTCGCCAGACCAGTATGAAACTAGCTAGTTTTTTTTTAGTGCGGCAACTTGTCAACATTAAATTCATAGATAGCTATTTCTATTTTACACAGACTATGGCATCATTTTTGCCATAGAGTCGCACGTCACATTACTCAAAAGCTTCTACATGCCTAAAGTGATCACTGTTACCCTCTCTGCGGGACGGCTATCGCTATGACAATCAATATACACGGGACGCTATGCTTAAACAAATGACAGGATTGTTCGGAAAGAATCGTCGCATAGTTACGGAAGGATTTGGTTGTGAAGCGGCAGACTGACGGCATTATGTCAATGCTAATCTCCGATATCAAAATGTTCTACATAACAGCGAATGGAGTTAGATACAATGGAGAAGTTCTTAATTAATCACCAAAAAGTAATTTTTAAAGGGACCAAATTGTAAGGACAGTTAAATTCATTCATCATAGCATAGAATACATTAGCATTGTAATTGCACGGAAGCTAGTTTTCGCACTGATGTACTACCTTTCGGACCAGCTGACGAGCGTCAATCGCTCTCGTACGGACTACAACACCGTGAGTTTGGGAGCCGTTAGTCCCCTGATATAGATTATCATTTTGACGTCCCCCTAGAAGTTGGCATAACTAACGGCGTAGTAATTTCACGTGATGAATAGCTCAGTAAAAAGATGAGATGGAGTCTGACAAAGTGCTTCATAAACTTCTAGTTAAAACGCGCGTGATTGGCAGAAACTTTCGCATCTCTGCCGTTCGTGTAATGCTACGCAGAGGACGCCAGTTCTAGGTGTGCAGCTATAACTGATTTAGCCGGTACATCAGTTTGGCATCCCGCACAGAATACTAACAACGCCAGTCAGTGTGAGTCGACGCTCAACGTAAATTCGTCTGATCATGGAATGCTCCGTTCCAAGCATACTAAAAAAATCTTACTGACTATTCTTCACAAATATATAGTTCAGACCTAGAAGGCCATGTTCAAGCTCCCGTAGAAACTTCATTATGTTATTGAGGCTTTTGCTACCGTGACAGACAGTTTCATTGATTTTAGCTTCTACTACTGGCTTCTACTTCGGCAGAGTAGCATTAGCCGCACTTGCGAACAACAACTCAAAATTACCACCTTTGTCTTCGTTTCGGACTCGGACGTCTGATCTTCCTTTATGAGCATTCGGATGGAAACTTGTCCCTGATGGCGTCTTTCGTCTTTCTTTGACTAACTATTAAATTTTCATAACTTGATTTTGCAAAAAGTTTTCACCGTTAGATCTGAGCATGTGTGTGGTTATGTTCAATCACGCTAGGATTTTTACGCGTCTGCTTAAATGAAGCCCCTGCGAAATACCAAACTCGGTCTCTTTCGCGGTCCTTCAGGTAGTTAAATTCCTAGATAGTTTACATTAGACTAACGTTAACGACAAAATCTGCATCGATCCCTATTTTTTTAAATAAGGTCGTAGCTCATAAGCGTTTCGAAAACGCGATTGCCGTTGCATAGAAGGACGAATCCCATATCGACTAAACACCGTTCTTGTCAGAGAAATATGTAATGAATTTTTTGTGCCTATATATTATTACTAATATGGACTTCTGATTATGTCCTTTACGAATGCTCTGACGACTCCTACTGAACCGGTGCTTGGCAAGTAGAAATCAGAGTTTTAGAGGACTCGGACGATACGATGGCAACGATATCGGTCAAGTGACAAACATTTGAAACAAGGTGCGATCGCTACACCTCTATTTATATTGATGTTTACTTTGGACCCGTCTTTGAGGAACTTGCCATTGGGATCCGATCTTTTTTAATTAATTTAATGGTCCGAGCAGTGCAAACCCACGAAGTCGATTCCGTTGCTCAATCCTAAACGATGGCCGATCATTTGCGAATTCAGTACGCTCTCCGCCAAAGATTATTTGTGTCCAAGGGTAAATTCGCACTTCGGCAATCTGTCCGACTCCAGCAAGCAATATCTGTCTAAGTCGATTAGGGTACATGACACATCTACGCCTTTCGTTGCAAAAACGCGATTCGGTCGTTAGTTCTGCGGAATAGAGCTTAACGTAGACTAAAAAAACTGGATTCTGGTCGAGGTTGCCGGACTGTGGTAAAATCTATAGAGATCTTCATAATTCGTTCGTGCCATACAGATCAATTACGGTGAATTGAGTGCTTCAGATTGCTTCAGTCGCAGGAAATCGCTAAACAATGCTCAATCTACAAAAGGTAATTTCGTCATGTTGTGTTGCCAGGAGAGGCTTCTACACGACGAAAAAGCGATGCCAATGCAAGAGAAGAGCAAATTTTATATACGTTTGTGAGATCTTTTGCATCTTTGTTTTCGTTAGCGCGTTTTTTTTTTCTTTTTTTCAGCTATTTAGCTTGACTGCTAACAATTCTCAGAATAAATCCCATACGTATTCAAATTAGCGGCTTGTGGGTTCCTGGTAACCCAGCTAAATGCGTCAAATTATGATGCCTAGCTTTCTACATGATCTACACATAACGTGAATATACATATCCGGCGATGGTACGTTGTAACGTAGCTGCTTACACTAAACCGTATGCTGCTCAAAAATGTACCGAAATGGAAGATGTATTTTTTCATGCTTACTGATTTTCTTATCTTAAATAATATGACAATATGTTTATATGTATAATATATAATAATAATAAATATAATATTATTATATTATAAATAATAAAAAAGAATTAAAAAAAATAATAATAATAAAATAATTTTTAAAAAACAAGACATTATAAGTGTCAGGCTTTTTTTAGCTAGCAAGCTTTAATAACATCTGCGGCAGTACTCGATAAGCACAAGGCTCTGTTTTAGGTAGCGAAGGGAGACGGCGGCTGGACTGTTATACGTACCCGATCGACACTCGTGCCATACTCGTACGCAAACAACATATGTTGAAAGAATATGATTATTATTTACATTCACTACCTGAGTAGAGCGCAGCTAATACTACACGTATGAATAGATATCGGATAAGATGTTTAAGCCTCATAACATTGCGACACTATAAAAATTAATATACGAGACATTAGTTTTTATAGAGGCATTTAACTATAATGTTAACTGAACAGCTGGGAAGTTACCCAAATTACGATTGTTGCGGGGGTATCTAATCATCCTTGGGAAAGATTTGTTTGCACAGCTACTGAAACTGCCTAGCCAAGATAAGTGGGCAAAGAAATTCTAGTCTAAAGCCTTCATCCACCTGATTGATTGATTCAGCCGCTTAGTGTTCAATGAGTGCCATAAAAGGAACCGACTTCATCATAACATTTGCCCTACACACCCGCAGGAACCGGACTAGTTCATCGATAATTCTGCCTAGCCGTTAAGATCGTTTTATGTCATCGCATGGGGAAACTGTAGCGCAGTGAGCGCTCAGGTCTTGATTCAGTTCCAATTCGAGTGCATGGCCCGTGCGCGCTTGTTAAGCAAGTTAAAACTTCCCAGTCGTCCAATTGTTTTCGCTTGCTTAGCCTGTGTCCTAGCGTTTTGTCATGGGCTTGCGCATCTGCGTTTATCTTGCAAGATCTACTTTTATAGACCTATATTGTAAGCAGGTTTACTATACTGAGTCTTAGATCACGAATAAAGGTGGTTCCGCTGCTGTAGTAGTTTACGTAGTTAACAAAGTAACGATTGGACCTTGTTGTTAGAAGAAAGTGCTAAGAGTAGCTGCTTTATCTCAATTCTTTTACTAATTATATAGCTGAGGTTGGACTACCTAGGCTGATACCGTTGCCATTGTTTACAAATCTACATGTATAATATATTGCTCACCGAAAGTATAGGTTCGCTCTGAAGTGAATTATTTTAGCGTTGTAAGTGGACAATATATATGAGAGGAATACAGATGATCTAGACGAAGGTGAAGTCAAAAACAAATGTTTGCGTTGCCATTAATTCCGCATTGGAGTGCTGGTCGCTAGCATAAGACGAAGTCTATCTACGTCCGATTTCAAATTCAGGTCAGCACATGTCTAAGAATTTTGTAGACAATCACGTCACCATTACATCGTTTGGTCTATATATAGGTAGAAACCTCGAGTATTACGGCCGGTGTCGCCGTTAGGCATTCCTTAACATCAACCAACTTAGTAGTAGTTGTTAAACTTGTTGTGTAATATTTGAATTGAGCCATAGGATCATCATAAACCATTATCATTTTCATGTGTTTATCTTCATTATTTCATATTAGTATATGGAACTCGTTGATTGGGTTTGGCTTAACGCATCAAGGTGCTACCAGCGTATGTATTTCGGCGCAGATATTACACGAGAGTTCATTGACGTGTCTAGAATCTGACAGAAACTTTGTATCTGGGCGTATACCGTGCGACCTGACAACATGTTGCTGCCATAAAGAACCCATACGTTCTCACAATCATGCGTTGTGAGTACATCTTCGCGAAGTTGTCGAGCTCAGAGACTCTGATTTGTCGACGGTTCAGCTCTGAAGAAATGGAGCATAGATATCGGTACGGATGCAGCGACTGCGATGAACACCAAGCTTACTCAAATAGTACAACCCTTTGAGGCTATTGACGCTTCAGTTCGATAGTTTTGGTAATGCGTTTTAGCATTGTAAAGTTGAACGAGCTTTCGATCTTGAGTTGACGTTTGGAAATCCTGTGAAGTAATACATAGTAAGCCCTTCTCGACAACATCTATTGAATAACAATATCAGAGAAACAAATCATTAGCTTACCGTTACATCAGCGCTACGTAAACCACGCAGTTCCAGAGGGCTAATCGGGGCTCTCTGACAGTTGTCCTTCAACAAAGATCTTCGCTATCAAAGCGTCCTATAATGGACAAACAATTCGCAACTGTGTCAATCAAGTGGGCACTTCACAGCGCTGCTGTTCGATAGAGCGAATAAACGTTGAAAATTCTACGTCTGATACTACTGTCGCCGAGCATTGTTTCCAACGGCTGGCCTCTTCCAACGTAAAACAAACCGTGTGTCTGGATAAAGTCGGTTTTATTAGCCAAACACGTCACCGTAACAAAATTTCGGCGGCAGAACTTTCGGATGATACCTTTCGTCACCTTATGTCAACGCCTCCTTTGCTGTTGCTTGACTGTGATCAGGTTTGACGAGCGACGACATCATGCAAAATTTGTATTCTCTGTTTAGATCATCGATTGAAACGTATAACGTTCCGAACGGTGCTTTTGTGTACGGCGCGCAGGCGCTCAGGGTCCAACCCATCATCGTCACATAGACGCGAGACTGCATAAAATTTCGTAGTCAACTTTGCCGTTGCTGACGGCGTGCGGACGCGAACAGCAGAATATACCACGAAAGAAGAAATGCTGCCTCTATTTCATTGAGTGATCAGCTCCAAGCATCGTTCGAAGTTGGCAGTGCCAATTGAAACAGGCTGTGTTTCAGCCATGCTTTTCACTCTTCCGTGTCCCTAAGCCTTGTGGTGCTCTCGACCTATACCGACAACCGAAATAGATCATAACATTACATGGACATTAATTTAACACATACGATTATCAGGCCGAGTGTCGGACTGTATCGTTCGTTTGCTGTCGGCGCTATCTAATGAGAGACGACACCGATCTGACGAGGCCGGCCTCGCTCTCTTAATTCACGAAGGTTCCCGAGCCGTAGCCATTTTCATCGCCCGAAATTTTCGAAATACTGACCGTAATATCATGGCTTGCTAGCCTGTTACGTTAGGCAATGAAACGAATCAAACTGAATAAAGCAACACGGAAGAAAAACAAACTGATGGAACGGTAAGAAATAAACGATAAAAAAATGTACGTTTCCCCATCCAGCTGTCTGTCCATTTCCCTACATTCTAATGATGTACTGATTTGAAAGATGTGCTTATAGTAAACGCACTTTGAAACTAATGACTGCCAACAGCCGTATCAGTCCGAACAGCGATTTATTCGTTAAGTTACTTACCTACTTCAAGTTACTTAAGCATATGTGTGGAGGAGCGTACCAATGGACGCTACTGATACTGTTGCGATCGCACTCACAAAATGACAGCCGCGAAGACGTGAAAACAAAAAAAGATGCAAAAAATGTAGGAGTTAACGGCGCGGCAAAGTACGACTGATGGTGGAAATGGCCGGTGCAACATGTCTTGAAAGCCTCACTTGGCCGGCGGATATGCAACAAGAATTCGTACATGCATGCTCATATGTCGCTTGCAGGGGCCGTCAACTCGAATAGGCCGCGTCGGCAGTGGTCAGAATGGTTAGAACGGCGAGTGTTGTTCTCAGTAGTCAATAGTAGTACTTGGTAAAAGTCGATGTATGACGCGCGTTCATGAGACTGCAATTACTCATATACAAATCAACGAAAGATGGCTAAAAATCGCGGAATTAGTACCACGCGTGATAAGAAGGGAGTCAGTTATGCATCTGAATTTGATAAACATTTTCATCACGTTTAGATATCCGCAGTCTTATTTCTTAAGCAATTGGCTTTACCGAAGCTAAGTTCGTGGTCTGTTTTTCATGTCAAACCTAAAATACGCTGCCGTCATAAAACGGATAAGGCAAAAGGTACTTTCGACACATTATGACGTCAGGGTGATAAGTCTGATAGCGGTGAGTCTGATAATGGGGCTTCCGTAGACGTAAGAACGTACATACAACGAATGGAACTGCTCTTAGCTTGTGTCGCGGAGGCTGCAAAGAAGATGACCTCAGTTTGGAACACTACTAGCTAAGAGAATCCAAATCCTTCGGTATTCCTTGCATACTGCTACTATCAATGCTTAGTTGTTAAGTGAAGCCGAAGGTCGTATTGTGACGTTATTTTAAATATCAGTCGTCTATGGAGCGAATAATATTGATTAGGCTACAAGGTCTAGGTCTATAACAGCAGAAGCATGTCTCATATCTCACTTAGAGGCTATGTACACGATCGTGTAAAGCATATGGGGCCGACATTATCCGTCTATATTTTCACACAACTGGCCAGTTCCTCAGTTCGTAAGACGTCTTGTCTTTTTTTTTTTTTTTAACTAGAATTCAGAGTATTCAACGATTTTTGCCAGCATATCTTTGTTCATCAACCCCATTGTTTACGCAGTTTTGTTCCCAAGTTCAGAAATTTTTCCAGTTTAAAAATAACAAAGTAGCCGCGACGTTTCGGTGGCGATTTATGGGTGCTTATAGTTTAATTATTATAATAAACGGTGTGTAATGAAACCCGTCAATGGGAAATTGCCTCGTCACGCCAACCTATAGTTCCTATGATTAGGTCGTTGAATAAAACGGTGTTACAGACAAAAAACATATAGATTATATCATATCTAACACACGCTCACATTTTTTCTTCGAAACAACGTGTATAGCAAGGGTCGTCCATCTGAGAAGCGTAGTTTGTTAGGCCGACGAGGGTTGTGGGTTGCTCTTCAACATTTATAAGAACGAGCATTCGCAGTGACGGTTGCAGTAGCTTCAATAGTGATCCTGCCGATAGCGAGACCAAAGGTAAAAGTCAGTTAAGTGATGTATCAGAAGTCCAACCAATCCACAATATGGTTAAATTTATGTCAATTTAACCATATTGTGGATTGGTGAGCTGGATACTTGATGCAATAACTCTATTCTGTATCCTGTGATCATAGGTAGCGTAAGTCATGCTGTTCGGCCATCCTGCAATAAGGACTCCTTCGGTATAACCGAATGCGTGGAGTGCTCGTTGTTACATATTCTACCTAATGGATGTAAAAGGCCTGCAACAGGAATCCATAAAAGATAAACACTTCGTACTTGCTAACTGGTGAACTATGATGAGAGAGCTAGCAAAACAGATAGAGATTTCAAATAGTTTATATCATCTCATTTTCATGTCAAAATGCTAACGGCAAGGTCTATTCTGAAGCGGCTGAGCGTCCAGCTGGTAAACGCCTCTGAAGAAGCGTATCAGGAAAGCCTTTGGCACTGCTGGAAAAGCCAAGCGTTCTTAAACAAGTAATTCAGAATGGTCATGCGCGTATATATTTCGACCATCCATTTAGAAATGAACCCCGATCAAAACCAAGGTCATCAAGGCATCCTTCATAACGAATTCACGCCGTCCGGCTCCACTGTCATTAAATAGTAGTATCAGGAAGTTTTAAGCAGGTTGAGCAAGTGTTTCTGATTAGATCTTTGCCACAATCGGTCTTAGGTTCTTTATCATCACCATCCATACTTCACTATTCATTTTAGACATCTACAGAAAATTCGATGACTCACCGCATCTTTTCCAACCTCACCGCATCTGGCTTCGCAACTTTTTCCAATTCCCAGAACTACACAAAAACAGTTTAAAGGGAAAGCTTTTTGATACGATGGAAAAAAACAATAGAAAAATTGCTGAACGAGCTTAGAGCTACTCCAACGATTGGTAAGGTCGCGAAAAGTCAAGGAAGTCTTTGAGGGATAGAAAGAATGGTAGCGAAGGTGTGCTGCGTCCAGTGGGGATTCTTTCGAAGCGTCCAATTTCTTACGGGACAATTAATTGAATGCTTATCAGCCTAGAGGCAACGACATGTCCATTTGTGGAGAAAGAATTACATCGAGCAATCATATAGACCACTATATTCCCTGTTTTTTTTTTTATTTGTGAAAGAGTTTGCTTAGAGATTAATGTTTGTAGTGTATAATAAAGTTGGACATCTAGGAGAAAGCGTGTCTATTATATAAGCGTTCGTTAACTAACTTTATTCTACACTAAACCATTTGCGACCGCTTGATCAGCTCTTCGTACCTTACTTATTTAACACAATATTGATCTAAAAACTAGCAGAAATCCCGTAATTGGCTCATCTTTGTTGGATAAAAAAGTTTATTTATTTCGTTTTTTTTTTTTTAGTTTAGTTTAGCAGATCAGTTAGTTAATGAACTGTTCACTTTCTAGGCATTTGCTGAGATCAACCCATATTGATTGATTTATTGTACAGTTGTTCTAACCATAGAGTACGCTACCTTTTTTCTCGTCGAACAGTTTCAACATTCGCGACCAAAAATGTGGGTTCGGCAGTATTAAACAGTGGAATATCACCACGACACGTGCAAAATAGGCAGATGGTCACATGATCAGAACCCGCTTAGTCGATTGCTGAATAGCGCCATTTCCATCAATAACCGATAGTCGTTATCTTTCGATAAATTATATGCACAAGAGCATAGATGGTGAGAATGTAGAAGCGTTATGGAAACTTGCCAAGCGCTCGAAATTTACCGGTTTCTCTTTTTTTCAGGGACGAAAGGCGAGAAATTAACGTCATCGTTTAGCCGAATCAGTAGGCGCAAGCGTCCCTTCATACCGCCGAGCTTCGGCAGTTCGATTGCTTTGGCTATTTCAGCGACAAATTAAAAGTATCTAGTAAGTAGAAGAAATAGTAATGAGTAATAAAATTTTTCCAAACTTACGCTGTAAGAACGTCGTTGGATATTGAATGAACATTGCAATATTACGTACATGGAATAAACTCTAAGTGAGACAAGTGATAAATTAACAACTTATTTCGATATAGTGGTGATCTTATAACACCGATACGACCCTCGAACATCACCAATCGCGAATCCAAGAATATACATTAAACAATACTGATGCTTGTTGCTTTGACAGAACATACTTTTATACCAGCGCAGATATTAATTATGTTCGTATCGAACGTACGGCCAGGGACTGTGTATGCTACTCTTTTCGATGCAGTCATAAAGCCCACCCGCGTCTATAAATGGAGTTTGCCACATTACCGTTTCTCCGCCCAGTATTCGCATAACAATATCTTGAAGTATACAAAATTGCCTTCATCGCTTAGGCACGTTTCCGTTTGCTTCGACTCCTTAATAAGAAACACTTTAAAAAGGAAAAGGAAGTTACTTTAGTACAACAACGATCACGTTGTTATCTAATCTTTGATTACGCAATCCAAACAAAGCGTATCGTCCGAATCGTTCCCCCAAATAGCCACTAGTCTCCTCGCACCCGAAGCAATTGGGCCAGTGACTGGTCGTAAAATATTGATGTGCCGGGTTCTCCATAGGCTTCGAGGATTATGATCCGATACTTGGACCTAATGTAGCTACTAGTATTTCCACCCGTAATGTGTTCAATGGCACATATATTTGTAGCGCATATAATCGAAGTAAATGTCTACAAGAACTACATGCAAAAGAGGTGTTTTTTGCCAGTAGCTAAGGAAGTTGGAAATTGAAGCCCTCATACCCAGATAGAACGAATAGTTTTGAATACATTTAAACATAAATGATAATTAATTATCAATTTAATTTTTTTGACATTTTGAAAATTGTTCACTTACATTGTTGGTTCAGTTTGTTGACATCTGTAAGCCAGTCAACACGTTTTTTGCATAAACCTTCATGTAAACATTCGCATTGGTATATGTACTTGGATGCAATCTAAGCATTTTTGTTGTTTTTTTACATGCTGACTGTTACAGGCGGAAATTCCTGGCCAGCATCCCCAAACTACCCATGGACCTCGCTTTACCCTTAGACTTCGTCATCGCCCGTTTAATTAATCCCCATATATTGCGGATTTTACTAGCGAATCGACATATTATTAAGTCTCTGCTCCACTCTGTCTTTTTCAAACATTGAATATTACTACCGGCACAGTTCTTCTATGCTGCACATAAGACACCGTCAAACATTGATAAAGTCGCAAGTTATTTGTCGGTTGCTGAAGCCGGAAGAGTGAACTCAGATTGTAGCATTTACTGCCTCGCATGGCTCCGTATGGGTACATTGACTGAACCATTTTGGCAGCGTTTGTGGGATCGGTTCCTCGCTGTGTCGAAGACAGCATCTAACGGGAATCTCTACCAGTTCTCATATAGAAACTCATGTAGAGAATATCACATAGAAAAGCATGCAAATGTGGACAAGTTAAGCATAACGTAATACAGTTTGTCCCATCTCTGCAATGGCTGCTGGACTAATGTCGCTCGTTCGTTACAACCTTAGAATTCGACAGCCAACCCAGTATTTAATGGTTTCAAACCGAACACAGGGCAAGGACCATCCGCAGAAGCAGTGGTCGGAACTTAATCGGCCGCAAGGATCACTTGCCGCGGCGGTGATGTCGCCGAGAGGCCAAATCTTCAGCTGTTTTCCAAAAGACCATGTAATAGAAATACTTCTAAAGGCATTTATTAGCACCGTTACGACCTTAACTTAGCCAGCACGTCCAGGACATTTGCCCAGAAGTTAATAATGAATTTATAATTGCCTCTACACTGTTAGGACATTTTCTTGTATTTCTGGCGGTATTAATTGACTTCAATAGTGTCCGTAGTTAGGCACTAGAAGTATAGAGTTCAACATGTGTGAGTGCTTATAGGAAATGTGAGAAGCCCAGTATTTTAACTAGTTGGGAATAATAAAAAGCACAGGGCGGAAACGAGTCTCGCACGCAATGGAGTCCGGTGCTCGGGGCAAACATTTCTGCGAATAGATAAATTGTAGATATAATGCTCACTGACCTCTTCAGTGTTATTCCATTTGTGAACTGGGCTGGACGATCAAAGTCCGGTCTCTTTGTAAAGAGAAAATGAATAGGATCATCGGCGCTTTACCCTAACCATTACAAACATCGAAACCGTAGCATATAAACAAAGAAAGGAGAACCGCTCGAGTCTTTAAATTAACATGATGGAATGTTTTGAGTTTATAACACCAAACGCTCATAGAGTGCTGGCCTGGATTCTTGCTCATTATTTAATAAACATTTTAACTTGAGCCTATCTTGATTTATGTTTGCTTGTATTAAGCGTGTATGTTAATTAGTTATTAAATTAGTCTCAGCATTAGTCAGATAGGCTGCATTTTAAAACTCAAGCCCCGACTAGTCGAAAGCCTCGCTGTATAGCGGCCTTAAGCTTGTCTAACGGCGGATGTTGGGTGTTTGCCGACTCTTAAACCGAAAAATACTAAACTATTGAGTTTGTAGTTAAGATTGACAAGATTAGGACGACTAAGATCGAAGACGAGACAATTTAGGTATTATTCACTTTAAAGCACCTACAGATTGATAATCTGAAGCATGAAGATAACGGTACTGAGGTAAAGTAAGGCTGATATTTTATTCGGTACTTGAATAAGTAGCCAATTCGTAGAACACCGTTCGCGATGAAGATGCTCTAACAAATGAAGAACTCCCATTATCTTTATCAACTTGCCAAAAATTCCGTCTTCTATACCCCTGGTGCTTAATGCCTCTAATATTAGATACTACATGTAATACAAAGTGGCTGTAAGCTACATAAAATTTGCACTGGAAAATATTTTTATATCTTCAATACATCAATCCTCGGTTTTTGACGAAAAGAAAAGCTCTAACAATTGGTCTCGAGTTTTCTAAGCCTTATCCTTAAGATACTTAAGATGGTGTCAAAAGCGTAACATTGAACTTGTAGTAACTACACCTGCGACTAACTTGGTTAACTGTTTATTTAGACAGCGTTAAATCTTGCGCGCGACTGCTAGCACGTTTTCAATTTACATACCGTACAGATACCGGCCGTTTCCTTCTTCATTCGACGTGCTTTCCTTCAGTGACCCTTACCGTCGACCGCTTAAATCGACTCATTGACGTACGTTTGTGGCTAATGCAAACTTGGACCATCTGTGCAATATCTAACAGCACTAAGTTATCGATTCATTAATTGAATGAGCCTTTCGGCTAAGTTTCTGTACGGCCGTCAATTATACCTTGCGGGTGGTTGGACGTTGCCGCATCGCTTTACTTCCGTTTGATGACGTGCAGCTGAAAACCGGACCGATAGTTGTGATAACGTGCGTAGTATATTCCGCCAGAAGGCGTTCGGACATCCTTATTCGTTTTTATGATACTTGATACATCCTTTTTGTTGTTGTGTCGTTGGCCGTAACAACCTATAATGTTGTTCCATTAGGCGCATTCGGCAGTATGTACATGTAATTACCATGACTGGAGACCAGTCGCACGCGTACCGGTAGCTGTGGCAGTGAGTTTTAGTATACCGTCCTGCATGTGACGGATATATATGATTGAGAACTACATCGATAATATCATTATTATTGAAGCCGATCACCTGACGAGCACTTCAAGAACTCGAATAACTGAAAATCAGATGTATTACTATTGACGTATATTATACGGCAGAAACGCTCAGTACTTCGTGGCTTTTGAATCTGATAAAGTTCCATGGTCGCAAAGTCTTCTTTTACTCGACTAAGAAGCCACTTTGATGATTACACTACATAGCAACCTACTTCCAATCGTGTTACTTCTAAAACCAACTCCATCTTTTACGGCAATAGACATGCACCGCCCATCATATGTGGCTCATCTCTGATCGTTTTGCTGTCAGGGCAAGCGAAATCTGCTGTAAAAAATATTTCTTCTATTTGCCATAAACACCACGGTATAATCTCTTTGAGTATGAAGTAATAATATAATACTATGAAAATGCTTCTTGGAAACTTGACCAATATATTCATTCTATTTTTAGTCTATATTCTGGTTTTTATCTAGAATGAGTTTGTGAAGTGATTGTTTACCTCATTTCGTTCGACTTTAACTGAATCTCTATTGGCAATAGCTGTTGACGATTAAAGAAAACCTCGTAGAATCATTCAATGTTGTCTTTCCTTTCCATTAAATGGGATTTTGGGCCTCTGCGCCAAGAAGAGCATATAGTCGATCTCCTCGTCTCCGTACCCTAAAGCCCGGGCTTGCTCACAAAGCTGTTGGCGGGCTTTGGTTAATTCTTTTTGCAAACACGCAACAGTTTCTAATTGGTGATCGAGATCAGCATATGGCTGGCGTTGCTCGTGACTCATAGTAGACCATATCCTCTGGCCTGAACAACGGTCAAAATGCCATCCGTTCACTTGGGCCATGAAATTGAATCGCCTCACAAATAACTGTTCGGCTGATGAATCCATGCTAAAGATTCTCTGATTTACCTTTAATCAATACCTGAGAGTCAATGAACACTCGTTGATTTCCTAACCGGAAGAGGGCTACATAGTCCGGATTTTTATATTTTTAAAATCAAATTAGAGAAATCAGCTTTGTACCCGTGCTTGGAACCGTGCTGTTCGTTGGTTGCTATTTTCCACCTTTAAATTAATGTCTATCGAACAAAAAGATCATTCTATTCGTTAGACGTTATTATTACCACCTTGATTTCTCGGCATAGTCTTACATCCAAAACTAGGACGGGGAGATTCTACGCTGAATTTGTCATAGGCAGCGGTAAGTCAATGCAAAAAACTTCAGTTCAGTTGTATCTAAGAATACCAATAACTGTCTTAACATTATATTATCACGTACATCATCGATCGTTTTCATAAGACTGGTAGCTTTTGTTGAAAACTTTTCACGTCGAGTTATGTTATAAAAATCATTACATATTTCACTGTATTATAATTTTGACTCTTGCTAAAGGGTGGAACCCTATTGATCCTTACAGGATATTCGCCTCGAGGTGTGCAAAGGTAGGTAAAGTCTTGTATATCCGTAAGGCTTAGAGCACTTACCTGATTAGATGCTGGTGTAGTTATGATTAAACAAATCATATATGTCCTGGCGCACAAAACATTCATTTAGAGATACACGAGTGTAAGCATCTTATCACGAGCTGAACATTCGAGAAAGCTATTTATGTGATATATATATATACATTTTTATGCGTCTACGGGTTCGTTTGATCGATTGCGCTGGCCGGTTCAAACATCACAACAGAGTAATCAGCAGAAAGATGAGCGCATGTTATAGGTTATTCGTTCACGGAAAAATCGCTAATGTCGAAGTGGAGTCGACATGCGTTCCCTTTCAAGTCTGCTTATTGATGAACGAATACAGAAATGGCTATTCGAAAAGAACATTGTCTACTTACCTACCTGGCAATTATGTTCAAGGTATCCGGCCGTCTGTCCAAGTTGGAACCTGGCGTCGATAACACACACGTTCAGTGACTTCTATACTGGGCGAGCACTATTTTTTTTGGGCACTGATAAAAAACGTATGTTTTCTGATTATCTCATCGATGCGCCCTGTGTAATTATCGTTTTTCTCTTACAATATCACATTCTGTAAACTATTACATGGCTGGTGTGTAAGGATCTGCTGTGGATACAGTGACCAAAGTGATGCATTTTATCGTGTATAGTAATTTACTTAGATTACAAACTCAACACGCTTCTACATGGTAAAAATTCGTAGAAAATACTCAGAAAACACAAAATAGTGCCGTCTGTTATAAACGTTCCGACTCACAGCAGTTTCAAAACGGTAGTGGCAAATCTCTCTCTCTCTCTCTCTCTCTCTCTCTCTCTCTCTATATATATATATATATATATATATATATATATATATATGTACATTGTAGACTTATGTTTTAAACAAACATATTTTCGATTAGTTGAGAGTCCGTCGAAGTGTTGCCATACACATTTTACGATACTCGACATCGACATTTTCAAAAGTTTTAAACGTCATCGAAATAAACTTTGTCTTAAAAATAAGTCCTCCCGCTAATTTCATATCTGATTTGTCATTTGAATAAAGTACGTCGTGAATGATATGTTCGTTTTATCCTATTCCGCCTATAAATTTAAAGCACTTAATTAAGACTACAAAATGTCTGTCGTTTTCTTGTATCGGACAATTTTAATGCTTTCTCTTTTAATTTACCCTCGTCTGCTTTCTAGAGTAAAATAAAAAGCACAAATTCTTCCAACCTTTTCGCCTGGCCATTGGTTAACGTCTCTGAGCGAATCGTTTTGGCTACGTCTCATTATTTGCAGTCCGTGCTAGAGCTCAATGAAGACTCGTGGTTTCCCAAAGGCCAAGACTATCCGCAATGAATCTCTCGCTGTTTGCGGACGGATAGAAGATTGGAATTTAATAGATTTTCTTACAAATCGCACCCAAAACACTGCTCGAAGCACAGAATACATTCTAGCTCGTTAAGCCTGCTCAAGTTTGCAAAAGCAAAATCATTCGGCCTTGTGGCCATATAGATTGGTTTTATCGAACGATCGGCGCCGGTTTAGATTGTGTGAAAAACTTACGCTAATACAAGTCGCGTAAACGCTGAGATTTTGTTGAAGCATAGAAAATTAATAACTAGTGTAATAATTGGCATATAGATAACACGTTCATTAAAATAGTTTCCATGCTAAAACACGCTAGTTAAAGAAACAATACAAATAGACGTTGTTATCCTAGAATTCGCCCGTTCCAAACGTGAAGCTTCGTTTTTTTAGCGACATGAAACAGCTTTTGCTTAGTGTTGAAGCCTTATAGATTCATGTTTTCACCCCTGGCGATTACCTATATGATGAACTCACTTCAAATCTCTGCTATAATAGCGGCTTAAGAAGGAAGACTCATTCATAATAGCCTATGCTTTGCCAAATACAGAAATTCGTAAATCTTCGCTTATCTATTAATGCTGCTCACACATTATACTGTCGGGATTGTTAGTTTCACTATTATGATAGGCGCCATTTACAAGCTGAAATCACTCTATGCATTTGCCATATGTAGTCACATGGGTAATTAGTACATTCGATCTATCTCTCACGAGAGAAATTACTTTCATCTATTCGGAGCATCGACTTTAAATTAAGTGATTCGGATGATAGTCATCTAACTTGTCACCGTTCCATTTTTAGCCCCCCTCCCCCCCAACAGATAGCTAGTCATTAGCACGTACGTGGGTCCTTCATGTTAGTCTTGATAAGGTACCGTGTGCCCTAAAAAAATAGACGTCAAGTTCTATACTGCTTTTCTCACACTTTCTAGGCAGAAGGGCACGAGTAGAAAAAACGAACCTCACAGGTCCATGAACTCAAGTTTTGTCCTTCGAAAAACGACAATCCTCGAACGGCATAGTTTTCCTTTGTTGGGACCGAAAACTTCAGTACCAATACTCTGTACAAAGCATCGGATACATTACCCATAGACAGGTCTGGCGAAACGTAACAGCCCGGTACGCTGATATTAAGAACGAGCTCAAATTTCCAGTACAAATGACTAGGACTATCTCCAAAATAAATCTGAAGAGCACTGCTACCCAATCGATTTACTGAAACAAACAATATGGCTAACAAGGATGACTACTTAAAGTGACGAAATTTTATGATGGCAAGTAAAGCTTAAAAGAGCAGAGAAAAGTGAGCGTGTTTGCGATACATAACACCATACTACTTACAGACAAATCAATTCAGATCAGTCAGTTTGTGAACCTGTTGTGAAATGGAAAGATCCAAACTAATTTTAAGTATTACGTTACTTGATGAAATGGATATTTTTAGTTACCTCAAATATATGAAATTTACTGGCATTTGTTTTTTACCCTTAAAGCTCTGATCATCAAATCGTAGATATAGTGCCTTTTTATGTCATATCTATTAAGAATGTAATAAAAAACGAATAAACGTTTTTTAAATGTTTGTATTAATCCAATGGATCATTTGAATGCGAACTCCATCTATAGGCATTGAAACATTTATATTTGTGCCTGTACTACGCCTCTGTTATAGTCAGTATCAAAATTTATATTTATCATAGCAAACGTTAGTGTAGCAAAAGTATTGTTTAACTTTGTTTCTGTTCGACTAATGGATCATACCTCTGCAGCATTTATTAGTCTTATATATATATAAAACATATCAGTAGTTGGCGCTATGTTAATATAAACTAGCGAGTTAATTCGGTGAAAAACAAAAATTGAGCTCAATAAGTTAAAAAAAAAATAATGATTCGATGATGTTGTGAGCTAGGTACTTAATGGATTTTTTTTTTATAATTAGGACCCAAATGGAGATTAGGACTTTGTTCAAAATCGGTATCCGCTGCGCAAAAAGTAATACTCGTCTTCATGTTTTAAACTATTTAAAATGTCTTAAACCTAAGAAATAATTAAAATGAGATAACATCTTAGAGTGAACAGAAGCACCTTCTAGTATAAGTAATATAACAGATGTCTCCTCTAAAAGAACATTACCTTTTTCTTTTAAGAAAAAGTGCAAGCTACACAGTTTTTACCCTAGTAACTTTCCTTCCATTTGCTCGATGGGTTTCATCAAGATTGAATATAACTTCAGCAATGGAGGAATTTTTGAGGCGAAGTTCATATCAGAGCAGAGCGATTACCGGCCAGCGTACTGGTCAAGTAAAATTGCTACACGTAAAAACAACCAGTATTTTACATAAATTGCAAAATTACAATAAAAAAATTACAATAAAATCCGTAACCTTGGGTTTATTAACACCCAAAGATATGGAATGCTGACGTATGAGTAAACTTAGATGTTATCATCAAACCACTATACTATTCATTAAAATCCCTGCGCTGTTTTAACTTTATATGAGCTGATTGCCTTTAGCACCGATCTGTCGCAGCAATTTGGCAACAGGAATGCATTTTCAGGCATGTACGTGCGGTATGCGAGAATTCTTCAAGGCCAACTTAAACGTGCATAGATCGGACGCCAAAACGGGTATTAGAATTTCGCAGCTGCATTCAACCACAAGATTATTTATACTGTTATATAGGTAAGCGTAATATTATTAATTACTATTAAAATTCATCAAAGTTGACATAAACTGATGTGATCAAAGGCAATCCCAGATTAATTATATTTAGTTCTGTAAATCGATCGGATCATGAATTACCATGCTGGGACATTGCATTCATTTATTGGACGGGTTCGTCTCACAACGCTCACATCCGTATCGCATAAGGGTAAGGGTGCGCTCATAATATGTCTGACTTAACGTCTGGTCTTCAAACAGTCCATATACACATATGTGTATATGTACATTTTTCAAATATTTGGCGTTTGAGAAAACTACTTAGATACACTTAAAATTGATAAAATCCTATTGATAAATTCCTTGTCTCAAGACCTATGCATTTAGAAAAACGAGAAACCTATCGAGATTGGCCTTAATGACCGCTGTATTAATACGGCTTCCTGCGGGCAACAGTGAATCATATATACAAGGTTTTTTCTTTCAATCTAGGCCCAATTGTTGATCGCAATAAACGAAGGGAGACAAAAAGAAGCTGATTTGGAGAGATACGGCAGCCATTTGCTGTATTCAAAAACATCGCTTGACTAGTTAGCAATTTTTGCCTGACTCATGTTCGGCCTAACTGTTTTAGATTTAAGGTTGCGCGGCAATAATAAAATTGAGTTGCTTTCAACGAATGTACTGAAAATTTCAAGCAAAAAGCGTTGAACAGGTCACCTGCGATTGACGGGCTTAAAATTGATGTTGATGACTGTTTCATAAGATGCCCCTCGAGCAATGTCACCTTCTTTTGAAGAGAAGTCGGGGCGAGTTAGTTACGTTAAGGTAATTCAGTTATTCGAAATGAACCTAACAGAGGAAGTTTGCTCGCCCGTATGGCTTGCCCTTGGCCAAATGGGTTAGAAACAACTGTGCTTGTGTGTTATTAAATATAGACATGATATTTTTTCCTAATAAAAATCGCTATACGTTAAAGTATTACTGGCTCATAAAAATAATTAAATGCGCTTATTCGATTCGTTATTGGTTACCAACACTACTAAAAAGTCAAATTGAAAGAATGCTAGGCATCTTTTCCTTTGTCCAATGCAAACGTTTCCACGACGTCGATATTTGTCAACTTTGGCAAAAGGAGAATATATCGCTATATCTTAATCCTGTGAAAATAAGTAACGCAAATCTGATCTGTGGTCGTCAAGTTTTCTAGGCGTATCCGGATTAATCTAACCAAGGGTTGGTGTGGTGACAAGCGCAATTGAATAGCAAACTACAATTCATTACTTTATCTATAACAAGTGATTTCTACGATCGGCTGAACAGTCATCGGGCTGATATATACCAGATACATGATGCAACAAAAAGACATCTCTGTATTTGACCGATATCTATTTAATTTATGGCCCAGCAAAACAGCCCGTTAATGCAAGCTTACAACTAACTCGTGAAGCTTGAAATAGTCAGTTTTTCAAAATATAAATGTATATCAGTTAGGTATAACTTTCAATAGGTTATCCGAGTTGTTTACACTTGCACATACATATAAAGGCTTATGATGGCTATGTTTTATGGATGTTATGCACAAGTTTTGACAATAAGAAACTTAATACGAGCGATATATAGCCATCAGTCATAGTTGACTGTAACTTTTCCTTTAAGATCGATTATATCTTATTAAATAAACTTGTGGCATTAAGCTATTTATGATGAAAATGGTGATTGCTTAATCTTTATAAATTGATTTTCATTGTACAATTAGTGTGCTCAAAACTTTTTTCAGTCCTCGCACCGTCGCTCGGACTATAGAAGCAGCATCGTTTCCCGTCATTTTCATCCACAACAGCTGACAGAGGTATTCTCCATTTTCCAGTTTCTTTCCCGAGTGCATTTCGCAAGGTGGATATGCTTAAACCTCTCAATCTGTTTATAGTGCAATCGATTTATAAACATGCAACAAGGATGCTTTTATATTCTTCTCTGACAAATATGTTCAGTTTCTTACACTTAATGATTTAACGCTCGTTACCTCTGGCGGAGCAATGCCTCATGCCGGCTGTTCGAGCTTTTTGTTTTTTTGCTAGATGTTTGTGGGATTCGATATACGCGCCGAAGCCTTCTTCTCTTCTCAAGTTTGTTCGTCCTTTCTCTCTCCCACTATTTTCCGTCTCCTGGTCTGTATCCTTTTGTCGGAGCAGGTGACCGCCGAAACGTGCGTGGCGCTATCAGCTTGACTAAAAAGTCAACAGCTACTATCGCCTTACATTGATTAATTCGTTCACATAATTGTTCGTTCTTTTGCCTTGTTGCTGCTGCTTACAGCTGCAGTGGCTTCATTGTTGCTATTGTTATTGTCGCTATTGTCGGTCATTGTTGTTGTGGTCGCCCATGTGGTACTATTATGTCGTCTGCTAACGACCGTTTATTGGTGATTGGTTTATGTTCTATTAGCAAGTGGGCACACTCACTGCAGGGCACCATAATAAGTCGCGCAGACTATTACGCAGGGGAGACTTACGTAGTAACGTTATTCATACGTCCGTGTGCGCGTGTATGTTATATACACTATTTTACCGCCCGGACCATCGCCGCCGCCGCCGCCGCTGCTGTTGCTACTGGCCAATGTCTTCGTAGAGGACAGCTGCAGAATCACCTGCTCTGGGTTATTGCTTCTGTTGAGGCTACAGCCGCTTTTCGTATTGCTGCGGCGGATGGTATTACTGCACTTTACTGACGTCGTTTTCTTCCATTGCGCGGCGTTATTTACTTCAGGG